AAATCATCACACGGCGGTGCCACCTCCTTTTAGCGGTGCTGCGTGGTACGGTGTGGTGCGGCGTAGTGCGGGGCGTTGTGGAGCGGCGCGTTGCGGCTTGGTGCGGGGCGGCGTGGTGCGGGACGGCATGGTGCAGGGCGGCTTGGTGCGGGGCGGCGTGGTGCGGGGCGGCGTGGTGCGGGGCGGCGTGGTGCGGGGAGTGCGCGCGGTGGAGGGAGTTGCGCGGTGCGGCGAGGGCCGTTCGACGCCGCTTGCGGCTTTAATTTATTTATTTCTTTCTTTTTTCTTCTGCACTTTGAGCCTTAATTTGACCCCCTGAACATGCATGAAAAGTTGTTAATTTTGGCCCAAAAATCAGACCTGGCGAAAAATTTGATATTTTGGTGTTTATTTTTATGGGACTCAAAAAATGCCAGAACAGCGCCACCTACAACAGCCAAAATAATACCCCTATGGGACTTTTCGGAGGTCAAGTTTGTCGTAGAGTCATGAAATTTGGTACACATGTTCCTCAAGTCAAGACAAGAAAAAAATATTATTATGGCTCCACTCTCTGACAAACAGGAAGCCCATAAATCTCACTGCAAAATGGAAAAATGAACAGCAAAAGTTTTCATACATGTCGGTTGGAAAGCGACTCCTCCTCGGCCGGTTCACCGATTCGCCTCAAAATCGCTCCACATCATCTCAACACATGTACCTTCAAAATGACCTCAGGGATTTTTGATCAGTGAAACATTGTTCGAGCAGCGGAGCGGCAAAATGTGACCTTTTTTTGGCCGTTTTTGACAACATTAAATTTGCTCCCGTTTGCACAAACAAAGTCCGATTAGCACAAAACTTTAATACATTGTTCAGCTCTAGGGTCTAGGTCATTTGAAAGTTAATTGATTCAAATTGACACACTAGCGCCCCCTACAGACTATTTCAAAGTTTTAGATGGGCATTTTCAAATTTAGTTTTTTCAAAATGTTTGAAATTTTGCACATAAATCTGTTTTGCCCTCTTGATTCAAAAAGTCAATTGGGTCCAAGGCTTATTTTTTACCCTGTTGCCGTGGCGACGAGAAACGCTCCCCATTCATTGCAAATGTACACCTCACACAAACATCAAACCAGCCTCGGCCGTTTCACCGATTCGCCTCAAAATCGCTCCACATTATCTCAAAACACATGTACCATCAAAATGACTTCAGGGAATTGTGATCAGTGAAACGTTGTTTGAGCAGCGGAGCGGCAAAATGTGAAAGTTTTTTTCTGCCGTTTTTGACAACATTAATTTTTTTTCCGTTTGCACATACAAAGTCTGATTTGCATCAAACTTGAACCCATTGTTCAACTCCAGGGTTTAGGTCAGGTGAAAGTGAAATATTTGAAATTGGCCCATTAGCGCCCCCTACAGACTGAGTCAAAGTTTACATGGGGAGCCAAACCAGCTCTACTTATCATATTCATTACAATTTGACTAACAATCAAACAAATCAACAAATCATCACACGGCGGCGCCACCTCCTTTGAGCGGTGCTGCGTGGTACGGTGTGGTGCGGCGTAGTGCGGGGCAGTGTGCGGGGCGTTGTGGAGCGGCGCGTTGCGGCTTGGTGCGGGGCGGCGTGATGCGGGACGGCGTGGTGCAGGGCGGCGTGGTGCGGGGTGGCTTGGTGCGGGGGGTGTGCGCGGTGTGGGAGTCGCGCGGTGCGGCGAGGGCCGTTCGACGCCGCTTGCGGCTTTAATTTATTTCTTTCTTTCTTTCTTTCTTTTTTCTTCTGCACTTTGAGCCTTAATTTGACCCCCTGAATATGCATGAAAAGTTGTTAAATTTTGCCCAAAAATCAGACCTGGCGAAAAATTTGATATTTTGGTGTTTATTTTAATGGGACTCAAAAAATGCCAGAACAGCGCCACCTACAACAGCCAAAATAATACCCCTATGGGAGTTCTGAAGATGAAGTTTGTTGTAGAGTCATGAAATTCGGTACACATGTTCCTCAAGTCAAGACAAGAAAAAAATATTATTATGGCTCCGCCCTCTGACAAACAGCAAGCCCATAAATGTCACTGCAAAATGGAAAAATGAACAGCAAAAGTTTTCATACATGTCGGTTGGAAAGCGACTCCTCCTCGGCCGTTTCACCGATTCGCCTCAAAATCGCTCCACATCATCTCAACACATGTACCTTCAAAATGACCTCAGGGATTTTTGATCAGTGAAACATTGTTCGAGCAGCGGAGCGGCAAAATGTGACCTTTTTTTGGCCGTTTTTGACAACATTAAATTTGCTCCCGTTTGCACAAACAAAGTCTGATTAGCACAAAACTTTAATACATTGTTCAGCTCTAGGGTCTAGGTCATTTGAAAGTTAAATGATTCCAATTGACTCATTAGCGCCCCCTACAGACTATTTCAAAGTTTTAGATGGGCATTTTCAAATTTAGTTTTTTCAAAATGTTTGAAATTTTGCACATACATCTGTTTTGCCCTCTTGATTCAAAAAGTCAACAGGGTCCAAGGCTTATTTTTTACCCTGTTGCCGTGGCGACGACAAACGCTCCCCATTCATTGCAAATATACACCTCACACAAACATCAAACCAGCCTCGGCCGTTTCACCGATTCGCCTCAAAATCGCTCCACATCATCTCAACACATGTACCATCAAAATGACTTCAGGGAATTTTGATCAGTGAAACGTTGTTTGAGCAGCGGAGCGCCAAAAAGTGGCGTATTTTTTTTCAGTTTTTGACAATAGAAAAATTGCTTCCGTTTGCACAAACAAAGTCTGATTTGCACAAAACTTGAATCCATGGTTCAACTCTTGGGTCTAGGTCATTTGAAAGTTAAAATTCTGAAATTGGCTCTATAGCGCCACCTACAACAGCCATATTAAAAATGCCTATGGGAGGGGTTTGAGGTCAAAATTGTCGTAGAACCATGTAATTTGGAACACATGTTCCTTAAGTCAAGACATGGGAAAAATGTTATTATGGCTAAGCCCCCTGACAAACAGGAAGCCCATAAATTTCATTGCAAAATGGAAACATGAAAACCAATCATTTTCATAAACGTTGGTTGGAAAGCGACTCCTCCTCGGCCGTTTCACCGATTGGCCTCAAAATTGTTCCAAATCATCTCAACACATTTACCTTCATAATTACTTCAGGGAATTTTAATCAGTCAAACGTTGTTTGAGAAGCGGAACGGCAAAATGTGAGGGTTTTTTGGCTGTTTTTGACAACATAAATTTTTTCCCCGTTTGCACAAACAAAGACTGATTTGCATTAAACTTGAATCCATTGTTCAACTCCAGGGTTTAGGTCAGGTGAAAGTGAAATATTTGAAATTGGCCCATTAGCGCCCCCTACAGACTGATTCAAAGTTTACATGGGGAGCCAAACCAGCTCTAATAATCATATTCATTACAATTTGACTAAGTTCTTCTATGGCTACGGGAACCAATCATCACACGGCGGCGCCACATCCTATGCGCGGTGCTACGTGGTACGGTGTGGTGCGGCGTAGTGCGGGGCGTTGTGGAGCGGTGCGTTGCGGCTTGGTGCGGCGGTGCGGGCTTGGTGCGGGGCGGGTGCGGTGCGGGGCGGCTTGGTGCGGGCGGCTTGGTGCGGGGCGGCGTGATGCGGGACGGCGTGGTGCGGGGTGGCTTGGTGCGGGGCGGCGTGGAACGGGGTGGTGCGCGCGGTGCGGGGAGTCGCGCGGTGCGGCGAGGGCCGTTTGACGCCGCTTGCGGCTTTATTTATTTATTTCTTTCTTTCTTTCTTTTTTTCTTCTGCACTTTGAGCCTTAATTTGACCCCCTGAACATGCATGAAAAGTTGTTAATTTTGGCCCAAAAATCAGACCTGGCGAAAAATTTGATATTTTGGTGTTTATTTTTATGGGACTCAAAAAATGACGGAACAGCGCCACCTACAACAGCCAAAATAATACCCCTATGGGAGTTTTGGAGATCAAGTTTGTCATAGAGTCATGAAATTTGGTACACATGTTTGTCAAGTCAGGACAAGAAAAAAATATTATTATGGCCCCGCCCTCTGACAAACAGGAAGCCTATAAATTTCACTGCAAAATGGAAAAATGAACAGCAAAAGTTTTCATACATGTCGGTTGGAAAGCGACTCCTCCTCGGCCGTTTCACCGATTCACCTCAAAATCGCTCCACATCATCTCAACACATATACCTTCAAAATGACCTCAGGGATTTTTGATCAGTGAAACATTGTGCGAGCAGCGGAGCGGCAAAATGTGACCTTTTTTTGGCCGTTTTTGACAACATTAAATTTGCTCCCGTTTGCACAAACAAAGTCTGATTTTCACAAAACTTTAATACATTGTTCAACTCTAGGGTCTAGGTCATTTGAAAGTTAAATGATTCAAATTGACACATTAGCGCCCCCTACAGACTATTTCAAAGTTTTAAATGGGCATTTTCAAATTTAGTTTTTTCAAAATGTTTGAAATTTTGCACATACATCTGTTTTGCCCTCTTGATTCAAAAAGTCAATTGGGTCCAAGGCTTATTTTTTACCCTGTTGCCGTGGCGACGACAAACGCTCCCCATTCATTGCAAATGTACACCTCACACAAACATCAAACCAGCCTCGGCCGTTTCACCGATTCGCCTCAAAATCGCTCCACATCATCTCAACACATGTACCATCAAAATTACTTCAGGGAATTTGGATCAGTCAAACGTTGTTTGAGCAGCAGAGCGCCAAAAGTGGCGTATTTTTTTTCAGTTTTTGACAATAGAAAAATTGTTTCCGTTTGCACAAACAAAGTGTGATTGGCACAAAACTTGAATCCATGGTTCAACTCTTGGGTCTAGGTCAATTGAAAGTTCAAATTTTGAAATTGGCTCTATAGCTCCACCTACAACAGCCAATTTAAAAATGCCTATGGGAGGGGTTCAAGGTCAAAATTGCCGTGGAACCATGTAATTTGGTACACATGTTCCTCAAGTCAAGACATGGAAAAAATGTTATTATGGCTAATCCCTCTGACAAACAGGAAGATCATAAATTTCACTGCAAAATGGAAAAATGAACAGCAAAAGTTTTCATACATGTCTCTTGGAAAGCGACTCCTCCTCGACCGTTTCACCGATTCGCCTCAAAATCGCTCCACATCATCTCAACACATGTACCATCAAAATGACTTCAGGGAATTTTGATCAGTGAAACGTTGTTTGAGCAGCGGAGCAGCAAAATGTGAGGGTTTTTTTGGCTCTTTTTGACAACATTAATTTTGCTCCTGTTTGCACAAACAAAGTCTGATTTGCACAAAACTTTAATCCATTGTTCAATTCCAGGGTTTAGGTCAGGTTAAAGTGAAATATTGGAAATTGGCCCATTAGCGCCCCCTACAGACTGTGTCAAAGTTTACATGGGGAGCCAAACCAGCTCTACTTATCATATTCATTACAATTTGACTAACATTCTTCTATGGCTACGGAAACAAATCATCACACGGCGGTGCCACCTCCTTTTAGCGGTGCTGCGTGGTACGGTGTTGTTGCGGCGGGGCGTTGTGGTGCGGCGTGTTGGGGCGCGGGGCGAGGGCGGGTGCGCGTTCGACGCCGCTTGCGGCTTTAATTTTGTTTGTTGTTGTTGCTGTATTTAACCCTTGTGACCCTAACCCTATGGGACTACAGATGGAAATTAAACTTTAGCTATAATCTGGCATGTTTACATGCATATTTATATGTCTGTTCATTGACATGCACTGTCCCATTCAAATAAATAAATAAATCTAGTAATATTTTAGATAGTTGTGTGTCAAATCTAAATTTAACTTTGTAAATTGCTTCAGAGTTTTGTCAGAAAAAACTAACTTATACTAAAGTCGCGTGTAATTCCCTCTGCACCAACAGACATGGCAGTGTGTGTCACAGATAAATTGTGAACCGTGTGTAGAACAGTGCATTTCTCACCCGCTCTCTTTCCTGGGTCACACGTGTTTGTGTCTGGCAGAGTTCATCTCGTAGTCTTTGTAAACTTGATTCTTTAGCAGAAAGCTCCTTCTCATTCTGTGCCACTTTGTTTTGGATTGTGTTTAACATCTGCATTTTCACCCGTAGTTCCTCCTCCAAATCAGACAACCGGATTCGGAGTTCATTTACAGCTGCCAATGACACAAACAAACACACACACAATAAGGATTATGAAATACTCACAATATAACTGCGCTCCTCCTACCATTAAGATTAAGAGATCCTTTATTGTCCCAGTGGGGGAAATTCAGTGTTGCATCACAAAGTAAGAAAAGTGAGAAGGAGAGGGGGAGCGATGCAACTCAACAGCTTGCTCCCGCCCACGCATGAGGATGATATTGGGACAATCTTTGGCCAATTGCTCAAACACCATTTGTTTACTTTTGGTTTCCATGAGCACAGATCTCCAAATCCAAAAGAAATCCAGTCATGTACAAAGCGTTACATCCTGGACATGACAGAGGCCTTGGATTCTTTGAAATGCTTTTACAAAGTGTTATGTAATTCTCAAGGATTGACCTACAGGCCTCACATTCCTCTAGTCTATCCTGTTATCAGCTGCGGTGAGACAAGAGTGTATTGCTCAACAACAAGTTTGTTTTGCATTGTTCCATGTGAGGATTTGGGACGGATGAAATTATTTATTCAGTGAAGGCGACTGCTTTTGTTTGACACCACAGAGTTGAAGGAGATATTGAAAAACTCACGGTCTGTTTGATTGGAGACGTTTGTCTTCACACTCTGCTCCTGGTGACTTAAAGCGTTGCCGTTGGTTGCCCTGGGAGATGGTCCCGCGGAGGGTCTCAGGGCCGAGGGCTGAGCATCATCTTGCTCCCATGGAAACGCGGCAGAGGGAGCGGCGTCAGCCAACCGCCGGGCAGAACTGGGCTGTTGCCTTGGTGACGTGCCAGGTGGCATGTCTGAAAACTGCAGCCGCTGGTGATGAGAAAGAGAAGTCAAAAAATAAAAATTACAATACATCACGCTGATACTACACTGGCGCATGGTCAATACAGAGCTTTTGTTTAAATATTTTAAGACAACAACATTTCATTGTTACAAACTTAGCAGAAATGATAAAATTAACATTTTGACTAGAGGATCGAATGTCACATCTGACTCTAATTCCGTGTTCACAACAGAGCTGTAAACTCTGAGAAATATTTTTCCAACTTAAAAGATGCACATAAATCCTTATCATAACGATCCTGATCATAACTGATGAACGCAGCGGAACTCAACATTTAATTAAACAATCACTGGTCCTTGAAAATAAATATAATATTGAACAATTGATAAGGCAATCAGCTATTCCAAAGGTTTGCTTTGTTAAATGCTGCAAAAGAGCAAACACCCCTGGTCAGAAGACTCAACATCTAAACTCTGAGATGTTCAACCAGGAGGTAGACTAAAATACAAAGCAAAAAAGGTGAAAGGTCAGGTCAGGATAATGTGCAACATGAGAGCATTATTTTTGCGATGTCAGTGTCTATACGGTACAGAAAAATCAGTCTTTACGAGTTTCTCATAGTGAAATTAAAATCGCAATGGTGCAAAGGTAAATACAATTTGATTTTTTTACCATCTGGCCCTGTCCTGACCCAAAGACATTTTTTGTCCTCATTTTCAGCTCAACTGCTCTGTGCGAGGGACGGAATCTTGATTAGATGTGATGAGTGGCAACACAGGCTGGGGTAGATCATGGCATTGCCAAAGGCAGAACTACGTTTATAGCCACATATTAGTGAAATCTAACCTTTTACAAAGAAATCTATAATAACAATAAAATATTGGTTTTAGTACATTAAGGGGTCATTACATCATCTTGAGATCTACTAGCCCCCAGGGTTTATTGAGAATATGCGAACACATACGTGCAGACATTCTAAACTTTGGATCACTACTGGTCCTTAAGTCGTTTTTGGCGGTTTTTTACATTTAATTCCACTTTGTAATCCTCCTTGTTTAGGTATTAATAAATACTAGTAGTAATAAAACTAAACATTAGGATACGGTAGCACTTGTGTAAAAAGTTAAACAACCAGTGTACAGGATCATGTGGTACCTACCCGAACATGAAGTCCTGGAGATTTGCCTTCTTCTCTGTTGCCATGACGATCCTCCTTTCTGCTTCCTAAAGGACGAAAACACAACATGTGGAGATGACAGCGGGCAGGATCTCACTGACCAGAGCTGAGACATGAGGCGCAAAGCTGGGAACACTGAAGGACTATTTATAACTCTAATGTTTGTTTTTCCATTGCAAGATAAGAGCAGAAATCAGGGGTCAGGACACAACCGGACTAAACCATAGACTGAAATATTCTCATAAATGACTACAACATATTAAGTAATAATAAAAGGATAAAGCTAAGGTGATATGTGGGTCAAGTATGAAAAACAAGGAAATATGATAGAAAGGAATAAGTGGAGGCTCGATCAAAGTTCAACTTTTCAGATAGTCGCAGACAAGAATTTATTTATGACAATTGAGTTAAAGAAATGGCATTTTCATTCTCTAAAACAAGACCCAAATCTAAGAATGAAATGTTCAGACAAAGACTAAAACCAAAAAGTGTTAATTTAGCCTTTTACAAACTGTCCAAAAGAAGAGTATCTGTGACAGGGCCTACCGCTGGGTTCCCAGGGCGAAGTGCTCCAGCAGGGAGTGGAGAAGAGTGTCGTTTCTACACTACTGCTGTTCTGCAGTTTTTCCAGCTCAGCCTCAAGTCTGAAAAATAACAAGAGTCAGGCTATAATATCACTGCAGGTGATAAGGTTAGGCAATAACTGCATTTCCAGAAGAACCAGCATAAACACTAAATTCAAAGCAAAGCAGTTTCCCACAGGTTCGCACAGAGACTATGGTGGCACGAGGGAAAGAGGGTTGTAGTGGAGTTAAGTTTGTTTTGCCCCAGTAAGTAAGTTGTAAAAGCTGCAGATAAGATATCACGTACACTGAGCAGCAGGAAGTGTGTGTACTCTTGTTTACCAACAGTAAAACTCACTCCAGCCTCTTTAAGTTGCAAATAGCTCTTCTAAAATCGCCAATAAGCACATTTATAACTCTAGACCAGGGGTGGCCAACCAGTCAGAGACTAAGAGCCAATTTTTTTTACTGTGTTACAGCAAAGAGCCACATCATACAAATGTGCACTACATAAACATCACCCCAACCCTTACACACGCACGCACACGCGCACGTACTGTACGCACACGAGCAGACACGCGCACACACATGCAATCTGTCTGTGCAGAGAGAGGTGTGCTCTGCTCAGACAGATTTATTGTAAATGTCATCAACATGATAATGACAGAAATTGACTCGTACAGCACTAAAGGGCTGGACTCGACTCTCCCTGGTTTACGGGCGCTTCCACCGCTCGCTTCAACCTCTCCCCGGTACTTTTTATTAATGGTTTGGCCCTGGTTCTAACCGGGCGAGTCGATACCAGAACAATCTGACGTCAGCGAACATCAATTATGATTCCGAAATGAATGCTTTCAATCTCTAACCAAGAAAAAAAAATCAAGTTTCAACCCAGTATTCAGCAGAAACACAACTGTCTTTAGTAAAAGATATAGATTTGACACATAACACCAACACCACTTTAGCTGATTTAGAACCACAGACACATGCTCAGTATAAGACCAGATACTTTTGCATTTGATTGAAGACAGACACTCACCAGGCAGAGTTGGCTTATCTCCTGGTGTAATGCTAGCTGTTGTTAGCTGGTTTTAGCATGTTAGCCGGTGTTAGCCGATGTCCGTAAATGTAATCCATTTGGTCAAACCACCTCCAGACTTTTCGGGTCTGCCTCTACTTCTGCTGCTGCGATCTTTCATTTCACGGTTGTCACTTTTAAGCTTTTTAACTTTTCTCTGCATTGTCATGTTTGTGGGAATCATTCTGCTCCGTCCTTAGTGCTAGCTCCACAAACACCTTCTGGTTTCTGGTGGACCATCGAGCTCACGCTGGTGTCCTCTCCTCAAACTGAGGAAGGTGTTGCCCTCATCCAGCGACCAAGGAATTGTTTTCCGTACGGACGTCATGGTTCGAGGCAACGTGTTGTTTGTTATGATATTTGCTACAGCTGAGGTAGCAGCTGCAGAGTGATTGACAGCGCATCTGACCAACCAGAATTGACGTTCGCCGACGTCAGATTGTTTTGGTGGCCTGGCTAGTGGAGTGAAGTCGGCCTTTACTATTGGTCAGAACTACATATGGAATGAAAGGCAGCGCCACCAACGAGGCGTTTTTGACGCTTGTCATGTGAAAGCCCGAGAGCCGCACGGAACCAGCCAAAGAGCCGCATGCGGCTCACGAGCCGCGGGTTGGCCACCCCTGCTCTAGACTGCTAACTGCCTACACTGAATTAGTTCTGTTTTTGTTGTTTTGAAGTCAGGAATAACAGTTACAGTGCAGTAAAAGTAACTTGTGACAAATTAAAGTTCCTTTATCTATATTTAAATCCTAGGACAAGAGAATATCACTGATGTTTTACCAGTTCTAAGTTTTATGTTTTTATTTTATTTTATGTTTTATGTTAAACATTAAATAATTGTGCTTACTGTGGTGTGTGGGAAACACTGACAATTCTGTATCCGTACTTTTACAATCGCTGACCTCTTAACTTCCTGTGTGAGTTTGTTGGTGAGAGAGCGTGCGGCGTCCAGCTGGCCCTCCAGAGAGCACACTTGGGCTTGTTTGCTCTGCAGATCCTGAGACAGACGCTCTTTGCTTGTTAGAGCTGCTTTGGCCTTGTCCCGGACCCTCTGCAGCTCTCTGTGAGACGAGTTCAGCTCCACTCGCACCTCTTCGTACTGAAACACAGAGGAACATATTCATCTATAGATTCCTTATGGACAATCATAAGCTGGATCATCATGTTTAACCTTGGCAGTCTGCTTTTCAAGACTTGTTTGAATGTTGTCCAGCTGCAGTTGTTTCTGCTTGTTTTCTCGAGACAATCGTTCATGATGAACCTGCAGTTCCTTCACTTTCTGCAGAACTTTTCCTGACAGTCCCACTGTCCAGTCCTCCTCTGCCCAGCTCATTTCACTTGTCCTAAATAAAAGACAGAAGGGCAAATGAAGCACTCTGCAAATCTTTCCATTTGTCGGTATTCATGACTAATGACAAATAAAGATCATGCACAGCAGAGCGTGACTCATAATGTGATTAACATTACAATTTAATTTCTTGAACAAACTCCTTATTTCTTTCACTCATGAATGCATTCAATGATTTTATATCGTAAGTAAAAAAGTGAATCATCTAAAAAAAAAAAAAAGTAGCTTCGAAACTAATGCATTTATTATATAGGAGGTCACTCTTAAGGAGGTTAATTTGATATCAATACAATCTTTACTTATAATAATATAATAATAATACTACATCTGTATAGAACAGGCCAGACAGATAACTTCGGACTGTTTTAAGAACTGGTAATTGACCTGTTTATGGTATGTTTTATTCTTAGTTTGTGTCCACCTCTGACAAACACTTGGATGACAGACAAAAACGCCCCAGTTCTCCCGTAAGTCACAGTTTCTAAGGCTTCTGTCTCCAGGAGAGAGGGAGCAGAATACAACAGGGAAAATTCTAATGTTTTTCCATCCTCACAGTTGTCTGGTGTTGTAGAGAAGCAACAAAACATGACCGCCTAAACAACACATTTAAAGTTATGATTTGGATTATTATATTTGTGTATCCCCAACTAAACTGTATTAAATTGAGTATTGAGGAGTTTACAAATAGATGCACGCATTGCACAGAGAAGAGCTGATATAGAGCTGATATAGAGCAGATGTTAAAGTAGATACCAGGAAGCTCAAGATAATTCTAACCAAACCTGTTGGGTGCTCCTCAAATTTGTCTTAACATGCATTGACAACGTACACGTTTAATAAAAGGCACACACATAAACAGATGCGGGACAGGGATCCTCAACAAAACATTTCAATAAGATTAACCTGTATCTGTCTAATATTGTCACTTGTTTTGAACTGCCAAAAAAAAAAACAGTATAATTTGTGTATCCAATCAACTCTGTAGCACATATTCCCTCAAAGACAAGACAGTAGCTTCAGTGCAACATAAACGTTCATGCTGGTTTATTTTGTTCTTAAAAGTTGGAAAGTGGGGCTTCACATTTCACAACATTACAGAACTCAGTCTTTTGCCATCCAGTTGTAATTATAATGGTAATCAAAACACTCAAGTAGGGTTGCAGATAAACTAATAGATTGCAAACCTTTATATCTTCTACTGGACTATTACTAAAGGCTAAATTAACTGGTTGAGTGACATTAGAGGAGCAGGACCTGGCCTATTCCCAACCGGTGCGATCACGACTGGCAACTTCAACATTATTATGGTGGATAATAAACGTGTACAAACAACACAGCAGTACATGTGTCCGCACTGTTACACACGGTTTGCTCAGTGATTTTCTGCTCCATACATCAGTGACTATATCATTACACACATACGCACTGTATGACTTGTAATTAGCCTCGGAGCTAAAGCGCTAACGCATAGCAGTGTTTCTGGACTCACCATGCACTGCAGGCGGACACGGGATATTGGACGCAGTCTGGGCTGGATCAGCGGGACTTCTCTCACAGAACACACCCAGAAAACTGTATCAAAGTGATAAAGAAAGAAGAACAGAGAAGCAAAGTCGATAAGAAGTGTTGTTGTGGTCTCGTGCAGCTGCTGACAGCCAACAAAAGCGGCACGAGGCGGGGTGTGACGTAAAGCCATACACTGAAACCGAATTCAGCCCAAAATACATCCTTTATATTATTCCTTTTCATTGTTATTAATAAAACATTTGTGTTAAGTGACATTACATACATCTTTACACATAGTTAATTTCACTGGAACAAAACTGGAGCTGTACGTCTCGTGTAAATTCAAGTTTAAAGCCCTAAGAAGAATAAAGAAGGAGGTAATTTAGCGAAACTTGGATGCAACCTCAGAGACGCGCGGCATCTGGACAAAGGCTGCCCTGGCCTCTGATGACCCCTATGGACCATTAGGAAGTATTTGAGTGTGGCATTTCTGCTCATCCATGGAGTGTCCATATTTTTTTTTACTTTATAGTTGTAAACTATTGTTGTAAAAGATCCCAGGAGGGATGTTAAGACCAAAACCTCTTCCAATTATAAGAATATACTTATATTTAGTGAAGTAATCATAAACAGGAATATATAATGTTTCTTTTCTCAACTATATGATTGATTGTTCTTGAATATTGAATATTCTTCTTGTGATTTCACGATTTTTCAACACCTCTAGATTTCAATTTCTGGCAGCACTTTACATACAGCATGGTAATGTTATGGAAATGAAAAGGAAATAATCTGAATTTTCATGGACATAGAATAACCTTGTAAATTTCATGTAATATGAAGATATCCTTTATTCAGGTAACAAGCTACAGTAAGGTGGAAATAATATAATATTACATGTGAAATATGAAATAAATAATTGTGTAACTTCTAATGAATTAATTCAATTTCCCTTCACATACTGTGTAATGATGGCTTTATTGTAACAATTTGTTCAAAGAATTACTGGTTAAAAAAGCCAAAGGGTTTTGGCCAATTATGTGTACATGAAGAGAATATAGAAGAAGTCAAGTATCTTCGAGAGTATTAAAAAAGAGTAGAAATAATGTAACAGTTGCTGTTTGTCTTGTTTCTTGGATTTCAGATTTGTGGTATTCAGGTTGGGCTTCAGCAAATGTTAAACTTCAGGCTAAACCCGCTCAGTCATTGTTTCATGATAATTTTCTTGTACAATTATATCATAGAATGAAAAATACAAATAGATAAATTCCTGAATCACGGCATGAGCCGTTTGGGGCAGACCTTCACTTAGTTCTGCTCAAAGATCTGTTCCGAAGGGGTTTTTAGGGAAGTGTTTATTAGATAAGATGCACATAGGGCTATTCCTCCTGGTACACTCTGGATTTGAATATAATCTGGGATTTGTAGGATCACTGCTGAGAGGTGTGGAAATCCGGCAACCAGACTGACTGCAACCATCTTCAGGAAATGCGTTTCAGATCATGTAAATGTCGTTTAAAAGTAATCATGCTTTAGACTGCATGAACCAGACAGCATCAACAGTTTGCCTGAAAGTTGTACAAAGTATAATAAAAAAAAACACATTATATCCCAAATACTTTTGATTAATGTAATGATGACAAGTATATATTTGTCAACATCCACAAATCAAAAATGTGAGAAATAAAATGTGCAGATCTTTTTATTGTTAAATATAGATTATGTTGTTCACTCATTAAGATGAACTTGTGTCACGTGGTGGGCTCATTATCCTCTCTGTATTAATACTGGATTATGTTCATTGTAAATCCAAACACAACGTACAATACTGTCTGCCAGGGACGTCCAGGGCAGCACGGCAGACAGGTAGTGTGCGTCTGTGGAGTCCATGAAACTCAACCAAGACTTTCCTGCAGAAAAGAACGTCATTACACCTGTTTGCAGGTGAGAACTCCACATCAGATACTTTTTAGAACAAATAACCTTTTGTGACTAGCTTGATGTTGTGTCTGGTGAGGCTTATAAACTCTGTTTGCAGATGTTTCCCTGGTCTGCAGTTTTTTCCATTGAGCCAAAGGTCCCAGGACAGCGCAGCACTGAGGAGCTGGTGACCAACACACTGATGCTGGAGCTTGGGGCCATGGTCAAACGCACAGAGCGCATCCGTCTGGAGAGGGCCAAAGAGGGCAGGCGCAGGCGCCGTAGCTCCTCCTCTACAGCCGACTACAGCTGGTTGGCCTCCACCCAAACTCCACAGCCCTACGAGCTGACCCCCAACGACGTGCTGGAGCTACAGGACCTGTGCGCCAAGATCCCTCCTGCACAGTGCGGCCCGCTAATCGCCAGGTGAAACTTAAGACACGGGTAACCTGGTTCTGGGTACGGGTGGCCGAACCTGTATTAATCATTAGCTAGAATAAAGTGCGAACCCACAGACAAATACCTTGTAACAACTACTGCATCAATATCAGTATCAGTATAGTGCTTATGTTTCTGGTTCCATACTATAGTTTAAAATGGTATCAAACAAGGTCCTATTCCATCCTCCTTAGCATTCATAGAATTTTAATTGCAGTCGTTACTTATGTTTTATGTTAGCCAAACAGATGGCCTAATATTGTGACAATTTAAAGCTGGAGTACCGAACTTTGAAACCACAAAAATTAACAAATAAAGATAACATGATTGATTTATATACCGAATGTCACTGTTACCAGTGATGACGTTAAAGGACGTGTGATTGATGGCAGAGCTACACGTACTCACGCATGTCCCTGCTTCAGGTTCCGCCGGCTGGTGTCACAGATGGAGCCCGAGGTTCACGAAGTCCCTCGGTTGTTTCGGTCTGTTCTGCGCGACTGCGTGAACGAGCTCAGTGAAGATGGGGATTTACAAGAATGTGTGTTTGAGAAGCAGCAGCGCAGCAAGAGCCTCTCGTTTGTAACTTTCCGCACAAAGTTTCGCACAGGACCGATCTCAAAGGGCTCCGGTTTCATGGGCTCCCGGGGGGATCTGCAGCAGCAAGTGGACTGGTCAGACTCCGAGGACTCGGAGGGCGAGGACGAGGTCATCAGGGCGCGGGCGAAGAAGGGCCGCAGCAAAAGCATGCCTGAGATCACCCCTATGGAGCAGAGCGCGCAGGCATGAGGCCAAAACTACAGCAAACTCAGGGAAAGATACAAATCAGTTAATATTTACAAATATATGCAAGAGCTGTAAACAAGGACATTAGCGTACCAATAAAACCCAAACTTTTACACTTTCAATACTTTGTCCATCGCATGTGTTTTTGCAGTTTTTATTTCAAAATGTTTTGCTTTTCAATAAATGTTTTGTGCAGGATGTCTTTTTGGTTTCTAAGACTGAGAATAATTCTATCAACCATAGGTGGGTAGAGAAGCCATTTTTTTATTTTGACATAAAATTACTCAAGCAAACGTTGTGATACAGTAAAGTATGTATGTATATACGCCAGTCCTAGCACAGGTGAATCTCAGAAAATATTAATATTGTTCAAAAGTAAAAATGTGAACTAATATATGATACTGACTGCATGCAGTGACACTACCCTTATCAGATATGTATTTTCTTGATTTTTGTTTGATTTTTTACAAGCCATGAGCCAAATATTAACATTATAACAAAACAAAAAATGATATCACTTTGTGTTTAATGAGTTTTGCTTTTGTAATCATAACTTCGAATGAGTTTCACCTGTGCAAGATTTGCTTTATAAAATGCATCAATAACCATATGATGTATTTGTCACGAATAGTGGGGAACGGTAGTGTCACTCGGGAGTTCTGCCCCGGTCTTTCACCTTCAGATAATATTTCTGATAAAGTGTGTGCACTGAGCGGTTACATAAGGGCGTCTCTAAAGCAGCAGTGTTTGCCTGATGGCTAATAATATCTCTGCTGACTAATCGGCTTAAACCAAGACAATCTCAGTCTTGAGCTCCAGTACTCCATTATTCTTTTATTAATATTAATTTTCTTATCAACACATCATTTATCCATTTGCACTTTATACACTTAAGTCAAGGCATTTGGCTAAAAATGAAAATAAGACTGTATTAAAATGTCCTTTTTTAAAAATAAACTCCAGTAGATTTAACAGTGACCTCCAGGGGGTTCAGCAGGTAATTGTGAACAGTCTCGACCAGTGAAGCCCCTTCATTAGTTCTGTCGTCAAACACTGATCCAAGCGACGTCCTTCGAGCCAGAGAAATCTTTCAAATAGATTTATAAATGTTAAATCTGATGTTCTCCAAAACAACCAGTGATCCTCAAAGCATGTGCACAGCTAAAACAGGTCACAGTTTCTCAAGTTTCCATTTGGCAAATAAGGTGAAAGCAAAACAAAAGTGTACTTGACGATAGCAGGCATGTTCTAAAATAAAAAGTTAGTACTGAACACAAGAACTAACTCCACAGTAATTTGGCTTTGAAGAATAGGAGTAATTGTAATTCCATTTCAGGGAGACAACGAAATAAAAGACAGTTTGTAGAATCAAACCATTAAATTAAAGTGTCCATAAAATATCGTTCAGCACAAAACCTGCTGAATATCTGTAAATAAATATAGAATTTCGGAGTTGGGAGCTGAAGATCTTTTTCCTCTCTGGCCGATAAAAAGTCTGTGGCTTAATAACATCCATCAATTCATTTGCATTGGTCCCAAAAGTAATTCAAACCATTTCAGAAAAGTCTCCTTCAATCATTTCCCCATAATGTTCCCAGTCTAGTTTAATCAGAGTCCAGTTTAATTGACTCTAAGCAAAAAAGACAACAAAAATTATGAAGAAGACGATGAGGACCAGAAAGATCTTGATCATGAGCCAGCGGTTGGAGGAAACGGACTGGAAGTATTTCAGGATCTCCGTGTGCGCCGCCTCCACGTTCAGCTGCGTGTCCTCCACGTTTGCATCGATCCTGCGGAAACACAATCCAGCTTCAAACACGTGCCGTGGTTTAACAACTTTTTATTGGGGGCAGTGTGTATTCTTTCTAGAACACAGGCCACCCACCTCCTTCTGCAGATGACACATTTAAAACACTTCAGCGTAAGTAAGTAATGTTTATTTATATAGCGCATTTTACAGACCAAGGTCACCCAAAGCGCTTTACAATTTTCAGAGTTCAGATATTGTTCTAATCATTCCACACTGTGATGACGGAAGCGAGTCGGCGAACACACTGGACCATCAGCCCCCAATCAACACCATCCATTCTCTCACTCATTACCTTCAGACCTATTGTAAAGACAGTGGGGCTCAAAAGTTGAGCTGTAATTAAGGATTATCTTAAAAATCAATGAGTTGGACAATTATTCTTTCAATTAATCAATTAGTTGTTTGTGTAGACCCTGAAAGGTGAATATGAAATATTCAATTTACATGTGACTAAATTAGTTTCAGGGCCAGACTTTGACAGGAAGTCGGCACACTTTTGTCCAAAATGTGAAATTAGGTTTCAGGTCGCCCTAAATTACAAATAAAGTAAACGCTGCATTTAAGTCTGACATTGACACACTGACCTCTGGATGGTCTCCTCCTGTTCTTTGACCATGTGTGCGAGCTGCTGAAATATAGAGCCCAGCTCCACAATTGTGCTCTCGATGTTCTGCATGGTGTCAGCGCGGCTTTGGATGTACGAGTCCTGAGCAGATAAAGAACAACATCATTGAACGTCTAGATCAAACAGTCATTATTGCACATTAGTTCAGGCGGTTGCAGCCGGACACCCACCTGCTCATCGATGAGCTGCAGCTGCAGGGGGTTGGCTTGCGAGTCCATATCTATGGCAACATCCCCGAGACTTCTGGACTCATCCTGCATCAGGACTGAGCTCTCTGGAGACACAGAGCACATTTTCACCAGGTTGAGGGGAATGACTTCAGGTTAAATGAACAAGCAGAAAAAACAGCGGGAACAGGAGCTATAAACCGCTGAGAGTCAAGCGTTCCAGGGAAATACCTTTTGAAGTGGTAAAGCCCTGGTAGTCATAGCGCGGCTCGCGAGCGGCATGCGGCTCCTGGGCCCCTTTTTTGCGGCTCCCTAAAATATTTTTTAATTTTTGCATTATAAGTGACCAGATACAGCAGACAGCAGTCAGCAATCACAAGGATTCTGAGCAGCTGCTCACAACATCTGAACACTGTCAGTGAAACATTTGTGCAAAAAAACATATGAAGTTATTATGAACTAACTTTAGTGAGCGACAAAGAGCAATTGGCCTCTCTTGAAATGTCTTGAATTAAAGAGATGATTAAATAAAGTCAATATTTAACTGACAGTGTGTAAGCCAGCGCCAGACAAAGGGTCTCTGTAGCTCATAATTATAATTAATATCAAATTAAATAGGAGCCAGGCATGTTGTTCAGGGCGTGCTCAAACTATTCTTTTGTATTCAAAGATCATTATCCAAGTGTTTGAAAGAAAATAATTATCGAATACTTTATTGAATGTCCAACAACAAATATAATCCTCTATCAAAATTCTCTAAGCTTTGATTTTGTACAAAGGGATTCCAAAAGAGAGAACTATTTTCATGATGCTTTTCAAGCATCATCCTGGAATGAGTCGTGACCATTGGAGGACTTTGCCGACATGATGCCTACCTACAGGCACCTTCGATTCGATTCAATACACTCGATTTAAATTTGATTCAGTCAAAAATGTTGGCCCCTTATCTCAGCCATGCTTCCATATTGTATTTGCTACACAGCAACCCAGAGAATTTTAACGTTTACTGCTGATATGTTACTCTTGTCTGTATCTGTGTGCGGCACTTGATCAAGGGCTTTAAATACTCAAAAAATAGAGCAAAGTTCACTAAACTTCCCGTTGCTTTTCCTAAAAAAAATCATTATGCAATCTGATTCTTTTGGAATCACTCCATAATATTTTATGCATTACTATAAATACATTTGTAAAGCACTTCAAATTGCCTGTGTATGGTCCAATTTAAGGAGCCTGAAGAAAAGCGAACAGCTAGTATTTAGGCCCATTTCATATTTTTTTATTAAAATTTAAAAAGAAAATTGAATAGAATGATCACGCCCTTGTAAATAGAATTCATGCATTGATTGTCTAACGCGAGAGACTTGAGCAAAGCAGTGTGAGGGACTCACTGAAGTTGTTGGTCATCAGAGGAGAGGAGGCGGTCGGGGGCTGAGAGAACTGCTCCCTCCTGCTGCGCTGCTGCTTCAGATTCTACAAACACAACATCAAAGAAGGCTCTTTAACATCATATCTTTGTCATTGTATTCATCAGTTGTATTTTTGCGATTGAAATGAAATAAAAACTGCAAAGACTGATATCACTGATACTCTGGTTTGAAAATCAAAACATAATAAAAGGTGTGCATGTGTGCAAGCATGTACAGAATCATGTGAATAATTTTTTTTTTGCATTGTCAATTTAAAAGTAAGTAAGTAAATAATGTTTATTTATATACCGACTTTCACAGACAATGGTCACAAAGCGGTTTACAATTATTATTATTTTTTGGGCATTTGTCTCTCACTCCACACAGAGATGGGAGCGGGGTCACCGAACAGGTGGCGCATGCCAGATCTATTGTACATATTTTTAGTAGTAGGGGAAACCGGAGTACCCGGAGGAAACCTACGCAGACACGGGGAGAACATGCAAACTCCACTCAGAAAGGCCCTGGTCCGACCGGGATTCGAACCCAGGACCTTCTTGCTGAGAGGCGAGAGTGCTAGCCACTCAGTCACCGTGCCCCCATAATAATATATGATTAAGTCACACAATCAGGTGTCAGGGATGAAGCAGACAGAGACGGCATATTGCTATCTAATACTAACACAGCTAAATACATTTAAAAAAAAAAAATTTTAAACTGCATCACATACTCACCTCTGTTCTGACCTCGAGCACCGATTTGAAGTCGTTAGACATTGATGCAAGTTTGGACTGAAAAAAGGCAAATGGACCGTTATTTCAAAAGGCAGAAAAGACAACACTCACTTTACTGTAGTAACTCAGACCTGTAACGACACCACAATTGTATTGGAGTGTGTTTGGATGTGTCGACCTCCGGGGGCTGCCCGAGATCGCACCAAGTCCTGCAGCTGAGCGATCTGTTTATTCAAGCTGTTGATGTCCTTTTAATGGCAAAAGGGAAAACCATTAGGTAAGAATTAGTAGACAGTTTTATAAAATAATAATATCACACTTACTTGTTTAATAATGTATGTTAATTCTTCGATCTCAACTGCTTTGTCGTCAAACAGAGATTTTCGTTTTGCCACTACAAGCACATGAAGTAGGAATTAGTGCAAAGAAAAAGAAAATAATGATAAAATATCCCACAACTTACAAAAGGTGAGTTTTTCCAATTTGGCAAATGTATTACTCAAGTCTTTTCCAATTCTCCTACAAAATTAAAACAGACACAGTTAAATAAACAAACAACGATATAACTTTGTGATGAAGTCTGGGTTTAGGGAGAATTTAGTGCATTAAAATTAACGTCGGAGTACAAAGAAAAGACAGAAAAATACAGTATATTTGAGAATTGTGTTGAATGATCAAATAAACGACTTACTTTGCCATAAGCGTGAAGTCACTGCGCTGTTTGAGGGCCGTAAGAGCAGGTTTACTGGGCTGGACTCCATTCTGTTGATCAAGTAAAAAATAAAGCGTTATTGGTTTTTTTCACTTTCAGTTGCAACAAAAAAGCAGTTGTTCGTTTTTGATAATAATGTTAACTTTCTTGTTATGTAAAGCATGTACATGACATCCTTGCCCGTTTTTATGTGTTTTTCATATGCTGTGTGAGGTACAAACGAAATATGAAGCACTGTAGAATTGGGTTGGATAAAAAGAGAAATTGTGTTACGCAGGTTTGATCACTCAGCACCATCGTTGAGGTTTGGTGATTGCTGCACAGTCTGTATGTTGTTTATTGAATTAACTCTTCTTTACACATCACCATTAAAATCAGCCAGTGGATGAATTCTGGACCACCACCATGAGATGACCAAAACAAATACACGTTCTGGGTATGCCTCTCACCAGTATCAGCACCTGACTTGTGATTGTAATACTAGGGCACTCAACATAACGTAACATAACTATGACCAACCTGTCTGCCTTGGAGCGATTTACAGGCCGACTGAAACTCAAGGGTTCGGTCACGGCACGTCATTTTGCCGCTGTATCACGGCCCGAAGCCCACCCAGCACCAGACACCACCGACACTGACGAGTCCTCCCCTCTGTCAAAGGATGTTTACCTCCAAATGTGTAGCAGTCAACTCACATCCAAGGAGGGGTACTGCACTCTGACATATGCTTGTACATAACTGGAAAAACAAACGAAAAAGGATAGCAAAATATGTTTTCAAACTCTCAACATAATACGATTGAATGACAACAATTACAATTTCTGTAAGCTAGTTGTGGCTACTTGTGGCGAGGCACCTCAATCCATTAGCTATGTGGTTAATGCTAGCTAAATTAATGCTGCTTTATACTGCATGAGAAATCGGTTAAAACGATCAGACATATGTCCACAATTAAGATCATAGAACCGTAACTCATAATGTACACATATATTTTTGTAACGCAAATGTCCCGGTGTCTCAGCTGATCACGGCCTCACCGGGGCTAACGCCACCGGCTAACTATAAGCTATTAGCTCACGGATGCTAACGTGTTTTTAAGTCTCTACAGCAGCCATAGCTGTTACACATAAACTTTTGGCGGATCACACGCGTCTTCATGTGTACACTATACAGTATCGCGTAAGTAAGGCGGTATTTTGACTTACAAAAAGAAGGCATTTCGGTATTCCGTCAAATCAAAGTAATCAGTCCACGGTTAAAGTTCCGATCCGGGTCACTTCCGGCCCATACGTCATTGCCACGTCTACTTTACAGCCCGAGAGCGATACCGTAACTCACCGCTAGAGGTCACCAAAACATGGCTTGACATCAATCATTTAGTGCAGTGGTTCCCAAAGTGGGGGTCCCGACCCCCCGGGGGGTCGCGGGAACCCCTGGGGGGGTCGTAAGATGATTTCCACACAAACAAAAAACAGATTTTTTTTTTTTGAGCAAATATAAAGCCCTTAAATATTTATTTAGCATTTGATTTGATTCAAAAGGACTACTTGTTAAATTGTGTTTGGAGACTATAATATATTTGAATAACGTTAGTAATTTTGTCCCAGTCATTGCAGCGTCAATCAAAATCATCACGTAACACAGCTCACATCATGCGCAGCGACAAAGCGTGTCCTGCTGTTGTTTGCTAACACTAAAGGTGTTTGGAGGATATACAAATAAATAATACCTGCTTTAAAATGAAACGTGGTTAATATCCACAACAGAAAAACCCGGAGGGGGAGAAAAGTCACTTGTATCAGGGGTCAGGCTGATGGTGCGAAGAGAGGGAGAGAGGGCAGCGGAGGGAGAGAGGGCAGTGGAGGGAGAGAGGGCAGAGGAGGGAGAGAGGGCAGAGGAGGGAGAGAGGGCAGAGGAGGGAGAGAGGGCAGAGGAGGGAGAGAGGGCAGAGGAGGGAGAGAGGGCAGAGGAGGGAGAGAGGGCAAAGGAGGGAGAGAGGGCAGAGGAGGGAGAGAGGGCAGTGGAGGGAGGGAGGGCAGAGGAGGGAGAGAGGGCAGAGGAGGGAGAGAGGGCAGAGGAGGGAGGGAGGGCAGCGGAGGGAGAGAGGGCAGCGGAGGGAGAGAGGGCAGCGGAGGGAGGGAGGACAGCGGTAGAACAGCGCGTTAAAGAGGCCCGGCTTTTCGGAGTCAAAGGTAAAGAGGTCCGCACATTAAAAGCGGGTGGCCGGTTTATGCCTTTACTGACAGTAACTTTGGAAAGAGAAGCCGCGGGGATGAACCGCATAAAGTAACAGCAGAAAGCGGCCGCCCGCTTTTAATGTGCGGACCTCTTTGCCGCTGACTCTGGAAAGCCGGGCCTCTTTACCGCGGTAGGAGAACAGTGAGGGCGAGCCGCAAGAAATGCGCTCCACTTCTGCTGAGGAGGGACCCCACCAAGCCCATCACTGTCACTACATGAGTAAAAATATGCAAGCCTCCTTTTTTGGGCTGGACAGTGCAGCTCGGTAGTGGCGTGAGTCTCTAGAAAGCGTTACTCCGTATCAAGGAAATACATGCTCATTTCATGTGACGGAAGGGCTGTTGGGGGGGGGTGTCGCGGGTTAGCAGGGCATTTATGATGGGGGTCGCGGGCTAAAAACTTTGGGAACCCCTGATTTAGTGTATACTGTATAGTTCATAGACTGTATAGTTGTATAGTTCAGTACTAAAGTTGGACTGTGAAATGTCAACATTTCCCCTCACCAATCCCAACCAAATGAGGATTTCCAGCCGGAGGATAAGTAACAAACCATCTTTTCAATGGGTTATTTATAACATATATACACTTTTAATAGTTTATGTCTAGGCTTTAAAACACAGGTGTTTGCTAGCAACAATAATTTCAAAGGATGTGTGAACAATGATTGACACTGAGATAAACTGCACATAGCTCTCGTTTTTCACCTGGTGGTACCCCCATCTAAACAGGCAAGTGCCATCATGTTCTGTCCTATTCAGAGAGGCACCCATGACCCCACAATTTGCACACTATCTCTTCCAAACACTGGTTATGAGGGAATGTTAAATCCAATTCTAAACAGATTATGAAATTGACCAAACCTAATATCAGTAGATATGACCTGTTCAGTTCAGACTGACTGAATTGCTTTTGGATGAAGGATTTATAATGATAATTCTGCAAAAGAAATCTGATAGCATCTCAAAACATTATGCCACAGTCTGCTTTTGCACAGCTGCTGCTACAAAAGCAGGGAGGAGACCAGGGCTTCTGTATTTGAAAAACATGACTCTAAAAGCAAAGAATACAATGTGTGGAAATTCAGGAAGCACTGGGCCCAGACACAAGATCGAGGGAAGTCAAAAAATTCTATTTCCAAAAGGAAGTCAAAAAGAGTCAGGAGAAACTCATTGTGAAGAACGGCATCCCAAATCAAATTGTTGATAACAAAATTATCTCAGTCAATAACAAATAACATAATATCTCAAACCAGTCCATAGTCCTCAGAGTAAGATCGTTTCTTGTTGATGGCTGAGTCATTTGTCCCATTTCTCTCCCAGTGGGCTATATTTAGTGCCTCCAGACAGATAGGTTGGCCGCTCTCCTGTTCCATCGTCTGCTCTCCCTTCTCGACTAAAATTCAAATGCCCAAATATTTTGAAAACCTTTGCCATGTTGCATCTCTTTTCGTCTAAGTAATCAATGCCTACATTGCCCAGAGCACATAGTCAGTTGGCTACAGCCACATGTAATGACTATAATGACAGACTGACCAATGTTTTTTGTTCTTGTTCATTTCCTATTTTGTGACATGGCTTTTGGCTTTTGTACCAGAATCTGACTCAGCAATTCAGACGTGAGGAGAGCGAACACCAATATTTTGTCACATAACACATGACACTGCCCTTCCTCTGGCTGCACTGTAATTATAATCTGCCTTATACAAGTTTCATAATAACTATCACCACAAACAATAAAGTACACATTTATATAAAAAATAGAATTTCTTTAAAAACAAAATATTTTCAATAAATGTGACAATGGCTTATTGTTACATACTATGGACTTGATTGGCTGTAAATACTAATACAACATGGATGCATTGTTATTAAACATAGGGCACAAATGGTATAGCAGCAGAATGATAGTTCAACCTTGTATGCAACATCAGCAGTGATTAGCTGCACCGCTTGATATATGGCTGATGATTGTACATATTCACATGTTAACCAGGCCATCCTATGATGCTGCTACAATTGGATAACAATATGATTGGAAGCTGTTGTGTTCTAAAACTCCACACACATATCTAAGTACAGTATATTATTACATATAATGCTCACAAGTTTACAGCACATCATAAAAAGCACAATTGGTCCATACCAAGATATTTAAGTGGTTGTTTTAGCACCCACACATTCTATCCAGCAGATATGAATTATATATGAATGTGTGAATTAAATGTTCAACATATGTGGAGGCCTAAAAAAGCGAAGGCTGTAACAAATGGCCTTTTAAGGACCAATTAGAGGTAGTGATTTAAACACTGATAGAAATAACACTGAGCATGTCATATACAGCTTATTAGAGCTATCAAAAACCCATTTCTCCAGAATCATTCAACAGTGCACTATTGCCTTAACACAACAGTATTATTCTAAATTAAATATGACTTGGACCCTTCTGTGCTCACCAAGAAAACATAGAACAACATGAATTAAAACATTTGTTGGAATGTAGAGTGCTACACCCTTCTCTCAATGCACTGGAAATAGCAGTTTGAATCGACACACAGATATATGTCTACAGTGTGATGTTTTCATTTAAGACGTTTTTCAAAGTCAATATGGTTGTCTTTAAGAGGCTGTGAATATACACTGCTGACCACCCAGAGTGATGTGTATGCAGATGGATTACAGATTAACTCAAACAAAGACACACATTTAACAAAATATAAAATATCTTTAAACAAAAGTACAAAAAAGACACAGTGAACTCTCTCCTCGCAACCAGAGAGTAAATTGCAAAAATAAAACATGGACAAGTAGTGTTGAAGAGAGAGGCTACCTGGCACTTAAATGAATTATTCTCTGCACACACACAGACGGGTATAATGTTTGTGTGACGCTGTGGAAAGCGGCCAGGCCTCATTATTGTCATTCTCCTCACTCTCCAATTGTGAAGCAAAAGGAGGCAAAGCGAGGTAAAGCGGTGCTTTCAATTGAAGACCCAAGGAAAGACAAAAGACTCAAATTAAACAAATGATGGAAAGCAGCTTGGAGAGCAGTCTGTGGTCATACACTGAATGAGTGCGAATGGCTGCAGGGATATCCCATCTAGGGCTTTCAGTGCAAGGACCACACAGATTACTGCATCCATGCTTTCAGCTGCAGTCAGAACTAGAGCTTTGTGCAGAGGGCTTGGGCATGGCTCATGTCCCATTTCACATCCACCATAACCAGTTTGTTGTCCAGTTTTGTTTCCAAGGATATCTGCCTCTTGTTTAAGTGGTAACTAACGTCTAAACTAACGTCTAAACTAACTGGTAAAAAAAACCCAGTGAGTGTGGATTTTCATGACCTTAGCCTGTTCCACTAGTTTGCAGGACTGATTATATGTCTATGGATATTGAGGTAACAAAAAGTCTTTATCACGTCCTCATTGCTTCACACCTAGAAGAAAATAGGTTGTGAATAGATCTTACAGAAATGCTAAACAGTAAATTACTCCGGTTACTGACCTGCATCTCCGGACATTAAGCTTGTGGCCTTTTTGACTGCAGCTTTCTGGGTTGATCCTGCAGCGACACTGACAGGACGTTGAGTCAAGGGTCCACCTTCGTCCTCTGCACGGGTCACAGCGTGGAGTTGAGGCAGAAGCCACTGGCCCGATGGAGGCAGATGTAACTGATAATGCCGTTGACTGGGTATCAGGTGAAGCTTCAGTAATTCTATAGTAAACAAAAGATAATGTGAAAAAGCAGATAAATGAAGAATAATTACACAAAAGTCTCCTCATCAGTTCCAAAATGTAGGAGATCTGACATGTGCTATCATCAACTTTTCCTCAGCCTGAGAAAGTTGTCTCCCAATTGCCTGTTAAGTGGACCTGGACACAGAACTCCTTGATCTGAGTAGATCTTAATGAAGTTACTTAATGAGCCGGAGAGGACCCATCTTTGTTCAGTTCCTGATGACCACGCCTGCTGCTGGCAAACACAGACGAGGTGGCATTTGAGGCAAATTACACAGATTTTACCCTTGCCAGAGTCTGAATAAAGCCCGTTCTTGGAGATTGATGGGTGCTGAGGGATAACACACCCACAGAACCACCTTTGGCCCTGAGAAACTGAAAAAGTAGACATTTTTATGGTTTGGGAAAGTGAATTATCATATTAGCCAAGATGGAACCCCAGGCCGTTTAACTTTGTACATAGGACTAACTAACACCACTTAGACTCCATGAAGTGTAAGCCGGATCCGACGTGCAGGGTGTGGGATGTTGGAGTTACTGGACCTTTTTGCACATGGTCTGGGAGTGTCCAGGGGTTGTTTGGTTTTTGGAAGATGATGACCAGTGTTCTGTCGGTCCTCCTGTCGTGCCCTGCTCTCCCCTGGTCCTTCTTCTGAATGACCTCTTCCAGCTCAGTGGGGCTTATGGCTGTCAAAAAGACGGTTGCCACACAGTGGAACCCCCCCCACCCCCCCACTGCCTCAACAATATAATTGGATAATGTATCGTTTATATATTTGGGTTTCATCGCCAAGATGCGCAGTTCCATTCCCTTTTTAAAATTCTGGCTCCAGACAATGATCCGGATCACCAAAATGTCATAATTTGTTCTTTCTCCCATTTCTGAGGTTTCTTGGAAATGTTGTAATCCACCCATGACTTTGAGTTATGTTGCAGACGAACAGACAGACAAACCTAGAGGAAACCATAACCCTCTAGCAGAGGTAATACCAAAGCTGAAGTTCTGACCTCACCTATATCTGTTTATGATCAAAACATTTACACAGTTTGAATGTTTCTGTCAAATACCACCACAGCTACTTGTTTAACTTACACAGCACTGGGAGATTCCGTGGTCTTTTGTTTGGATTTTCCCCTTTTGTTTCCCTTTTGCCTGTGTCTTCTTGTCGTTTTCTCACGAGATCTGATCAGAAGGGAAAATATTTGGCATGAATGGATTAGTTATTTTGCAGAATATAAAACAATACAATCTTAATTCGGAATATGAACTGTCACATCTAAAAAGAATATAGCTCCGTGATGACAGTCCCCAAAAGAGCACATGGCAGCACAGATAAAATCACCACTATGGTGACAACAGGATGTGAGCTGTCCCAAAGGATTCTGGGAGAGAGCTGCACTCCTTTTCCCATTTAACATTTAAAACAAATATTTGTATACTGTGAAATTATTTTGTTTGTCGGCCACTTTGCATAATGTAAATGTAAAAACTAAAGAAATAGGGATATCTGATACTTAGTAATGCTTTATTTATGTTGAGTCCTAACAGGAAGCACAGACACAAACATGAAGATGGTACGATGTGATTTTATGTGGTGGAGTGGGGGATCCACCATCACTAGCATTTCTGTACAAACACCACATAACAATGGAAAGGCTTTTACCTTGTGGCAGGTGTTGTCTGGAACTGTTCCTTTATTCTGTTTCATAAAACAGATAGTGTTAATAACAAATTGAAGAGGAAGTTTATTACAATCCACCAAAATGTTGTCACCTGCAGTCACACCTGCTGTGCTCCTCGAACGGCAGCTCAACAAGTTCATGGTTCATGAAAGAGGTCCTCATTAGCTGCAAAACAAAAAAGCTGATCTGAGCTTTTTGTGTCACTTCTATGATTCCAAGGAAGTAAAAAGGTGAAACGCTGCAATTACAGTATATTTATGTTTGGTGTAGAAAGATGTTCCTTCGGCTGTATTCTTCAACAGTTTATGAAAAAACACTTTTTATGGGTTCAACCTAAAAATATAAATCTGTGTATTTTCTCAATATTTTCCAGATATTGTTCACAAATCTGTTTCAGTGAGCACTGATTCCAATCCATCACACCTCACAGCAAGATGATTAAACAGCATAGAAACTGAACAGGTGCCTTTTTAGTGGGACCTTGGGGGTCCTAAAACCAGTATATGGTGTAAGCACAATTTGCCTCACGCAGTGGAACACATGTCCTTGACAGAGATGATCAGGTTGTTGATTGTGGCTTGTGGAATGTTGGTCCACTTCAATGGCTGAGCTAATTTGCTGGATGTGGGCAGGAACATCCCTAACATGCTCAATGGGTGACATGTTGGTGACTATGCTGGCCATACAAATACTCTGATGTTTTCAGCTACCAGGATATTAAAATCCTTGCACATTGTAGCATCCTGTGTGTAATGCTGCAATGTGAGGTGATGGTTGTGGATGAATGGGCATCTCGATCCACAACCTGGACAGCAGCAAACCGCTCACCCACATAACTAGGGGTGTGACGATATATCGCGATATCGATATATTGCGATACTTTCTCCCGCGATTCGATTATCAATATGCATTTGCCAAGTATCGATATACATTTTTTTTTCCAATTAGTATCAATACTTATTATATGGCTACATATATGGCGCATCTCCATTCCATTTATCATGAAATAAAGCGTATTTTTTTACTTAACATTTTTCTTTTATTTATGCCATAATTGGGCTTAAGGTATATTTCTGACCAATATATCGATAATCGTCATATCGTGATGAAATCGTTATTGTGAGCTTTGTATTGTGTATCGTATCATATCGTGAGGTACCCTTAGGTTCCCACCCCTACACATAACGCCACACACAGTCTGCCATCTGCCCAGGGATTTGGGATTCATGTTCAGTTGTGTCATTCATTGAGAAAGTTTGGGATCCTCTAGATCATGGTATTCAACCGAACGATTCATATTCAAGATGTTCAGAATTAAAATAAAAAAGGAATACAATCATGAATAATGAAAGTGTCGTGTGACCCCTCTCTAAACAAGCTAAAATGTAACATCTTAGAGTGGCCTTTCATAGTGGCCAGCCAAAGGCCCCCCATGCCTTCTAATCAGAATCTTTACCACATCTGAAGGTGGAATGAATTGTCAGCAAAGAATAAGTGCTCAGTTAAACGGATTTAGACAGATCTGAGAACATATCTTATAGAGCCAGGTCAATAAAAAATATGAACCCATGAAAAATGGAAGGAAAAACAAAAGAGCTTTGTATTTTCATTCAGTATATCATTAAGCTGTTTTAGTAGCCTTGAAATTTGCTGCACAACAGCCTGGAAACCCTGGATAAAGAGAGTGTTTATCCTGGTATCGTTTCCTCAGCTTCATCAGGAAGATATATTGTAAGATCCTGGAGAGGAGACTGCACCAGCTCTTTACCCTTGATTGGATACTCTAGGGATCAATGGAGTTATTTGTGAATTTTGAGAAGGCTTTCAGTCATGTTCCTCTGTGTGGTGTTTGTTGATGGCTGTCCAGGTCATGTACAATTGAAGCCAGAGCTGTATTAGTATTGTTGGTAGTAAGTCTTCCAACAACTCCCTTTGTCACTGGTTCGGTTCCTCGTTTTTATGGAAAGAGTTTTTAGGTTTTTTGCTGTTTGTGAGTTATGTAATCCTGATGGCTTCATCAAACCAGTTAGTAGTGTGAAGCGGCTGGAAAAAGGTGCCTTGCCCTCTCTTGTAGAGGTCCTTCCTCAAGTGGAGGAATTCAAGTACCTCTGGGTCTTGTCCATGAGGGAGGGAGGGAGAATGAGGATTGGACCGAATCAAACTGTTGTGAAGTGGAAGCTGAGATGAGGGTTTTACTACAGGCCAACAAGCGTTGGTCCTGGGCGCCCACATAGGGTTTGTTTAAGGAGGCCAGTCTCAGAGTCGTTCAGGTTTTAGGTGTACGGACACTGTGGTCACATTACAGTGGCTATTCAAGGGAACTCGGTATAAAACAGAAAACATGGGTTGAGTGAGTAGATCGTACCTCCATCGTGAGTTTGTGAGTGTGTGTGGGCACACACTCCCAGGCCTCGTCAGCACAGCAGCCTCCACAGCGCTGCAGCGACACACACGCAGGGACAAACAGGTGGTGCGTCTCTTCTGGAAACTCGCGCCAAACCTCCACCAGACTGTCTCTTGGCTCACAGCCACTCCGCGAATACACTTCCAACCACCGGCGTACTGCAGGAAGAGATTACAGACAAGTTTGGGATAACTATCAAAGCCTCACTTTGTAGATTAGAGGTAAAATACAATTATACCTTCTCGTTCTTCCCTTAGTTTAGTTGTGGCAGTTGGCTTTGTTTGTGCATTCTGCAAAATAAACAAAACATTTTTCACATCTACATTATAGTTTTTAGATAATTATTCATCATTGCTAGATTTCCTTCCCAGTTAAATAAACAGTATGTAGCCCTGTCCACTGTGACTCAAATTACTTTCTTGGATGTATTTTGTTTGAGATAATAATGGGCACTGATCTCATATTTTATGTTTTAAAAAAATGTATGGGGACGCCTGGTAGACCCATAAATATTAATCATAGTAAGGTTTAAAATCAAGGGCATCAAAACATTAGTTTTGACCAGGGCCATTAATTAAAATTTTCCAGACTGACAGTTTTTGCATAGGATCAATGTTATATTTTGTATTTATACTTTTTTGCAAAGGTCGCAAAAAAAATTCACGTATTTCGGAACGGGCTCAAGACACACCTTCTTAGATTTGAACGAGTAGTATTTATATTCTATTTATTTTTATTTAACTTAAAAATATTTTTATTCATAGTGTTGTAGTACTGCACTCCATAATTTTAATATTTCCCTTTTATTTTTTTTGTTTTATAATTCCTCTGGAGGTGCCTCTGCACTGGGAGTAGCGGTCGGCTGGGTCGCCTCATGGACCTGGTGGAGGTTTGGCTCCTCTGGGTCTTGGTCATCCCTTGAGGCTGCAGATGACTCTCTGCTCCTGGTGCAGACAGCTCCTCAGATGGCACTTCCTCCATGTGCATGTGTGTTCGTGTGGAAAGTGAAATGAAGATACTGTTGTCTGTGGGTTGTTTGGGGTGGGTTTGTTGCACAAGTGGGTTAACGGTTAATGGGCATAACGAATATAGACAAATGAATGCCTGCATAATCTGCAAAACAGTGTACTGTCCCACAGATCAATGGTACCTTTTTGTAAATCTTTTCAAAGAGACAGCAGGCCAGAGGGCTTCAACCTTGTGGAAACCATTTGGTTGCTGTAAACCCCTCCATGAGAACTTTGCTTTACGAACTATTTAAGACCTGCTTCTACTATATAGTTTTTTATGAAAAAAGTTCAAAACATATCAGTTAGACTAGACAACCAACCAGATTTAAACATGGATGACTCTGAAAGTTTCACAGTGAAACTTTCTGGTTGAAACAAAATCAAGACAAAACATGCATAGAATATCTCTGAATAACAGGTTGAGGCCGGATCAAACTGCTGGGTGGACCTGATTTGGCCCCTGGGTCCCAAGTTGAATGTAGGTCTGACATAGACATTGCTCTTTTGCCCACTTTGCCAGCTCCACCCCTTTGCCCAAAGATACACACATGTTGGCCCAGACGAGCCACACATGGGGCCTGCAGGACGCACAATCTAATCAGCACTAACAATATACTTTCATTATTCAAATAAAGGCATAAACATCGGACCGCAGATTGCACAGAGATCATTTGTTAATGTTGATTTGTTGTATTTTTGTAACAGAGAGCAAGCTACAAGAACAAGCTACAATGAACCGCAAATGAGATTTTAAGAAATAATTAATCAAGGATTTGAGGATCGTTTTTAGGCCGTAAATGACATCGGCCCATAGCAATCCTTTCTCTGTAGCACATGGACTTTTTGATCTGACTCCACAAATGTAAACCTCACATTAGAAAATAAGTCTAGTATGACTGAGAAATTTGTGTTTTTTTTTAATGATCACAGCTATAGTAGAGGCAGGTCTAGAATAGCAAAAGCAAAGTTCCCTTGAGGGGCTTCCAGTAATCAAAGAGATGGTTGCCACAAGGTGGAAGCTCCCTCACTCGCTGTCTCGCCGACAGTGGGTCTGTCTGCAGCTATGGAACAGCCATTTGGATTGTTTGAGATGCAAGTTCTCTGACTGAGCTGTAATATTCAATTAAACATGGTTGTTATTTAGTTAATGTTATTTTCTAATGTGAGGATTACATTTGTGGAGTCAGATCAAAAGTCCATGTGCAACTGAGACAGGATTTCCATTAGCCGTTGTCATTAACGGCTTCGAACTGATCCACAAAGCCTTGATTCATTGCACATGAATAAAACCATTAGTTAGGCTACAGTCTGAACTCCCCACAAAGGAACCCTCGTCAAAATGGGGGGCCAAGTTGTCAACACTCAGAAATAGACGGGGAAATTGGACAGTCTCCAATCTGACCCAACCTGCTTCCACAAACTAAGATGAGCAATGTCCATACAACAGCTAACAAGTGGCCTATAGTCTACAGTTAAAGACAGAGAGTAAATGTATCCAAGTATTATGGGACACCTTACATGTAGGCCTATCCTACATGTCTACTACTGAAGTGTCGCATCAGTTACAGCATAAAAAGATGTAACTGTCAAATAAAGAAATAAATACATTAGACAATCGAACAATGTACTCAAGTTTTAGTTACTCTTCCCGTATAAATATATTTATTCATAAGTGGCAAAAGATTGATGGTAATTTTCTTTGTTGTTGTTTTGTAACCTTTGAGGTCAGAATTAAACTTTTAATTATTAATTATGTAAATGTCCAATTCCACTTAGTGAATAACTAACTTCACATCACTTTCCAATTCTGCTGCTTCTACTTATATTATAATCCATTATGTTAAATATTAAATTATTTTTTTAATTGGCAGTACTGTGTCCACAACCTACAGATAAAGGGTGACTCTTCCCATCCGGTGGTATCAGCACTTACTGTTACAGGTGTTAGGGTATCGGAATAAAATAAGGTTTGAAAACATGGAATAGCCTACTGTATACTACGTTTAAGGGGGACAAAGACCCTAAAGTTTGGATTATCTGCGACACAGTAAAGGCCTACACCACTAGTGCAGGGGTGACCGGAGTGCATCACAGGGACGTGGCTTGACTGGTCCTAAAGTCGATGACCCAGAGGTGAACTTCTACAGTGAATGCGTCCTAAATGCTTTCTTTTCTGAAGCTACTTCGTTTTAGTTCCCACACCAGGTATTATAACAGCGCAGACCGGGACTGGGGTCACAGTGTCCATTGCAAACACATTGAGGTCAAATGCTCTACTCTATAATAGACACACAAACATACCTTGGCATGGGACATCAGCATTTTGGAGAGCAGCAGGAATTGAAACATTCCAAGAATAACTTGAAGCATAATCCCCATTGTGCAAGAGTCCAAGGGGCACGCCAAAATATTTTGGGCCAATCCAAAATACCAGAGAGAATGGTGGCTTCTGTCACATTAGAGATCTCCAGCTTTCATTCTCCAGTGTATTTTCCCAGTGAGGACATTTTAAGTTTCAGTCGAATGACATTAAGCTGTTGCATTTGAAGAAACGACGTCAAATTAAACGGGCTATGAACTGCTCTGCCTCTCGGACTTGTGCCACAATTCCTTTGGCAACAGCTCAATTCCTACAAATTGTAAATGTTGCTGTCACGTGTCTGAAGTTTAAGTGATGTGCGGGCGTCCGGTCACCGAATAGGATCCACTTTTATATAAACGTATCACCGTGTGGCAGGTGGCGCAGCATGCAATGACCCCTCAAAGTCTGATCCGGTATGAAATCCTGGACGTGAACCTCAAATTGTGCTGTTTCTCCAAAGATTTAAGTCCCTTCCAATGGAGCTGCTGTGCTGACGTGAGGACAGTGGCGCACGTCCTCTCCCCCCGGTTCTAAAAATGCGACGCTTCGCCCTGGCTCACCATGCCCTTCACCAGCCCGCTCCCTGTATAAACAAACAAGACTTTATGATCTTCGCAGCTCGGTGACACGTCCATTGGCGAACCGCGACGCGAGGGAGCATAGGACTCTTCAAACATGTGGACAGATCGCTTGTATCTTTTGCCCTTGAAACGCACCCAACGAAACAATTGCGCGGGTAACTTTTGCAGACGGGGGAGCGCGCAAGTGCAGGTGCTGGTCCCATGTGAGCCGGGTGCTATCAGCCGGACACAGACCGGGTAAAGAAAACAAGTTTAGTGCCAATCATGCCAAAGAGTGGCACAAAAATACAATGTTTAGTTGTAAAGCCAGCCGCCGATGAAAAGAACGTGTGTATATTTAATTCTGAATTTTTCACCTTTTCTAATGGTGCATCATATAAACATAGAAAAATAAAACATAAATGTTCCTCACAAGAAACACCGCATTATATATTGGTGCATTCAGTACATTACAGTATTGACATTGAAATTCATAGTTTTAGCAGATTAAGCAATCCTAAACCTCTGCATTAGTCAGGGGCGTACAAAAACACACACAATGATTAACAATTATTAAATAGCAAACTAAATAAGCTGCTGAATTAAAGTTTATATATAAAGTTATCATTGTAATGCGTCTCAATCTTATTTTGGTCATAGCCTGCACTTGACAGCTCCTTCTCCCATGAGTGAGTGAGCAGGCATGCTTTGCCATTAAACCTTGTTTGGGTTATGACAGCACACTCACACGCCACAGGAAGGTATCTGCATGCAACCAAGGATATGTGTTATGAGCTGCTGAAGCCTACACTTCGGGCCCCTGTACAAACCTGACAAACACATCTGGCATGTGTCACACTCTTTACATGTTAGTCTTTTACATGCAAAGTCGGACGAAACAAGAGGAACAATATTTATAGATAGTAGTAGCCAGTAATCTATGAGATGCGTCATTTATCAATTCAGTTGAATGTATTATAGTTATAACAAAGCACTACACACATGATGAAGACATTCAATTCATGATCAAAGCCATTTATTTTAAAACAATAAGTCTATATCACTGTTGCAGCTTTATAATCAGTCCCCCAAGAGTCACTAAAACCAAGCACCCCCTGGTTTAAACAGGAGGTCTTCATACAAGAGGCTGGAATATTAATACATCTATTTTATAAATGTGTTTGCCGCTAGTTAGATTTGGAAAAGGGCTGCTAATTTTCACACCGATTACATGTTTAAGTAGTATTCATAAATGTCTTGAACGCTTCATCTCTCTTATACGTCACAAAGACATGGATGTAAGTGACTAAAGACGTGCCCTGTGCATTAACAACAGGATATGTGTGGCATTGGCTGAAGCTCTTTCTTTCTTTTACACAAAATAATTCCAATTACATCATTTTCAACATCTACCTACACAAGTGAAAACACGAATGTCACCACATGGTCACTCCCTAAACTCCAGCACCGCTGTTGTGCAATAGTAATTTCAATTGACCGGTAAAACTTCAGAGTAACGTCATGGGAATCTTACTAATCGTCTCCACCACGACGCATTTTATATTTCTGCAAAAACTCTGCATGTTTCTGGCTGAGAATTTCTTTCTGCTTTTCGAAACTGTTGACCCTGTAACATACATAAAAATATGAGTAAGTGGAAATAAAAAAGTGAATTCACAATTAACAATTAGACTTTTGAGGAACCTTGCTCGCTCTTTGGCCTCATTGTAAATTGCAGTGATCACTCTGTCCTTCTCATCCATATAATTAGTGTGGACTTCTTCCAGTTTTCTGTGAATGTGATATAAAGTCATTGAGATTGTGTATACTACAAACAGGTTATTACGTGGATTAAGATGATAAACTTTAATTTCAAGTTAAAATTTTGTGTAAAATGTGCAATGAGAACTCTGACATTCAAGTAATTTAATTTACTCTACTTCTGGAAACAATATTCTCTTAGACTTTGGAGAATCTATTAGATCACATATCTATGATGTATACCTGAAAAGGACGTAGTGGACTCCAACACTCAATACTATGGCAGCAACACAGTATCCCAACACGCGCTGATTTTGGGTCCTTCTCTTCTGCCATGCTTCACTTGACATGTTATGAGCATTAGACTGACGGAATTGTTCCCAATAACGCTGACTCTCATAAGCTTCTGAGCTGAAACAGTAAAGAACAACTTTATTTGCCATTTGTGGTTATAAAAGGGCTGATAGTTTATGTGTGGATTTACCTGTATTTATTTGAATGGTCTGTATTTCTAAACGTGGAATCATAGGTCTGATTAAAATTGTATGGATGTCTAATCTTTAAATCATACTCTTTACGGCTTTTATCTTTGCTCAGCACTCTGTAGGCTTCATTTAGTTTCACAAACTGAGTGTGAAGATCTGGATTAGAGGGGTCACTGTCTGGATGCACCTGAGAAAGAAAAAACAACTAATGAAGCATTGAGCCATATATTAAAATTAGCTTTAGATATATAGAGCGAGAGGAGAGTGAGAGAATACTGCCATCGTGTGGACAAAATAATTCATAATTGTGAAATCTATATCCATACCTTTTTAGATTTGTCAAAAAATGCATTTTTTATTTCCTCCAAGGATGCATCCGACTTGATACCCAAAAGATCATAATGGTTTGCTGATTTGCTGCTTCAAGAAAAAAATAAATCAAGGAATGCAAATACATTATGCTGATAAAGTACATACCTGTGAATGCGGCTTTGAGAAATAAATCGAATGCCACCTTTGTAGAACCACAGACAGGTCTGACACAAGCGGAGCTGGGCTTCCAACTGCATTATACAAAACTGATGGCACCTGCAAGCAAGATGTCAGGAATATTAAATGTATTCAACTTGACTATTAAACATACGTTTCTAAAGATTTATTTTCTTGTCATGCTAGATCCCAGATATATTAGGGTAATTAAAACCGGTTGTTGTCATGTGTCAATTTTCCCAATGCTAATGCTAGTAACTTCTGTTTTGTGATGCAGCTGGGTCTCATCTTATAGGTCACACTGTGTAGGGAGAAGGTACCAGTAATTGATAATGATTGATTCAAAATTTCATGAAGCTGTAGAATACTGGAAATGTCACAGCGTGTATTTGAATAAGTTTTAATAATGAGATTCCAGTATATAGGAACACAATGTTCTCCTGAACTCAGACTAGATCCATGCCGAAACTACGATCACAACCATAGCTAGCATGTTTGTTTACAATACCTGATAGCTATGATAGTTTAAGAATATAGACTGTAAATATTAACGATACGAGGCAATACTAAATAAGCACAACAAGTAACCTACCAGCTGTCTTTGTCGGTCCATAACACTTAATGGAGGTGCAGAGCAGCGAATGTTGCATAAAACTGAAGTGAAGTTAGCCTGTCTGCACATCGCAAAAGTGGAATCCTTCATAATAAAACATTTTATTTTTTTATATGAAGTGTATTTTACAAAATGTAGTAAAACAAAAGCTGGATAATCGAATTTGAAACCTGAATCTATATTTCTTGATTAGCTAGTTTTGTCAGGATTGTAATCACGGGTGGATTTCTCCACATGACCGGCAGAGGGCAATAGTCGTAAAATTACGGATATGCGGAAGTAGCGAGGCTCATCCACCGGTTTGGTATAATTTATTTACTTTGTTACATTGATTAGATCAATAGATCTTTCAGTGCTGGTTTTTAATAAGTGATTCTAGGCCTACATGTTAGTTTTTATTCAAGATTGTTGTGGTAAATAGTAACTTTATGGACCCTGAGGTTTCACTACTGCTGGACTGTGCAGACTGTAAAGGACTCAGGAAGTCTCAGGTACAAGTGGAACTCTCAGAACGGTGAAGTGAATAAATACTTAATTTCATTATTTTCAATCAGTTGTATGACACCACATGACAGGCTGTTTTGTGTTTGTGACTTTAGGTATAACAGGCAAACAGATGCAGCGCTTGAAGACCACATTGAGAAGTTGTGGACACAGAGAATCGCTAAAGAGCCCTGGATTTTTAATGGAGCGAAGTTTAGACTACACTCTTTCCAGTGGTGGAGGAAGTACGCAATTTGCTTTTAGTCGTTCTATGGCACTGATGGTAAAAATACTGACATGACTTGGATCTCCTCAAACCTGACTCTTAATTAGCCTGGATAAGCCCCCCCCCCCCCCCCCCCTACTAGTGCCTATGAAAATGTTTTACTTTCCTTCCCTTCTTTCTTTTAATGGAAATGCTTTCAAAGCAGGCCTGTTGGTCATGCTGGTGAAGTTCCAAGTAATTATTATTAAGATCTATTTTACATCTGCATTAGATCAAATAATTTAGCCATTCAAGGTTTAAGTTTTGAGCTGTGAAAACTCCTGTAAATAAAATACTGGGATACGTTCCAAGCAAAGAAATAAAAACCTGGCAACCTGCAGGCAACAAACCCCCATAAAATATGTTGTGGATTAGGCCTTTACAATGTACAATAGTTTTACTTGTTACTTTCCATCACTGACTTTTTACTTACTGATTTGTTACAGAAAGAACCCAGAATCACAGGCTATAGACGGATATAACAAAAGCTATGAAAACAAACTTGTGGACTGCAGAGATGGAGATGCATGTTCAGCATTGTCCAGAGATGAACACACCAAGAATAAAACTGCAATGCCAGCAAAAGAAACTCAGAAGGAAGAAGGCTGCATCCTTGTTCTGCAACTAGGCCTTACCTCTTATAAAGATTACCTCGGTACAAACTGGTCTGAACAGGCAGAGGAGCTGTGTCGACGTGGGCTGGTGGAGTTTGGTGAACCACGGTCGCTCCTCGCTCAGCCCCTGGGAGTAGGTGCCGTTCTGTGCACAGCAGATGAGCAGATAGTTTTCATCAGAAGAAGCCAGACTGTTGCAGAGGCAGGTGGCCAACTTGACATCCCAGGAGGACACCCTGAGCCAAAGGTGAGCAGTGTGGAAACAGGTCCAGCACATTTCCAGTTTATACAAATGTTTTTGGTGCTTAGATTGTGTGTGAGAATTTGGGTGTGAAGATTTGTGACAAGATCAGCGTTGACATGTTGAGTCCGGTAGCTGTTGCGACAGAACTGTTTTCATCGGTTGCTGCAGAGATCCGTGATGAGGTAGGTTTGAATTTTTTTTTTAGGGAGGTATAAAACTAAATACTCTTGATTGTGCTTAAAATGTACATTGTGAAAGTAATGTTGAGTTAAATTAAATTATGAATATTTTCTTAATGCCTAGCATCCCAATTTACACTATGCAGCATCACTTCTACAAAATCTACATATTTGGCCTTCCAAATGCCACCCAGGCTTAAAATAGGATCAATTATGCGTTTAAAAAGACTGCACGGTTTCTATAGCAGGAATAAACAAAACTAAGGAAAAGTATCTGAATTCCGCAAATAATTTAACTGCAGTGAAGTCCATGGACCATCTGAAGAAGCGTAAGTAATAACATGCATATCAACACATTAAAATTTAAACACCTGGTTTCTATTTGTCAAAAATACAAACCATGAAATTAGGGGTGACAGTGGTAGAGCATTGACCTTTGAGCCTGAAGGTTGTGGGCTCGATCCTTGTGGTAGGATCTTGCTTCTGCTCTCTGAATTGGGTTCTGACTGCACCCAACCCAGAAATGGATTAAGGGGAAGAAAATTGATGAATGTTGTAAATGTTGTAAATTCAAACAATTTTTTTTTTCAGTCTAAATTCTAAACTCACAACAAGAAACATTTCTTTATACTGTCTTTTTAGATAAACATTCCTTTGAATTTCCTTGGAGAGCCAGTGTTGATGGGAATTGCACTAAATCATACAAGTGCAGGTCGACCAAGTGCAGAGTTTTACATCAGGTACAACTCCTGAGCATCATGTCTCCAGTGTCAAATGTCCTAAAATAAATGCACCATGTTTAGATGTTCACTGACTTCGGACCAAGTCAAAGGGTTGTACTTGAAAGGTGGTGCTGAGGCAAATGAGTCAACTGATATCATGTTTGTCAACAAACAGGTGACTATTGCATGCTGGTTCATTTAAATGTGGTTTTTGTTTTAAAGTATGATTGTATTTGTTATACTTTCTTTTAGACTGTGCTGCAGTTGGATCAAAAATCTCATTTGTGGCCTGAGCTGTGCCCTTCAGCCAAAGGAGCCATTCTACTTTATCAGATGGTGAAGCCAGACGAAGAAGTGAACTAAATAAAAAAAATAATGGCTCTACACACCCGCACAAACCATAAGACGATGAAGAATTCGGCTGTATTTATTAGGAACATTGGATATTGAGAATATATTTTTGTGCAAATACATATCAAAAAATCTAAAATATACATTGCTTTTCCTTTATGAAGTTAAGATATTCATTGTTTAAATATGGTTATACTTCAGCAAGTATTGATAAAATGTCTAATGAAGATCCAAGTCCCAAAAACTGTTCTGACTGAACATCTACATTTCTCACCAGCAGCCATCGTAACTGCCGTTATAGTAGTATCCGTGCAGAGAGGTCACAGGCCACTAAAACACACAAGAGGAAACTAGTTATCGTTTATCACAAAGGAAATCTTTGGCTTTGAAATACCATATCAGCAGAGACCTTGCAAGAAGCTTGTTTGTTTTATGCAAGTTTACTTTGAGTGAAGTCAGTTTTCTGTCTCTGACAATACGTTCAGACTCGACACTGCAGCTCTGCTCTGGACCGGAACACCAACATGCACCAACCAGCTGGCAGCTCACTGACATGTACTCAAACCGTTGGGTCAGGACTTCTTATTCAAAATAATATGATTGTAAAACGTGCATCAAATGAACAAGCATGGCATGGAAAATGTACAGTGCCTTGCGAAAGTATTTGGCCCCCTTGAACCTTTCAACATTTCGCCACATTTCAGGCCTCAGACAAAGATATAAAAATTAAATTTTTTGTCAAGAATGACCAACAAGTGGGACACAATCGTGAAGTGGAACAAAATTTATTGGATAATTTAAACTTTAACAAATAAACTGAAAAGTGGGGCGTGCAATATTATTCGGCCCCCTTGCGCTAATACTTTGTAGCGCCACCTTTTGCTGCAATTACAGCTGCAAGTCGCTTGGGGTATGTATCAGTTTTGCACATCGAGAGACTGGAATTCTTGCCCATTCTTCCTTGCAAAACAGCTCGAGCTCAGTGAGGTTGGATGGAGAGCGTTTGAACAGCAGTCTTCAGCTCTTTCCACAGATTCTCGATTGGATTCAGGTCTGGACTTTGACTTGGCCATTCTAACACCTGGATACGTCTATTTGTGAACCATTCCATTGTAGATTTGGCTTTATGTTTTGGATCATTGTCCTGTTGGAAGATAAATCTCCGTCCCAGTCTCAGGTCTTTTGCAGACTCCAACAGGTTTTCTTCCAGAATGGTCCTGTATTTGGCTCCATCCATCTTCCCATCAATTTTAGCCATCTTCCCTGTCCCTGCTGAAGAAAAGCAGGCCCAAACCATGATGCTGCCACCACCATGTTTGACAGTGGGGATGGTGTGTTCAGGGTGATGAGCTGTGTTGCTTTTACGCCAAACATATCGTTTTGCATTGTGGCCAAAAAGTTTGATTTTGGTTTCATCTGACCAGAGCACCTTCTTCCACATGTTTGGTGTGTCTCCCAGGTAGCTTGTGGCAAACTTCAAACAAGATTTTTTATGGATAGCTTTGAGAAATGGCTTTCTTCTTGCCACTCTTCAATAAAGGCCAGATTTGTACAGTGCACGACTGATTGTTGTCCTATGGACAGACTCTCCCACCTCAGCTGTAGTTATCTGCAGTTCATCCAGAGTGATCATGGGCCTCTTGGCTGCATCTCTGATCAGTCTTCTTGTTTGAGATGAAAGTTTGGAGGGACGGCCGGGTCTTGGTAGATTTGCAGTGGTCTGATACTCCTTCCACTTCAATATAACTGCTTGCACAGTGCTCCTTGAGAGGTTTAAAGCTTGGGAAATCTTTTTGTATCCAAATCCGGCTTTAAACTTCTCCACAACAGTATCTTGGACCTGCCTGGTGTGTTCCTTTGTCTTCATGGTTCTCTCTGCGCTTTAAACAGAACCCTGAGACTATCAAAGAGTAGGTGCATTTATACGGAGACTTGATTACACACAGGTGCATTCTAGTTATCATCAGTCATTTAGGACAACATTGGATCATTCAAAGATCCTCACTGAACTTCTGGAGTGAGTTTGCTGCACTGAAAGTAAAGGGGCCGAATAATATCGCACGCCCCATTTTTCAGTTTTTGTTAAAAAAGTTTAAATTATCCAATAAATTTTGTTCCACTTCACAATTGTGTCCCACTTGTTGATTCATGACAAAAAAATTAAATTTTATATCTTTATGTTTGAAGCCTGAAATGTGGCAAAATGTTGAAAAGTTCAAGGGGGCCGAATACTTTCGCAAGGCACTGTGTTTATAAAAGCATCATTCATGCAGAAGCAACCCAAGCTGCTTATTATGAATGATATATTGTACAGTTCTATACAATTATACTGTCATGTTAAATTTCATAATATAATTTTTTGATACAAATGTCATGTCAATTAAGTCTTTTTGCCATGCTGTGGTAAAACATGCACTGGTAGGCTTTTACATTTGTTCATATGTATAAAGGATACTTACATATTGCTGGCTCCATGATGGCAGATAACTCCAATCTGAAAGACATGAGATTGTATGTTTGCATACCCTTTGATACATTCCTTACAAATGATTTGTTCTTACTGCGGCATGTGCATTGGGCCTTACAGGACGATTCTCGCCCATGAGGATATGGCCTTTTCTTGATGCGGTGCAGTTTCTTTTCATTATGTTTGGGAGTAGGCAACAGGCTGCGTGCCTCATCTTTGTACTCCTGTAACAATGTCTGTGATTGCTTTTGTGAGAGCTCCACAAACTGTAGTTCTTCCATAGAATCATCTTGCTGAGGAAGAGTGCAGCTGACTGAAAAGATGGGTTATTAGAACCAAGATATTTCACAGCAAAGACATAGGTAACTTTATCATCTTACTTTGAAGTTTAAGTAAAGCCATTTGAGGGATGTGCTCCCCCTCTTTTTGTAAGAGGGGGAGCTTTGAAAGACGATTATTCCATTCCTTTTTTGTGGGAAAGATTACTACCACCTTTCGTCTAAAACCCACAAACAACTGTAACTTGTAATGGCGCGCAGAGAAGAGTATGTTACACTACAAAAAAAATAAAAATGATTAAAAAGTTAAGTAAGCAAGTGCTTACATAACTGTATACAGAAATAAATACTTGGTCAAGGATGTAATTGCCTGGTCTTTGGGCAGCAAGTTTGATCAATTCTGTAAGGTACTGGGAAGCTTGGTGAAGCCTGACATCACTTTCTCCACTTTTCTATAAATAAAATTAGTTAACAGTAGAACTCACATCTCAAAATAAAAACTAAAGTTTACACTTACAACAGTACAAGCGAGCAACTCCTCTGTGCTCAACAGCTTGTAATGCTTTTCTGGATGTTGCTTTATGTGCTTCTTTGCCCAGTGGGTCTTCCCGGAACCAGGAAAACCGACCATTACAATTACCTACAGTGCGCAATGACAGTTTGTTATTTTACAAACAACCATTTATTTTTTTAGTTTTAACTACAAATGCAGTTACCTCACACTGTGACTTTGACAAAGGAGCTGAAAAAGCACAAATCTTTTCCTCATCAGACAGCGAGCCCAGTGAGGTAAATCCTGAAGGCATGTTGCAGGCAGGAGCCATAGGATCAAGAAGAAACCGAACAGAGCAACCTCTACATAGAACGTGTGGGAACAGAGGTTGTCCCTGCAGCACTGATACATCAAATGCATATGCAACACCCAAGAATAATCCATTTTTATGAAATGAGAGTTCAACTGCGCCACCGGTCGAAAAAGACTGAGAACAAAAAATGTGTAACTTGTTTTGAGATTATATATACACACACACACACACCCATATACAAGGAAAATTGAGAATACTTACAACATAACAACCAATTATATCTCCAACAGATAAGATTTGCCCATAGTCCTCTTCTTTTCCAACAGAAACTTTCTTTCCACGTCCATCATAAGCAAATGACAAATAATCTTTACCTTGAATAAAAGAATAAAATTTAAGACAAATAACAGAATGATACACACAAATAAAAATTGAACATACCAAGAAACAAGGAGGCATTGGCCACTGACCATCCGACTCTAAGCCCGAAAGACTCAACATCAGGTGGATCTTGTGAGGTCAAAAGCCTCTCCAGCTTCACTTCAAAGCCCACTCTGTCCCTCTGAACTCCATGGGTGAGTCTGCAGCCGGACCAAAGCAGAGGAAAACGCTCCCATAATAGTGGATGACCACTGACCCCATCTGGCTCAACTTCAAAGTGAAGGTGGCTGTTGTCTTTTGGCACAAATATATTACTCATTATATAAAGCCGCTGTCTTATTCAATACAAGTAACATTTAACTTACAAGAATCGATTCGAACAGTTTTATTATCTTCCATGGGCTCTTCTGTTACAGAAGCAGGCGGTAACTTGGACCTTCAGGGAAATGACAAAAGGATTAAATAAGCATAGTTTTGAAGCGGAAAATGTGTGCGTTTCCTTACCTTTTATACTTTATTTCTTCTTTAAACTCGTAAAAAGCTCGCCCCTTTCCCTGTACATCGCCCTTCACAGCCTCCCCCTGCTGCAGGTCCTCAGTCCCCATGTCTTTCCCTGAGTCCGTCTGTGTGCCAGTTTCCGTGTACTGTCTGTGGGTCTCTGCTGGTGGTGAAACTGTTTCTGCTCGGATCCTTTCGTGAGGATGTAGTAAAGTGGGATTTTCCTCTTGTGTTGACTCGACTATAGCGTCCACCGCTGACCATAATCTCCCCACCAGCTCTGCTTTCAGTCCTCGACTGTCCAAACCTAGCTTTTTTAGCCGAGACTTTAGCTCCGGAACTTTTAACCTTTTTAAATCTTCAAGTTTAGCAGACATACTTTAAGATTTTCTCGGAAGAACTAACTTGCCTGAGTGATCTCTTTAGGGCGAATAAAGTTAGTAAAAACGACCGAACGACGCAGTTGTTGCTTGAGTTCAATATGGGAGCCCTGGTCTCTGATTGGACAAAAGCAGCTGACTCTGCAGCGTTCTTTGGGCTTCGTGGCTCACTACCGACACTGGGCGGCTCGCCGGTGCCACTGTCTAAATAAATACACTAATGCAGTGTCTCCCAAAGTGGGGTCCGCGGCCCCCTGGTGGGCCAAGAGGGTACTGCAGGGGGGCTGCGGGAGGTCATTAAAAAAAAAATTAATGTTACATTTATAATGTTTTGTTTGTAATATTAAAATATGTGTTCATTATTGGACTTGAATAATCCACTGTAATCATTTTTGTATTACAATGTTTGTAGCAGAGGCTATTTCCCCAAAATAAAATAAAAAGAAGAGCCTATTCTTAATATTGTCTTCTTGGTTAATATTTTGGGGGGCCACGCAGACCCGTCAGATTTTTAAGGGGGCCTCGGTGTTACTGAGTTTGGGAATGGCTGCACTAATGAATAAAAAATGCGTAAAGGATACCATATATTATAGTAAATATCAATATATAATGTTACAGCAAGTATCACATTGACTTTACTCACAAATGTCTAGGTATCTACACATTCAAACATATTTGAATAGCTATAGTCTGGGCTTTTGATACCAGGAATGTTTGAGAAAGTAATAAAAAATCATTTTGGTGGAGCGCTAAAACAAAAATAACCATCGCTGATCGCTGCCAAATTAATGGAAAAATATCACATTAGTAAAAAATACGGACAATACATGAACGCGACAGCGGTGACGTAGCTTGACTCCTGCATTCTGACCGCTAAGAATTCTGGGATTAGGTCAAGAATCGAACATCGGCAGGAGCAAAGAAGAACGCGGAGCCAAATGCTTTTGTCCCCAAATGAAGATTTCTGTCGTATGTTTGTCTGTCAGGTGGATATTTTTGAGTGACGAGTAGAACGTCTCTCGGATCTAGTGCAGCGTTAACACGCAATCAACATCTGTTTTCGAGTGAGCTAATGCTATCAGACTAGCATTGTTATTATTGTGACTTCGTACCCATTTGGAAAAGCCCTCTGAGGGTTTACCTGGCCGAGTGATGTTTTGCTGCTTTCCGAGAGAAGATGGATGAAAAGTCCAACAGAAGCAGTAGCAGGCACCAAAGACTGTTCGTCGCCCTGTTAATGGTGCTGTTGTTTGGCATCATTATGGTCCAGTATATGTGCCCAAATGGAGCTGAATGTCAGACTTTGCACAATCTGGGATCGTGGTTTAAGATTTGGAGAACTTCGACTTCTGATGGATCTAATGTTTTTAAGGAAAGCGGCTCTAAAGATCCATATCTCGCTGAAGATGGCGCATTAGTTCGCTTTATTCCTCGTTTTAATTTTTCCAAAATTGATTTATATCGGGCTGTAGATTTCAATATAAAAGGTGACGATGTTATAGTTTTTTTGCATATTCAGAAGACTGGGGGCACCACTTTTGGAAGACATTTAGTGAGGAACATCCAGCTGGAAAGACCATGTGAATGCCATGTAGGGCAGAAGAAGTGCTCCTGTTATCGTCCAGGGAAGAAAGAGACATGGCTCTTTTCCCGTTTCTCCACTGGTTGGAGCTGCGGGCTTCACGCGGACTGGACTGAACTCACCAACTGTGTCCCTTCACGAATGGGCTCCCAGGAACCTCCCAAGAGCCTCCCCAGGTTGTCTTTCACATTTTTTTTCATGGTCGTGCTTTATGACTTCTACAATAGCTTTTGGAAATATCCATTTAGGACTCTATAACACCACATGCTTTTATAGCAGAGATCTCAAACTGGTTCCAGTATGTGTGGTTTCAAGTTTTAGTTCTAAACTGCAGTTAAAGAAAACTGGGCTGAATACTTTTGCAAGAGACACACAGTCTTTCAGTTTTTATGGAAACTTCTACACAAAACATGTATTATGCCATTTTGGTGAAAGACCAACACATTCAAATAGTTTTTTGTGGTCGCAAGGAGACAAAATGTAAACAATATCCATGGGGTATGAATACGTCACTGTAATTGATGTAGAACATGTTTTTCATTTTACAAATTATTTGATGTTGACATTTTCCTTTTTGTTTCAGACATAGTTATCACTACATAACCATACTGAGAGATCCCGTATCCCGTTATCTAAGTGAGTGGCGTCATGTGCAAAGAGGTGCTACATGGAAAGCATCTTTACACGTTTGCGACGGCCGTTCACCTACTCTCTCGGAGTTACCCAGCTGTTACTCTGGTGATGACTGGTCTGGCTGCACACTTCAAGAATTTATGGATTGTCCATATAATCTGGCCAACAACCGTCAGACTCGCATGCTAGCAGACCTGAGCCTTGTGGGCTGCTATAATGTGTCTGCCATGAGTGAGGATGAGCGCTGGGCTGTGCTGCTTGAAAGCGCCAAACGTAATCTACGGAGCATGGCGTTTTTTGGGTTGACAGAGTATCAGCGCAAGACCCAGTATCTGTTCGAGCGAACTTTTAACTTGGAGTTTATTGCTCCTTTTACACAGTTGAATGGCACTCGAGCATCCAGTGTTGAGGTGCCATCTGAGACTCAACACAGAATTCGTCTTCTTAACAAATGGGATGTGGACCTGTATGAATATGCAAGAGATCTCTTTCTCCAGCGGTTTCAAGTGTCACGACAGCAGGAGCGTAGGCAGGCACGAGAGAAGCGTCTACAAGAGAGGAGACGTCTCCGTGGTCGACTTGCAATAAAACAAGGACTGCAGTTAAAAGTCTCTGGAACAGACAACTTGGAAAAGGAACTTCATTTGCTAACTGAGGAGCAGCAAAGATTTAAGCCTACTGTAGACACTGAAGGGCTGCTCCCAAACTGGTGGGATATAGATGAGAACGAGGACATTATGGAGGATTATTTAGACAATGTAGAACAGTGGTGACAAGTGGATAAAAAAATACGTGCCATTTTTTTACCTAGTCTTTTCTATATACAGTTTCTCAAAATGTTTAACTCTGATTGTATATTTAACCTCAAATCAAATCGTTTTTAGTAACAAAAATATTGTGTTGTGGTTGCAATCTACATAAATATTAGTTTTTAATTACAATCTGTATGTTTACCAAAGAGTAGTCCGTAATATACTTAATTTTAGGTACCTTTGATCTGGTTCATGCTTTTTTTTTTTTTTTTTATATTTCTTTTTATAAAAAAACGTTTTATGCAAAAGTTGCTTATCTTGTGATTCAATCTCAATGGCTGTAATATCCATCCATCCATTCCATCCATTTTCTACCCTTTAATCCATTTCTGGGTCAGGGGGGTGGCAATCAGAGATGCCACCCAAGTCTCATAGCACCAGCCCCTCACTGACCCTCTGCAGGTGGTGAGTCCACAGGAGGACGGCTGCTCTCTGAGTGTGAGCATAGCCTTGATCTTTCAGCGGGGGATTTGGGCAAAGTGGGGTTAAGTGTCTTGCCCAAGGACACAACGGCAGCAGTCATCAGTGGGAGTCGGTGGAGAAGGTGTGGAGGTGGGAATTGAACCCACGACCTTCAGGCCTGAAGGCCAGTGCTCTACCAACTGAGCTACTGTCGCCCCTGTAATGGCTGTAATAGTGCCATGGTAATCATTATCTAAAGTACTGAGCCCGTTTTCATCACTAAATCTTTTATCTGATCTTTTTAAAATTAGGTCCATAATGCGTTATAAGAATTAGGAGATGAGTGAATTTGGAAGTCAATTTTAAATTGATCACTGTTTCTTGATTTCTTGTCTACCATCCGGGCTCCTGACAACTTGCTTCATGCAATGAAGATGCATAGGATTCCAAACATGTTTTCATCAACAGAAAATTATTATTATTTTTGTTGTTGACGTCTTTGCTGTTGTCTTTGGCAGTTAAGGAAATCACATCTATGGGCACAGACCCTAAGAGGGGTGAGATTGAATCAAGACCTATAGGGGTATAGCCGGCCCTTTTGTAGGCTTTTTCTGAACAGAAAGGAGGACACATGCTCCTATATAGAGGTCGAGGTCAAGGACAAGGGTCCTTTTGTTGGCCAAGATTTAGTGCAGGTTTGGCCATCCGGTGTCTGACCTTTTACCAGTGCAGAGAATACACAGTGAAGAAAATAAATTCCAGAATCACAGAAAACGTGCCAGCCCTGTTTACATGTGTTATGATCATGTGGCATTGATTTAATTGCAAAGACTATTAACACAAGAATATGTTCTATGTATTTTTACATATAGCCCAGTCATTTCCTGCACACTCAAGTGAAAATATTTAGGCTTGAGGAGTGCTGATCCTGATTGGCTCTATCGTGGCAAGGTAACTACTATCAAAGAATTGGGCTCCAAATTCCCACCAATGTATTATGTTTTTCCTTCCACGTATATCCAAAAAAATGTGAGACGTCAGCACACAGTCGTCTATCGTTTACTACAGTTTATGTACTATACACTTTGCTATGCACATGTGGTGTACATAGCAAAGCCATATGGCTAGGTAACTAATAGTTCTCTCCCCATTGATTTAAATATTCTCCCCCAGTAAATCTTAAAGGTGGTGGTTGGCCAAGGGTGTAATAATCTTTTCTTTAAAAGACATTTACAGATTTATATAGTGTACTTTAGCAACAGCGATTACGACCAGAATAAACAATAGTGATAGTAATAGTAATAGCAATGAGGAATGGAAAATGTAATAATGTGGTATTAATAATAAAGATAAAGGTGCACTTTATTAATCCCCGTAGGGCAATTAATAATTATTATCAGAACAGGTGAATAGCACATCTACAAACTCAGTTCTAATTGTAGAGTCTGACAGCTGCAGGAAGGAAAGACCTGCAGAGCCTCTCCTTTACACATTGAAAGTGCCTAAATCTGCCATGCCATTGAAACTGCTCTCTAGAACAGAGTGTCCTGCGGAGGGTGACAGTCATGATCCACATGTTAGTTTGTCCAGAACCCTCCTGTTCCCCATCTGCTGCACTGCGTCCAGGGATCAGTCCAGGACAGAGTTGGAGCTCCAGCTTCATCCTGTCCCTCTCAGTGATGCTGCTGCTCCAGCAGACCACACTGTACACGATGGCTGATGCCACCGCAGAGTCATAGGTCTTCAGAAGTAGGGCGTCTGTGAGTCCAGTCCAGTTTGTGATTCAAATGAACACCCAGGACCTCTCTCAATGTCCCTCAACTGGAGCTCTTTGGTCTTCCCCACGTTAATGAGGAGGTTCCGCTGTACTATATACATAGATATAGCAATACAAATACTTTACCTTCTGATAATATAATACGTTTTATAATGTTCTGAAAACGTTTATCTTGTTTACGACATTGATCCAGATCCATGCATTGATCTTTATTATTATGGTTTACGATTAAGGAAAATGAGACCGGATGTTGCATTTAAGTTAGCGGAAGTGAGCTGCTAGCCAGCGCTAGCGCCTATTCTGTGGGCAAAACATGGATCTATCCCCAAACGGGTCGGATTAAACATCATGGATCCAATGTGACCCAGTTATTATAATTCAAACGGCTGCTGGTATGTTCATAGTGCGTCGAGCCGATTTTTTGACCGTTCGCGAACACTGTGGTGGACACCGGTGCGAGAAGGCTTCGAGTCGGCATAACCTATGCAGAGGCATCGGCATGCATTTCTCCGTACAAGTACCAACGGAACTCATGCGTTTTATGCCTTTAAAGACCATCGGGATTATTTCTTGAACACCAGACAAGGCCTCGCCAAAAATATGGCGTTTTCTCACATTAGCCCAAAAAGTGCTAGCATTATCAGAGGCTAACAGTGGGGTAATTGTGCAAACACTTGTACTCGATTTCAGCCAACAGATAAAAATAACAACCATGGCCACATAATTGTGTATTCACCTCAGTTAATTATTATGTGTTCGACCATTTCCCCCCCGAGGATGTTTTTCAGAAGACTCTAACAGACTGGCTGTGTTGGATATTTATTTCGCCTGCCCCTGTCGACCAAATGAAGGAGTATAAAGTAGTTGTTCTGGGCAGCGGCGGAGTCGGAAAGTCCGCTCTGACTGTTCAGTTTGTGACTGGAACATTCATTGAAAAATACGACCCAACCATTGAGGACTTTTATAGAAAAGAGATTGAAGTGGACTCCTCGCCATCTGTGCTTGAAATTCTTGACACAGCGGGTACAGAGCAGTTCGCCTCTATGAGAGACCTGTACATCAAAAATGGACAAGGCTTTATCCTGGTGTATAGCTTGGTCAACCAGCAGTCTTTCCAGGTAAAACATAGCGTTACGTCAAGTCAATGAAAGCATCTTTTCTTTTGTAGGATTAATTCATCGCTCCTGACAGATGGAGAATAGATTCAAGTTCAAACTAAGACTGTTAATGAGTTAATGTTGATGAGAGGAAATTAGTTCATTTTTTTTTGAACCTTCAAACTATTACTTTTACTAAATCTTAAGTAATACATTCTTGTGACTTTTTAACCACTGGTGTCTTTTGTCTATTGCTGTTCACAATATTTAAATTCGATACCGGTAAATTTGGTCACTTTGCATACAGCGGTGGTTTAATTATCTTGTTAGGTGGTGTATCCCACATTTTATTTTTTGCTGAGCAGTTTTGAAAAGTAGTCATCTGAAAGAAGGGTTTCAGCATAGACGTTTTGACTAATTCAAATGTATTTCTTATATAAAAAATCACATGCTACGACATGAAAATATTAGGATACACCAGTAGATCAAAAATAGACATTAAATATTGTTTAATTACAATGACTCATTGGCTTCAATATTTTTCAGGACATCCGACCAATGCGGGACCAAATAGTTCGAGTAAAGCGCTTTGAGAAGGTACCGCTGATCCTGGTTGGAAACAAAGTTGACTTGGAGTCCGAAAGAGAAGTGGCTGGATCGGATGGAAGAGCTTTGGCTCAAGAGTGGGGCTGTCCTTTTATTGAAACTTCTGCAAAGAGTAAAACAATGGTGGATGAATTGTTTGCTGAGATTGTCCGACAGATGAATTATTCCTCATTGCCGGAAAAGCAGGAACAGTGCTGCACCGCCTGTGTGGTACAGTAAATTTTGAGGTAATGTATATTTTTTATTAGACATTATGCTAGTTGACTGTCTTCATGGCGATTCTTTGTACCTTTTTTACTTTTAGAGTTACAGTGCACCCGGAAAGTATTCACAGCGGTTCAATTTTTCAGATTTTGTTACGTTACCGCCTTACGCCAAAATTGATTCAATTCATTTTTTTCCCTCTCAATTCTACACACAACACCCCATAATGACGACTTAAAAATGGTTTTTTTGAGATTCTTGCAAATTTATTAAAAATAAAAAACAAATAAATCACATGTACATAAGTATTCACAGCCTTTGCCATGAAGCTCAAAATTGAGCTCTGGTGCATCCTGTTTCCACCGATCATCCTTGAGATGCTTCTACTGCTTAGTTGGAGTCCACCTGTGGTAAGTTCAGTTGATTTGGAAAGGCACACACCTGTGTGTATATATAAGGTCCCACAGTTGACAGTGCATGTCAGAGCACAAACCAAGCATGAAGTCAAAGGAATTGTCTTTATACCTCCGAAAAAGGATTGTCTCGAGGCACAAGTCTGGGGAGGGGTACAGAAAAAATTCTGCCGCTTTGAAGGTTCCAATGAGCACAGTGGCCTCCATCATCCGTAAATGGAAGAAGTTTGGAACCATCAGGACTCTTCCTAGAGCTGGCCGGCCATCTAAACTGAGCGATCGGGAGAGAAGGTCCTTAGTCAGGGAGGTGACTAAGAACCCGATGGTCATTTTGTCAGAGCTCCAGCGTTCCTCTGTAGAGAGAGAGAAGAACCTTCCAGAAGGACAACCATCTCTGCAGCAATCCACAAGTCAGGCCGGTATGGTAGAGTGGCTAGACGGAAGCTGCTCCTTAGTTTGGAGTTTGCCAAAAGGCACCTGAAGGACTCTCAGACCATGAGAAAAATTCTCTGGTCTGATGAGACAAAGATTGAACTCTTTGGCGTGAATGCCAGGCGTAATGTTTGGAGGAGACCAGGCACTGCTCATCACCAAGCCAATACCATCCCTACAGTGAAGCATGGTGGTGATAGTATCATGCAGTGGGGATGTTTTTCAGTGGCAGGAACTGGGAGACTTGTCAAGATAGAGGGAAAGATGAATGCAGGGCTGGACTGGCCATCAGACAATGCCCGAAGGGCCGATGCCCATATTTGGGCTGGTCTCTCTGCCTCATACAAAAAACATGTGTATGAAAAGTGTAAATCCGTTGAATTGTTTTGAGGGGGGCGCGCGTGTCTGCGGGCACCTGCTGTATGTACTCGAACGGGATTCGGCCACCTCAGCGGCCGCAGTGTTCCCGGGCAGCTGCGGCCGCTTTGTAATGAGCGGTTCCCGCGTCCAGCGGCTCTAAGCTGGACGCAGGAACCGCTCACCGGGAACCGCTCACAACACAACACGGTGAGCGCGTAGCCGCAACGCCCAACCCAACCCAAGACCATAAACGCGCACAGGACCATGCGTGTCTTTGAGTAATCTGTGCAATAAATACACTGCTGCAGAAAATAGTCAGCGTCTCCTGTCTCCTCTCGAAGCGCAACTAAACGCCTTGAATTAAAGCTCGGGTACCTAAATTTTCCATAGCATTAAAAGTTCATGTTTGAGCCCAAAAGTAAAATGTTGTGAACAAATTAAACTGATTTAGTGACATGGCTGACAATATGCATTTCAGACCTTTTTGACCAATTCTCATCCCTGTCACAAACAATAGTGTTGTCTGTGTCCACCTCCCTCACTCTGAGACATGTTTATTACTCTCTTGTAATGTAGATTATTGCATTTTATTTTAATTGTTGAAACCGCATACATCCTGATCCTCTCCAGTATTTTCTTCCACATACTGTATAAACCAGGGGTCGGCAACCTGCGGCTCCGGGGCTGCATGCAGCTCTTCAGTGCTCCTCCAGTGGCTCCTGGAGTCTTTTCAAAAAGGTCTGAAAATGGAGTGGGAGGGCCATATTTTATTTCTAGTTTGAATGTGGTTTCTGTAGGAGGAAAAGCATTCTCAACGTTTTTAAATGCTGCAAAATTGTGCATAATAATTCAATTTCAACATTTCTGTCAACGTAGTGCGTCATATCCTGTCACACGGCCAAGCGGCCGCTGCTGTAAACAAACCGCTGAGTGCGCATGGATCCCAAAGCTAAAAAGAGAAAGAGTCGATAATAACAAGACTGGACTAAGAAGAATTAACATTTGCTTTCAGTCAATGAGGAAGGACTGCTTTGTAAAGACAAGTTTTGTTGCAACACAAGGAACAATTTCAGACTTAAAAAAAACTCAGCCGAGACAGTGAAAGAAAGCGCCATTAAGGACATTAATTCAGCTCCAGCAAACTTTAGCCTGTGATGTGATCGATATGAACAGACAGTGATGCAGGTGAACTCTGAGCCAAAAAGCAGATTTATTTACTTTATTTCTACAATTGCATGAAGGCAAAAAAATTAAAGTTAAAGCAGAGTCGTCACATGGTGCGTCATTCTCTCAAGGACACGCTGCAGTGAAAATACACATTTGATAATCATGAATGCTTATTATGTATTTGTAGCCTTTACTTTGTCATTTAGATATTAGGCTAATATAGCTAAAACATCTTGCAGCCTGTGTTTCCTTCATATAAGCCTTATATAAGGCTCCAGACAGATGTTTTTAGTTTTTTTTTGTCAAATATGGCTCTTTGAACCTTTTAAGTTGCAGACCCCATAAACGAGCTTTATAAAACGTGAAAAAACATGCCTGTTTTTTTTTGTCCCAGTCCAGCCCTGGATGAATGCAGCAATGTACGGAGACATCCTGGCTAAAAACCTGCTCCAGAGCGCTTTTGACCTCAGACTGGGGCAACGTTTCATCTTTCAGCAGGACAACAACCCTAAGCACACAGCCAAGATAACAAAGAAGTGGCTTTAGGACAACTCTGTGAATGTCCTTGAGTGGCCCAGCCAAAGCCCAGACTTTAATCCAATTGAACATCTCTGGAGAGATCTGAAAATGGCTGTGCACCGACACTTCCCATCCAACTTGATGGAGCTTGAGAGGTGCTGCAAAGAGGAATGGGCAATACTGCCCAAAGACAGGTGTGCCAAGCTTGTGGCATCATAGTCAAAAAGACTTGAGGCTGTAATTGCTGCCAAAGGTGCATCAACAAAGTATTAAGCAAAGGCTGTGAATAGTTATGTACATGTGGTTTATTTTTTTATTTTTTTACTACATTTGCAAGAATCTCAAACTTTTTCATGTTGTCATTATGGGGTGTTGTGCGTAGAATTGTGAGGAAAAAAAATTAATTGAATCAATTTTGGAATAAGGATGCAACATAACAAAATGTGGAAAAAGTGAAGCACTGTGAAAACTTTCTGGATGCACTGTATATAAAAGCAAAATATTGTAAATGTTTACAGATCTGGGGTGTCATATAAGTCTTAAATAATATATTTTCAGTACACGCACTCCTGAATGTGTACTGATTAAAACCAGGGATATCTGTTCATGATCCCACCTCACGTCCTGCCCTCTTCACACTTCAACTACACCTTTTAAGGACATGCAAAGTGACTTATGAACCAGATTTACTATTACCAGGATAAGGATTACTATTGCAACAACACATCAGTAGGGTAAAACTAACCTGTCTCACAACGGTCTAACCCAGCTCACGTTCCCTGTTAGTGGGTATCTATCACCCTTCGGGCTCAGAGATCAAACGGATGAGAGGAACTTGTGGAAGAAAGTGAAGTCTCTGACCGACAGTGTCTGTCTTGTCAACTTGCAAATAAAGTGGTTGGTGTAGTTTGACCATGATAGCCGCACTTGCATTCTACTGGTCAGAGGGTCGGACATGGATGCACACGAGCCTGACAAACTAATGATGGCAGGCAGCTCTTTGTAGCATTCTCATACATTATTCAAATCACATGCACATGTCAATTATGTCCACAGATACATACAATAAATGGTCTGTTTCCTGAATAAAAAGCAAGCAAGTGAAATTGCGTACATTTCTGTACATTTGTAGGTTTCAGTCTTGGTCTGCATTCATGATAATTCTTTCTATATACATTTCCCACCTCCTAAAGAGTGAAATCAGCACCATCTAATTCATGCTGGATGTCAGATGTTTTGAAGTTGCACAGAATTTGGAGAATAATGCCATTTAGCATGTTGGGTAGAACCTAGTGTTGTGATAAGACTGCAGAAGTATGAACCATGAAAAATTGTGCATTGATAGGCTGTTGTTGGAAAACTTATTTTTCTTTCTTCCCAATAGATTGGCTTTTATCGGGATCACCACAAGCAATTGATGCACCAAGAATCTGCGCACAACTTTACCCTTCTGCCAACAGTTTTTCCCGACGCTTTTTCACAAAGCTTCTGCAAGAAAATAAGGAAAAGTTGGCACTATTTTTGATAATGTAGTTTTACGAACAGTTTTGGTGCAAGAGCAATGACACAAGATGGAGCATAACTTTTTTGTTTTTAAGTGATAAACTTAGGCAACAAGCAGTGTTTGTGTGGTAGCAGCTTCTCTTAAAGCTGTTCACAACTATTATACTTATCACATTTAATGTTTAATTGGTATTTCAATTTCATGTAAATCTTTTACATTAATGCGTGCATATAGTTTTAGTTTGTTCATTATCTAAAACATCAATAAATTTTGTATTCACAACTTTCTAGGAAATCTAGATGACAAATTATGCATGCGGAAATTATTTGAAAATGTTGCATTCAACTTAAAGTGATGTTGGAAAGCCATTATAATTGTTGCCTGATTATTAGTTAACATTTATTCTCTGCGAGGAAAGTGTGTTGTCTACACTGTCTTCTGTTATCAGTGAAAGGTTCAAGCACCTCGTGTTGCAAACCTGTTTTTATCATATGTGTTGCTATTGTATAAGGAAACATGTTATGTTTGTCACATAATGACAGAATTAAGGCAAAACCTTTTAACTCAACTCTCAAACAAAACAGTTCTGTATATCAGACAACTGCCAACAATTTGTATGTCTATCGTGATTTCCGTAAGATCTGAGTGTGGCCTTTGCTACAAAACTTTTGGGGGTTGTTTCAAGTTACTAAGTTTTGCTTTTAGTTTCTAACATTATTCTGTTATAGTGACCTATTTATTAAACTGATGATACAGTTAGCTTGTTATGAACTTTTTTTTTTCTTTCATATTTAGCTTTTGTGACTTAGTATATGGTCTTGTTTTGAAGCTGATATTTTAACAGAGCCTTAATTTCTGTTGCACAATGTTATGTGTCTTTGTTTTTTCAATGCATATATTCAACATGCACTGGGATGGTTGGAATGAGAATAATCAACTTTAAATCCAAGGCTATTGGTCTTGACTTAAAATAGTTTTGCCCTGCCTAGATGGGTGGAGAGGTCAGGGTCTTGTTCATAAGTGTAGGAAGGGTGGAGTGATGGATACAGATTGGTGCATCTACTACTTAAACAGACTGAAGAGGGAGCTGAGTCAATTGGCAAAGCTCTCAATGAATTGGTCAATATAAGTTCCCTCGCCCATCTATGTGCGATGGGGAATGATATTCACAGGGATTAAAAAGTGATTAAAATGAGTTTCCTCTGCAGAGTGGCTGTGCATTCACTGAGCTAGTCACATTTGAGGAACTCAGTAGAGAGTGATTTAGAGCGTGAGCTAAGAGGACTTTCATGTGACCTGTTTCTGCCTTCAGACGTGAGCTAAACATGTTAAAGTTGATATAACTGATGATCAAGGAACTTATATTGTCAATTACAAGAACATATTTACATGCCAAGTTGTTTGTTGGAAGACTTGTATGTTAATTTGCTCACAGGTGCAAATGAAAAAATAATCTTGATTAAAATTGAATAAAATTAATCTTTATTATCTTCGTTTACGTTATTATCGAATAAGCCTTGGCCTTAACTGGTTTTTGTTGGTTGTACAGTTGCGCAAATTCGCCGCTTGATGGCGACATTGAAAAAACAACGGAGTGACGTATGCGGAAGTGAATTTTTAAATTGTCGATATTTTTCCATAGCCACATTACGTATTATGGTTTATTTACTTAAAGCTTTACTGCAAGTGGACTTTTACCTGCATGTATCTCAGTAACTTTACTAGAGCATTGTTCTGATGTAAACCACTTTTACCTACGGTCTACGGCTCAAACATGACGAGTGTATTTGTGACTGTCGGTACCACCAGTTTCGACGAGCTCATTGAAGCCATCACCAGCCCAGCAGCTGTAGAGGTGAGGACAACATGGGGCTGTAGGGGTGAGGACATCATGGGGCTGTAGGGGTGAGGACATCATGGGGCTGTAGGGGTGAGGACAACATGGGGCTGCACGGGTGAGGACAACATGGGGCTGCAGGGGTGAGGACAACATGGGGCTGCAGGGGTGAGGACAACATGGGGCTGCAGGGGTGAGGACATCATGGGGCTGTAGGGGTGAGGACAACACATGGGGCTGCACGGGTGAGGACAACATGGGGCTGCAGGGGTGAGGACATCATGGGGCTGTAGGCGTGAGGACAACATGGGGCTGTAGGGGTGAGGACATCATGGGGCTGCAGGGGTGAGGACATCATGGGGGTGCAGGGGTGAGGACATCATGGGGCTGCAGGGGTGAGGACAACATGGGGCTGTAGGGGTGAGGACATCATGGGGCTGCAGGGGTGAGGACATCATGGGGCTGCAGGGGTGAGGACATCATGGGGCTGCACGGGTGAGGACATCATGGGGCTGCAGGGGTGAGGACAACATGGGGCTGCAGGGGTGAGGACAACATGGGGCTGTAGGGGTGAGGACATCATGGGGCTGCAGGGGTGAGGACATCATGGGGCTGCAGGGGTGAGGACAACATGGGGCTGTAGGGGTGAGGACATCATGGGGCTGCAGGGGTGAGGACATCATGGGGCTGCAGGGGTGAGGACATCATGGGGCTGCACGGGTGAGGACATCATGGGGCTGCAGGGGTGAGGACATCATGGGGCTGCAGGGGTGAGGACATCATGGGGGTGCAGGGGTGAGGACAACATGGGGCTGTAGGGTGAGGACAACATGGGGCTGCAGGGGTGAGGACAACATGGGGCTGTAGGGGTGAGGACAACATGGGGGTGCAGGGGTGAGGACATCATGGGGCTGTAGGGGTGAGGACAACATGGCATGTCCCTGGACGTAAAACTGCTCTAGGACGTGTCAGTTCTTGTTCAGCAGTTCTTACAGCATGTTCTTAAAGGAAATATATTGTGCATTGTGTTTGGCCATTCAAAAATAGAATGCAACGATGTATTTGTCATTTCATGTTTTAGAAGGGGTCATAATACCTTAAGTGGAAAATATATAGTGAAACAGGTAGGCAGGGCAAAAAAAAAAAAAATTCAGCCTGTAACTCCTGATAACATCGAAATGAGGAATATAACAGGCATTCAAATATGACGAGTGTACTTTCACCTGAGGAATTGATCAAACTAACTCAGAGGACAATACTTTTGTTGCTGAGTGTGATGTCATGGAACAGTGACATCACAGTATTAAAGAGCTGATGCAGCGTTCTCAGAAAAAATGGGAATGAACACTACAAAATTCAACTGTGAAACTAGGGGCGGGTCGATTATCCCTAGCCTAGGAAAGAACTAGCATGGCAGCCTCCAGGACAAGTAGAGGATTGTGCTTCTTACTTATTTATCACTTATTACTTTGTAGTTAAGGGTAATCGACAGTAACACGTAATGTGAAAAATTCCATGCTTAATTATTTTATTTCTATGTTTCTATTTCTGCCATGAACACACTCAAAAATATAGGCGCAAAATAGGATTGCAAACATTTGCAGATATTTCACTGAATTCTAAACAATTATAGTGATTATATAGAACAAACACATGCCTCCTAATTAATAATGTACAATTCATTTTCCATAGGTTTTGAAAGCTCGAGGGTATGAAAGGCTGGTTCTTCAAGTCGGAAAAGGGGCTCTTCTTCCAGGTCCTGCGATCTGTCCCCAAATCTGTCTGCAGGCCTTTCGTTTTAAAGACTCAATTGCAGAGGATATCAGAAGGTCTCATCTTGTGATTAGTCACGCAGGTATTATATTTATAGTTTATTTTTACTTCTTATTGTCATTAATGATGTTTTTCTTTGAACTTTATCCTACTGTGTTTGTGTGATTTTTTTTTTACACAATTTCCTTCAGGATCAATAAAGTATTTATCTTTCTATCTCTTTGGTTCTTAGTCAACAAGAAACAAGTACAATTTCATTTTCAAATTTTATATTTTTTACCAACCAAAAATGCCACTATCACTAATTTTGCTCTTTCTGTACTCCATGTAGGAGCCTTTTTTGTGTGCATGTATGTATGAATGTATGTATGTATATAAGATTATTTACATCTATTTTGTTTTATACTATTATTTTGTAATTTATAAATATTTTGGCTATTGTTTAGTTTGGATATACTTAAGTTGGATAATCCATTTAGTAATTTACAGCTATATTTTCATTGTTGTATTTCTATTTGACTAGAATGGATTATTCATGCTAATTGTTCCAGGATTCTGGCGCCAGGCCACTTAAGGCAAAGGTGTGGAGAGTGGAGTGAAGCCACACAGTTTTTAGACCTTGCTTCTTGCCTTATTCCTGCTAAATAGTCACTTATTTTTTTACCCTGTTTTATTTTACATTTTTGGCCTAGTAAAAGTTTTGAATTACACAGACACTCATGGATTTATTTAGCGGCTGCTATATGGCTTCACTGTTTTAAACACTACCCTCCATATTTGTCCTCTTTTGTTAAGATGAGAACACCTTGTATTTGTTCTGTAAGTCTTTCTGTTGTAGCCACTTGACAAGTTCATAGTAATTGGAAATTAAACATTTTGTCTTGAAGTGCTCCGGACTTCACTAGTTATTCATCTGTACAGCCAGAGCTGCACTCCTTAAGGCTGCACCCAGAGGGCTGCACCCAGAGGGCTGCACCCAGAGGGCTGCACCCAGAGGGCTGCACCCAGAGGGCCGCATGCAAAGGGCTGCCTTCTGACAGTGCAGCCGCAGCATAGGAACAAGTCTGTGCAGCTTTTAGCCCGCGATTGAAGAAAAAAAAAAGTTAAATGCAGTAATTATTACAAATGTTGTCATAAATTACATTCTTATAGCATCCATTCTATTTTTGTTGCTTGTTGTGCACATGTTCTATGCCAATACACAGAAGACGGGCATTTAATACAAAAATGTTAATTTTGTTTTCTGTGTGTTACGTGCAAAGGGGCATGGACAATGGTTCTAGCCTTTCTTTGGAAACAAATTACTGAAAAAGTAATAAGACTAATATTCAGACTCTGTACACCCCCACTTAAAACTTGACTCCCTGGTTCCTGAGAAATGAGTGGTTACACTGATATTGGTTGGATTGACCCATATATTGGTCAGAATGACCATTTTGCATCTGTTGGCGCTATGACCAAAATAGATAAGTTGATCATGTGAACATCTGATCCTGTCTGATCTCTAAAGCTCAGCAGGGCAGTACTTTGATGGGAGACCTATGGGAAGACAAAGTGCCACAGTGGGGTGGCTGTAGCTGTAAAGGGCAAAACTATTGTTGTGTCCTTAGGCAAGACACTTCAACCAACTGATATGGCTATACCCAATATAGATTGGTTGTTTTCACCAAAAGATTGGTTGGAGACTACTAGATTGGTTAGAACAACCAAAAAAATTGTGTTATTGAATCAGTTTTTATTGTCTGGTTCATTTGAAGAAAATCTGAGGTGATTTTAACCTAAAGTTACTTGTCTTTCAGGGGCGGGGAGTTGCTTGGAGGCACTTGGTGCTGGAAAACCTCTGCTGGTCGTTGTCAATGATAAACTGATGAACAACCACCAACTGGAATTGGCCAAACAGTTGCACTCCGACTCCCATTTACTGTACTGCACCTGCAGGTATGTCTCTTTTTACACAGTAAGTAGTAGTAAGTACGTTTACCTAAACACACCACTCACATTGTTTCTCCCTCTCTTTCAGTACCCTCATAGAAACACTGAAGACCATGGATGTCTCTGTCCTCCAGCCCTTATTGCCTGGACAGCCCTCAAACTTTGCACACTTTTTAGACAAAGCGCTGGGAATAAGATGAGAGGAACATTTATTCCACTTAAATAAGAGTTTGTAAGAGACCTCTGGAAAGTTTGTTTATTTTAAGTCTCACATACATACATGTCTATATGCAGTATATTTGGGTCAAATGGCTAATAATAGAAATTAATTTCTATTATTACTACTATTACTATTTTGGTTAAAAAACTATGTGCTAATCACATGCTTCTGATATCCATCCACACTGGACCTTCGCCTGGTTTTACCAAGACCCCTCCTCTACATCTATTTCTTATACCGTTTTTGTCCATTCCAAATAATATACATTGACAAAACTGTTATCCAAAGGGTTCATAAAGAATTAATGTGAAAATAAATAACCTTTTTAATATTTATGGACGGTCATGATCTATTTTTCATAACTCAAACTCTCATAACTATACGCAATTGGTGTGTTTCAGCAGATTGTGTAATTATCTGTTGTGGTATGTCTTGATTCATAGATCTGGTTTTTACTTGCTCTGCCTGAGGTTCACATGATGTTTGTTCAGTGCAGACTAGAGCATGTGAATCTAATTCGCTATATTAGTGTTGTGCTCTTTGCACCCTTGTTTTCTTTTCCTAAAGTAAAGCCTATTTCACAAAAACACCCTAGTCTTCAATCTTTCTCTTCCACATGTATAATGTAAATTAAATTAGATAAAAAATGGAAAAAGTCGGCATGTGCCCTGACATAATATGAGAATCAAATTGAGGAAATGATCTTGATACAATTATCAACCTCTTACAGCATCACTTTTTCTTCCTTTCCTCCTTTTTAGGCATATAGGACATGTATTTTAGTCGGGGTCAAGCTTGTGGGCGCTGCCAGTGGCTTGCGATAGAATCAAAGCCAAAGAGACATGGGCTGGTGCTGCCTGCTTCATCAGTGGTGAGTGGTGACATGATAAGGCCATTTGAGGCAAATAATACTTTGCAAAAATCTCCCAATATTGTTAAGTGTGACCAGGGGGTCCATGAACATGTTTTCACTATTTAATGGGTACAAGTTTTGCGCAAAGTTGCAATTTTGTCAGACCTGAGACTATTTTTTGTGTGAATTGTTGTTGGCTGCTGCATTCCCTTTGAGCATGAGGGGCTGCTACTATCACCGCCCGGTGACTTCACGATTTCACTGTACTATTTGAAAGTAACTGCACAAAGGTTCCTGACAACTATTTGTAATCAATTTGTCACCTCCAACCGCTGATCCCACTTGTTCTGACTGTAGACTGTAAATAGATGGAAAACCGCTCATGGACCAAGTTCTGCTCCAACTCGCTTTGGTACCTTTTGAGTTATTGTGTTTACAAAGCACATTGAAAACTCAATTTTCCACCAACTCCAATTAAATTTTGTTGATAAATTATAATAATCTGTTTTATATAGCACTTCTCTCATACCGCTTGCATGTCATCATTCATTCACTCCACATATGGGCGTGATATATTACTACTGTAGTCACAGCTGGCCTGGGTTGCACTGACCAGTGTGCCCCCCCCTACCACCACACACACACACACACACACACACACACACACACACACACACACACACACACACACACACACGTTTTTGTTACCTGGTGGGTCCCTTTGACAGGGCCGTTCAGAATGGGACCCATAGACATAATCTTTTTTTACCAAGACTTTAAGTAATACAAAACAGTCAATAGAAACCAAACAACTATTTTAAAGGAATTTTATTTTAGATTTTGTTTTCGAATTGCAGTGATTCTATTTTTGACATAGAATTTAATGCCACTCCATGTCCGATGTCTAAGGTCATCTGGTGAGGCATTAATGCAGGCCAGGCAGTGAGACTTCCCAGGGACCTTTCCAGTCTGTATGAAAGGTGTCATGGTCTTCTCCACAGCCTTCACCTCAGATGCAGACCATGGCTTTCTTACACGTTCTAGGGAGAGAAATAAAAATATATTAGCAATATACACTCCCAGGGTGAGGACCAAGCAGCCTGGCTGTAATCCCCCACCTGGTACACTTACCAGAAGGGGCACTGCCACTACCATGGGGTGCATCTGGATGAATGGTTGAAGGTTCTCCGCTTGAAGTTTCTTTTAGCCCGTCCGTTTGTGAGAGGATCTCTACTGCTTCCCTGTCGCACAGAAAATAAAAATACAAGTGGCCTTTAGGGGAAAAAAATCATACATATTTTAATAATATCAAGAATTACCTTCAGGCTCAATTTGTATCTGGTCGAGGCTCTTTCCTTCGAATTCCGTCACTCTTCCCTGCTCCATGGCCATCAACACTTTGCTGATTTTGGCCAGCTCCAGTGTCCCCTCTGGTAGTCTGTAATATTGCCTGTGGATGCGAATGTCATGGCCGAGGAAGTTGGCAAGTATGTCCATCTCATTCTCTTTCATATTGAGAACTGTAGACATAGTAGCTATGTGCTTTCTAAGTTTGGTTGAGGATAGCATCTCTGGATGCACCGCACCACATTCTTTGGCTACCTGGCGTAGGGAGTCTGATCCCCTGATGTGGGTGTCTGCGCCCGGGCGGGAAAAGAAGTATGGGTTATGGTCAGAGATGGAACAGGCCCTTCTGTTCTCCACCAGCACCTCCATCGAAGCAATCATTTCAGGAGTCAAAAGAACCGGCACTTTCCGACTTCTTTTCCCTTTAATTTCAATGCGTTGAAAATGCTGACACAGCTTTTTCTCAAGTTGGGACAGTCCCAGAGCAATGTCAGAATGGATCCCAGTCTTACTTCTTAAGGTAAAGGCTGTCAGTGGCATCTTTGAAACCTCACCTTCCCTTCTTCGATTGAAAATGATGACCTCACAAAGAGTCAAAACTGCCAGTTTAGACCAATGCTTAGACGTTGGCTCACTTATTAGGGTTTGCACATATTCAGGTCGACATACCTCAATATGTGCATGCATGGCTCTAACGTCCTCAGTCAGAGGGAGCAGGTCCGGAGTGTTCCACTTGGCTTGCCGGAGGGTCTGTAGGGCAGCAGAAGAAACACAGACGTCCCACCTCTTCTCAAAAAGCAGCCGGCTTCGTTGGAGGTTTTTAATAAATAGTTCATCAACACAATGCTCCATTTTTGAGTCACATTCAAGAATATCTGCTAGCTTTCTGAGGCTATGGCCGAGTTTGAGGGCCAAGGATGGAGTCTTGTATTGATTTGTTTCCTCATCATATCCAGCCACAGACCTGACTGCATCAATCACATGGTTAAAGTTGGAAGGAATAAAGAAATCCTTAATTGTTTTCAGTTTCCCTGCGGTTTTTGCTTCGTTAATTAACCTACCGACTTCTCTCATTTTCTGCCTAATGTAATCATGCTTTGTCTTATCATGCCCGTGTTTTAAGTACAGGTGCTCTCCGAGTCTCAGAATCCCCTTTTCTGCTTTGACAACACCCGTGACCTCATCCTGATGCATTGCCGAAATTAAAGACCACAGCTTTTTGCTGATGCCCTCCGGTACAGGCTGGGCTAGGGAGCAGAGGGACTGGACCCTACTTCTACCTGGTTTAGCCTGGGCATCTTTCTGTGAAAGCCGGCACCTGGCCACATGCCTCCACAGCGACTTTCGCTTAAGCAATGCCCCACAGTCTATACAGTGCAAAAACTCACTGGATTTAACTGGGCAATTTGGCTGTTTAGCTGGGACTAAAGTTCCAATGCCGGCCTTTAAAACCTCAAAATTGTGCTCACGGTTTCCACTATTCCTGATCAAATCAAACTGAAGTTTACGTGCTTTAGATTTCACAGGTAGAGCCAATGCTCTGGCTACGTCACTTTCATTTCCATGTTTTCTAGTCAAATGACGGGACATTTTGTGGCAGGACATTGAACAGTAGAGGCAGAAGTGTCTCTTGCTGTATACTCGCCCCCCATTTTTCTTCTTTTGCAGCTGCATGATAACAATCTTATTTGCCTTTGGTTCGTCACTTTCCGAGTCTTGAAGAAAAGTGTTTTTGATTTTTCTTTTTCCATACTTTTTTACAGGTTTCTTCTTGACAGTTAAATCGTCAGAATCTGAGTCGACTTCATCAATTAGGGACTCTTGACTAAGCTGCACAAACAACAAATAATTTGTAATCATTCTATATAACAATTTGAAGTCATGACTTGTAGTCAGCACTTACCAGTGGTTTGTAAGCGTGCGCTTCAGTGTGCTCCTCCATGATTTCTTGCAGCCTAATGAACCACACACTTGCACCTTTTTCTAGCCTGACACCTGATTTCCTCTGTTGTGCTGCTCCATGATTGGCTCCAGCCTGCTGGACTGAAATTGCCCCAGTGTGCCCCTCCTTGATATCCCGCAACCCACCACCAGGGTTCCGACACATAACACACTTTTTTCAGGAAAGTAAACCTCCAGGGGTCCTTTCCATATTTTTACAGAGACTGCATAAGGACCGTTAGAAAAGCATTACCCATTGATTATTAAGCTTGGACCAGTGGGGTCCGGTGTTCGGGCCCCACCACGTAAAACCAGTCCCCATGACGTGAGTGGAATCTCAGGTTATGGAACCCACCAGGAGTTGAAAACAAGTGCACACACACACACACACACACACACACACACACACACACACACACACACACACACACACACACACACACACAAAAGACTCATTCTAGGCAAAGTGGGTGGAGTCTTACCTAAGAACACTACAACAGTGTGGCCTTTTACAGCCGTAGCTAGCCCACTGTGGAACCTGTTGTTCCCATGGATGTATTGTAATAACAGTCTCCCATCACACTACTAACTAGGCCCTGCTCTGCTTATATTCATAGGTTCTGGCTTTCACATGCATGCATGACCACGACGCTTCCAATGCCAAAGGGGGTGTGAAAAACCAGTTTGTTCTGAGGTGCGGGCGCACGCTGATTCTAATGCACAGGGAATGGCCAAACTTGTGTTAGAAACGTATGTATTTGGACGGGCATTGGGAACTCGCTCATTTTGTTAGGGATAAATAAATGGGTCCTCGCTGCATGTATTTTGTTACGTAAAGCAAAATTGAATGTTAAAAGCACTGTGGAAATTCAAGCTGCAGCAGCTGAGCATGTGTGAAAATCAAATGCCCAAAGTAAATATAATGTTGCTTGTGTGCGTTTGCCGAGCGTTCGCTCATGATGTATGTATGATAGCAATTTTATTTACAAATAAAGTTAGAAAGTTTGAGTAATAAGGGAAAGTTACGAAATGCCTTTTGAAAGCATCCAAAAGTCTTAAGTGCTCGGTTTCCCCATGGGATGCATAGAGACAGGACAATAACTCATCAAACTGGTTTGATAAACATGAACCCACTGAATTGAGTGCACTAATTGGAAAGTGTTGGTTACACAGTAAGCCTTGGTATCACATTCACCATTTCAGGCTGGAGAAATCTATGGTTTAGTTCTCTCCTTGGTCCTGGTGTTTAATTTTGATATTGTCTGCGAACATCCAAACAAATTAAAAAAATAAAAATACTGGCCAAATCGGGGTTTTTCTGACACACTTTTGGTTCAAAATTCCTGCTTGAATATCCTGTTTGAGTTCTTCTTCTGCATAAAGACAAATAGAATGGCTGATTTGTGCTAGTGCTTTTTAACTGTCACATTTTCAAGATTTGGATAAATCGGGCCGTGCATCAGTCAAAAACGTCGTCTTTATTTGAAAATTACATTTCTACATTTTGAGATCAATACATCCATCCATCCATCCATCTATGGGTTGGGGGGGTAGCAGATTGAGCTGCACACAGGTGGTGAGTCCACAAGAGCCTTGATCTTTCAGCAGGGGCTTCAGGCAAAGTGGGGTTAAGTGTCTTGCCCAAGGGCAAGACACTTAGCAGACATCAGTGGGAGTCATGAAGTCTGAGGTCTTATGATGGACTCGAACCCACGACTTTCAGGCTTAAAGGCCATTGCTCTACCAACTGAGCCACTGTCACTCCTTCAATAAAGGTGTATCTTATCTTAATATACACGCTCCAGGGTAGAAATGATTGAATTTCCTGTATTCAAACTGTTTCTCTATTGTTGGTGAATCGACAACTGTGTCGTGATTTATTTTATAAGATAAATGGAATTGAATTCAGTGCCTTTTCTCTGGCAGATGCCCAAGCCTCTATTCCTCCACACTCTTCCTCCCTGTTCTCGTTCCCCTCTGAGATATAGGGCAGTAAATATATACAGAAATTTCACAGCAATCTTGATAAATGAGGCCCATTAGATTCCCAAATCAAGGGGTTTCAGATTCCTGAGTTATGCATAGTTTTATATTATTATTATTATTTAAATATTTCAATGCTGCTCATCAAATCACGGTTTTATCATAAATGTATGAATATACTTTATTACAAGTGACTGCTGTTATGTGTGTAATTCTAACTCTAGCAACTAAAAGCGGTATGCCAACTTCCTATGTTGCCTGTAGTTGTTTTGTGCAGATGTTCATTAGCATTTCTCTGTCCCCAGTGAGCCTTAGCGCCGCCCTGCACGGCTGTGATTGGATGCACTGTTACTGGAGCTGTCAGCCCTGCCAGGGGAAGCTTTTCTCCGCTTCTTCAGTACTGGACCTCCGCTCTCAACTTACGGTCAGAATGTAGCAGCAGGAGCGGTATTTGTGCCTTTTGTTCGCCTGAAGTCACCAAGAATATTCACAAAACGGCCTCTATGTAACTGCAAACTTTGTGAAAAATGATCATCTGTACGAACACAATGGACTACCCCTTAAGAGCTCAGTGCCAGCGAGTCCAGAAACAGGTAACGCTAGGTTTACTGCTAATGCTAAAATAAGTTCTTCAGAATTATGCTAAATGCTAACTATGTGCCAATTCATTCATTCCACTTATTATTTAACGACGCAATGTTTTCTTTAAAAAACATATTTGTTGTAACTACATATTTATAAAGAAGAATCATAGGATTTTACAGTTTATTTCACAATGTTACGTATATTCTTATTAATTCATATATATTTGGAGCTTCTTTATGCATAATAGTCATTCGCTGAGCAGACACTTGAGTGTAAAGCATGTGCTCCCTTTCTAAAAAAATCTTTGTACTGGAATTACATGTTCTTACATTGCACGAAAGAGACCAATTTTACGTTAACAGTACGTTCATTCCCTTAATATTTTTGTTATTGAGTGTATTGTATATTGAAGTACCCTACTCAACCACCACTAGGTCACTACTATTATAATCTAATTCATTGCAAATTTTCGATGCATTTTAAACAAAGGCCAGTATCTTGGTATCTGAGCTGTAAATTATTGTAGTCTTTGTTCATTAAAAGCATAATTTTGGGTTGATTGCATGCATTGGCTAAAGATGTTTGTCAATGACATCATCAGGATTTGGGAGAAATATGTCTGAAGAAATCCAGTAAAAATAAACATGTACTTTTGGTGCTTCTTCATTGAATTTATTATCCCAAAATTAACATTGTGTCAAAAGCTTTACTTATAAAAAGCACTTAATTAACTTGCAGGGAGCTAGATTGTTTGCTGAATTGGGCTGCCAATCAAAGTTGTTTTTCTCCGCTGTGACTGCTATTCATTTAATAGCACACGGGGGGCGCCATTTCCTACACAAGATGCACGTATGAGGGCCTCTTTGTTTTCTGACATGTGGTTGACCAAACATTTGTGTTTTGCTTATTTTTTATTGCTTATGACTATGTTTTATACAATGTAAATGCCTTTGCATATATAATTATTGAGTTTTATACCCATTGGTGTGCTTGTGTACATTTCATGTAGTGAATCACTGCATATAAAGGCTGCAAAATAAAACCAAAATCACAGTTGAATGCTTGCATACACTGCATAATCTGTCTAATGTGGTCATATACTCTGTAAGCTTAGTCTTCGACAAACACTGACACATGTTCTGAATTGTTCTGTATGTTTAATGTTTAGTGGGATTTGAATCTAGCAGTTTTGCCATAGTAATTCAGACATTTTTGATCTACCATGGTACAAAAGATAAATGGTACATCATCAAGTACCATGGATATACCATTTATCTTTTGTCTGAATTGTGTGCACTATACCCATGCAGCAGTATACCACTCCCTATGTCTCTGTTGTAGGTTGCTGGTTTGTTTTGCACAGCTCAGAGAGTTCAGGTTGCAGAAGCCAAAATCATCCCGACTGTTGCTCTGGTTGTACATATCCAGCAGCTTGTTTAGTGAAGGGAAGGGGGGTGTGGCGCGTGATAAGGATAGACACTATCCCTGCTTGCTTGGATGTCCTTCTCTCTCTTCACTGCGTGCTCATAAACAGTCTCTCTTTAAATTGACGTCTTGCTTGAGGGAAGATCCTCTGCTGCTGCAGTGTTGGTCAATGCCTGTCTTTGTCTACATGTACCTTTCCTCCCATTGCTGACACCTCTTTTTCTCTCTATGATGAATAAACAAACTACAGCTGAAGTGAAATGAAAAGTTTCGGTCAACTACAAACTTTGATAAAAGTGTAGGCAGAAACTGTGAGGAAACTGTTTTAATGTTTTGAAAAACAAGAGGGCAAAATGTCGCATTTTTTTAGAAAGACATCAAACTACTGTCTTGATTATTGTTATTGGCACAATTGACCTAATAAAATGTTTTTTTTTTCCCATGTTGAAATGAAGGGGCTCTGTCACATCATGCAATTTTAGTATCATAATCTCATCCAATGAACAATAAACAGACAAGTCTACAGTCCTAGCAGTTTTACCACAAGTTGGAATTCTACTCGCGTTTGAATAATCAAACACTGAGTTTGAAGGCATGGGACTGCAGAATTCTTTTTTCTAAAATTATGCACTGTTGCACTACACAATTTTTTGCTTTGCTGTGTACTTCCACCCACACTGTTTAGTTAGTATATTTTTTCATGTTCTTGTGGCTATGTAGGCGGAAGCAGAACAATAAGATAAGTGTGTGTCAAACTCAGGATTGTTTGGTGATGTATCCATGCGTTAGAGCAGTACAAGTCATGAGGACATCTTGTGTACTCCTTCAGTCACTACCAGGCCACTGTAGAGAAGTGTGCGTTTGCTTGTGCGCATGTTTGTTTATAAATAGTGCAGTATTGTGCAAACTTTACTTATGTCAATGCCATTTTCACTGACAAAATATTGCAATGCCAGGCCTTTGTAAAGTTGGGTGGAGTTTGCATGTTCTTCCTGTGTACTACTAAAAACATGTACAATAGAGAATATTCTCCAGCTCTGGTAGTCTTTACCAAGTTGTGCCACTAGTGCATCCCGTCAGAGTACCTAGTGGCATTGCAGGATGGGTCAATTGCAGAGGACTTTGGGGATAAGTCAAGTGTACCTTAACCTTAATCTGAAATGGGCCGCTACCTGTAAAGGGACTGAATATAGCCAATATTTTTCCGTCAAATCACAGCTAACTTATTACAAATACTGCATGTCAGAACAGATTATTATATGAATAAAAGTCCAGGGTTCATTTCAGTCTGCATAAAGTCTATAGCTTAACCAATATAGAACAGTTTAACATCAGTATTGTAATGGTACATCCCATGTGTACCATGTACACACTATACTGGTGAAAACATATTGCTCTAAAGTTGATGAATATTTAGGATCATTTGTATCAAGTAGTTGACCTACAACACTAGCTAACGCTCGGCATCAGACTCCAGAATCTTGTTATGTGATGGCTTGATTTATTCTCGGAATTTAGATAAAAGAACAATTCAGTGCCTTATTATTGCTGTTAAGGAGGTTATGTTTTGCACAGGGTTAGTCTGTCTGTCTGTCTGTTAGCAACATACTCATCAACACTGATGATCATGATCACCTCAAAAATCTTTTACGGAATGGAAAACTAGGAGTGACTGATATTTCTATTTGTGAATAGATATATATTATGAATAATTATATATAATATTATTGAATATTTATTTACCTAAAACTTGTCAATAGATCTCCATAAAACTCCATCTCCATCTTTATAAGTGAGATTGTAATTTCAAAGAGTGAATATTTGCACTCTTCATCCGTCCTGAAGCCCACCACTCGGTAAACAGATCTCTACCATTTCATGATGTGGGATAAACTATTGTTCCTCTGATATTAGGTTGTTTATTTTTTTCAAACATGTTTAGAGAGTCTTGGGCAAGTAAAATATTTTACCAGTTACTGGGATGATATTGTGGATTTCATTACCTTGAGCTACCGACTTACTTTTATTCTAATACACTAATTAAATTAAAGGGTAAGAGGACAAAGTGCGCTTTAAGTATTCATGTAACTCTTTGCTTGTCATGTCATCAAATTTCTTTTTTCCTAATGAAAAAAGTAATATATAAATGTCTTGTTCCTCCCAACACTGAACATATTGTGTCATTAGTGCTGAAAAAAACAGAAACCCAGAAAAATCAATTTAAATACATTATTGTAACCTTCAATGTCAGTATTTTCTTTACATGTTGGGGCTTGAAGTGCCCCAGTTTGTATTAGTTGCTGCAGTTTGATTTGCAGACACCTGTTACATATCTTTCACATCCTGATGTGGGTCACATGGCTCATTGCCTAAAGCGTGTTTAGGTTTGTTTTGCTCAAGAGTGATTTGTGACACACTGACAGAAGTAGACTTTACTTGTGGATTTGAATGGACTCTATTTAGGTCAAGAGGTGGAGCCAGACGGGGAGGGGGGAGACTCTTTAGGGTCAAATAGCAAATGGAAGTAGTGCCCAGAGTATGGCTGTGGCAACTTGTAATTTGTAGTTGTGATTTGATCTTTGGAGGAAGAAGGCACATCGATAGTGCTGGTGAATTGTAAAGTCAGCTAAGGTGTCAAGTGACCGTGTTGAAAAGTCTAAATGATGTGTTTTGACCACAGTGTGGCGTGTTTGTTCCACAGATGGTGGTAAATGGTGAGAAGGAGCGTGTGTCGCTGCTCTTCATGAAGGCCCTAGTGAGCAGGGGCAGTGTGGACACTGTGGCTCAACAGATGGCTGTACACCCTCACTATCTGGAGAGCTTCTTACGCACTCAGCACTACATCCTCCACATGGATGGCCCACTGCCACTGCCACACCGCCATTACATTGCCATCATGGTCTGTGCACAAACAACACAAAGAACAGATTTACTAATGAAGTAATATCTGAGTTAAATCTGTTGTGTGTCACAGGCGGCAGCGCAACATCACTGCAACTACCTGGTGCATCTGCACTCGGCACAGTTCCTGAGGGTGGGAGGAGACCCTTTGTGGCTACAAGATCTGCAGGCAGCTCCGGCTCGGCTCCGCCTTCTGGACCAGATAAACAAAGTTCTGGCTCACAAGCCGTGGCTTACATCCTGTGCACACATCCAGGTACATACTGAAATCAGACTCACCACATTAGGATAATTCATAATTTAACTCTAAATCCTGGTGTCCAGGCTCTGTTGAAGTCCGGTGAGCAGTGCTGGTCTCTGGCGGAGCTGGTGCAGGCTGTTGTGATCCTAGCTCATTGCCATTCACTTTGCTGCTTTGTGTTTGGGTCTGATGCTGATTCAAACTGTTCATCATTCTCCAAATCTCCTAATGGTACTTCGCCAAAGTTCTGCTTCATTGACTCTGCCAATGGAAACACCAATGTGCCTCCATCACTGAGCTCGTCCCCCGATCTCATCACTCACCGAAGGGTAATGCCATAATTTAGACATTACAGCATGTCCTATTTTTGCAATTGTTTAAATTGTGTTTTTCTTATTATTAGTCTTTAGACTCTAGCAGTGGCATGACGTGTTTAAAGGAGAGGATTCAAAAGTCTCAAGAGGAGTGTGAGAAGAGAGAAGTGCGGCTAAAAACTCAGGTGCTTCAACAAGCCGGTGAGTAAAACCTTGTTCACTTGCAGTACTCACAGTGATGGAGTATTACACTGATGAACTTGTTGGAGTAGTCTTACTGACACTTAATCTTCTGTCAGACCTGGAAGAAGAGGAGGAGGTGATCTGCTCCACAGACTCATCTCGTTTTATCACAGATCCTGACTTCTGCTACAAGGAGTTTGCACAACGAGATGATGACCACTTTGAAGTCTTTAGAGTGCAGGTACAAATGCTGTTTGTCATTCTTTGTTCTGTTAAACACAAGAGTATCTAATCAAATGTTCCTTTATCCCTGATTATCCAGGATTATTCATGGGAGGATCATGGCTTCTCTTTGGTTAATCGGTTGTATTCCGATATTGGGCATCTTTTAGATGATCGATTTCGAAGTGTGGCAACTATTCCATCTTTGAACACTCATGACTTGAGAAGGGCAATCTGGAACTACACACATTGTGTTTTAGGAATACGGTGAGGGTAATGAAAGGAGGCTGAATTCAGTCCTCATCTAAAGCCAAACAAATAACATGTCTTATTTGTGATCCAAGGTATGACGATTATGACTATGGTGAAGTCAACCATCTATTGGCCCGAGACAAGTTCTACATCAAAGCAGTGGCTTGTTTTCCAGACACCACTAAAACACCAGGGTGCCGGCTCAGTTGGACCTCGCTAAAACCTTCAGAACAGGTTTGTGCATCTTCTATTCCTCACGCAAACGTTCTTCATGCATGAAATAACCTCAAAATTGATGCCCATATGTTACATCATATTATTTAGGCTGCGGTCACAAGCACAAACTAAAAGCCCAGTTTAAGTGGACCTAGGCCCAGATCGCAATTAGATCCGGGCTTTAGGTGCTGTATGACCGCGGCAATTGTGCTTGGGCACGGTTGGGAGAGGTGGGCCTGAGCACGGTTGCAAAGCCCGGTCGTGGGGGTTCATGTGGCGGGTGGTGGGGAGTGGGGGATGAGGTGTGGACGTGATATTGTGTGTCACATTATGTTTTCCCGCTGCGCTCGTGACATGCATTTTTATACACGTCTCTACCTCGCAGTCCCATACTTACGCATTCTATTCTCCCTTGCTTGTGTTACATCTTTCTCGTGAGCCCCCGGACCATGGTAAAGCGGCGCAGGGGAGATTTGTCGCTCCAGGGCCGAAGGGATGTGTTTCCTACAGGGATAACTACCTCCTGTTTTGACACTGGCTGTCACAGTGTGGTTCACTTCAGACGCTCAAGAATCAGACTTTGTTTTGTCACCAAAACACACCAGCATTCACAAGGCCTGCACACACACACACACAGGTTACCCATTGGAGAAAGACACACCTCACACTTGTAAACATTGAATCTGATTGCAAAGAACGCAATCCATGCTGGAGCTGTTGACCACAGTAGCCGAGTGTAAACAGGGAGAGAGACTTAAACTTAACTCGTAGTAGTCGCTGAAGTTAGTATTAGCACCACCAGCTGGGCCGAGCGTTGTACTACAGCACACTTGGTCTGGCACAGTTAAAAAAATACTTCTTCACACCACTGTGGCGACAATCTTGGCCACTTGGCCTAGTTCGTGAAAATGTATGTGACCGTGTCCTTAGTTTTCTGGATTCACAATTGCTGGTTTGAGCCTGAGATGTTTTTGAAGATGAACAGCGCTATGTTCTGGACAAATGTTTGTACTACTTTGAGTTTAAAAAAAAATATTTTCTCTTACTCTTTTACATGAAATCATGAATGTGATATGCATCTTGAGTATAAAACTTTTGTGTATCATCCTGACAAATGTATTGTATGTGTGCTCTTTAGATTCACGTCAACCTGTTGATCATGGAGGCGCGGCTGCAGGCGGAGCTGCTGTACAGTCTGCGGGCCATCACTCAGTATATGATTCTATGAGGCGTTATAATGATATTATTCATTATTATGATAATCATTCACCTGATTGACTCTGGCACAAGGACGTGGGACGACAGCAGCACTTAGAAGACTGCTTCATGAATGTTTTTTGCCGCAAACCTCTACTAATATCAGACGTTTGCATTTATTCCATTGTGCAATTATAGGTAGTTTTATTAGTTAATTTTCAAGTAGCAATGGCCAGGAGGTCTTTCAAACAACTTTTATGGACGTGCTTGTCATCATTGGGAGTTGTTTTGATTGTATTTTTGACATTTCTTATGTGTTTTGGTGAGGGATCGGGAGACTCTTTTGAAACTATTTTTTTACGCTCCCTCCAGAACAATAGTTTCTTTTATTAAAAAGCACTTTTAACTTCATATATTTATATTACAAAAAGATGGTGTTGAAGATGTTACACCTGATGCAAAAAATTGGTTTGAAAATGTTGGGTATGTGGTCAAAAAAAAGAGGAAATGTATAAATTGGTTGAGTAGTTTCCCAAACCAAACCAGCTAAAAACATATGTGCAATGTTTCCTAATACATATTGTTCTCGTGTCGGCGTGTGACACTCGGACCTGTTTGCTGGATGTAGAAACAGACCGATGACTTCAAGAGCGCCACCGGAACAAAGACTACGACTTTCAGCTTGTAACACTGTCAGCACCAGTATCTTTGAGAAGCTGTGTACGAAGATTCTTCTACAATTCAAAAGCCTTGGACATGTGGATGTAAAGTGTTCAACTTTGGTATATAAAATAAAACAAACAAAAAAGGAAGAAAAGTTAGTTCATAATGCATTTGTTTTAAAAATGTTAAGGACTGTTTGTTTTTTCAATAAAGATATTCTGTTCTCACATTCTGTTTGGAGACGACTATTTGTTTTTCTTGTTTAAAGGAAGATTGAGATTTTGTGAACTGCTTCTACATTATCTATTATCTTTAACATTCGGCAGTAAGGACACATCGTTTATCATTTGTTAGTTTGAGTTTTCTATTTGAAACCTTTATTTAAGTATAGAGACTCTGAATCTATTTTTTTTTTCAGGACATTCCTGACCCCAGATTAAAGAAGCATGTCACATATTTAATTTGGGTTGACATGTTAGTGATTCAAAGTGAAAAAATGTGTCTTCTTCACTTAGATCAATGTATTTATTCTGATTAAAGTTTGTAGCACTGGCCAAAGTTCATACACAGCATACTGTTGATTATCTATGTACAGTAGATACTCATATATCCATGCATGTATAAATATATATAGATGACAGACTTCGAAGCAGATGTCTAATTTTTAAGCACAAAAGGAACAAACAGGTTTATTGATTTTATTGAATTAATACTTGTTATTTCTGACTGACTTTATATTTATAAAAATTAAAAACATCTGATTAGGCAAGAGGAGAAAGAGAAACTATTAAACAAAGTCAAGAACCTTATTGGCTTATGCACATTCTGCCCCCACCCACCAACCCATTGAGAAGAAAAATAAGCTTTCTTCTTCCAAATTTTAGAATGCTGTAATAAGAGCTATCATTCATTACATGTGTTACACATTGGGATTAAAGTAATCTACTTTTCAAAAGAATATATAAAAGATTACACCTGCCTGATTTTATGCAGTGAAGGCATTTTCTGCAAAGGTTTTCTAAAACAATCAATTGCATGTTTCTAAAAATTCCCATGCACACCACTCTTACTTTTGGTTATACTATTACACTGGAAAAAAAAAACGTGCGCTCATTTATATTTATATATAAATATAAATATATGTATATATATATAGCTATATATATATATATATATATATATATATATATATATATAGCTATATATATATATATATATATAGCTATATATATAGCTATATATATATATATATATATATATATATATATAGCTATATATATATATAGCTATATATATATATATATAGCTATATATATATAGCTATATATATATATCTATATATATATATAGCTATATATCTATATATATATAGCTATATATATATATATATATCTATATATATATATATATATATATATCTATATCTATATATATAGCTATATATCTATATATATATATAGCTATATATCTATATATATATATAGCTATATATCTATATATATATATAGCTATATATCTATATATATATATAGCTATATATCTATATATATATATATAGCTATATATATATATATATATATAGCTATATATCTATATATATATAGCTATATATCTATATATATATAGCTATATATCTATATATATATAGCTATATATCTATATATATATAGCTATATATCTATATATATATAGCTATATATCTATATATATATAGCTATATATCTATATATATATAGCTATATATCTATATATATATAGCTATATATCTATATATATATAGCTATATATCTATATATATATAGCTATATATCTATATATATATAGCTATATATCTATATATATATATAGCTATATATCTATATATATATATAGCTATATATCTATATAGATATATAGCTATATATATATAGATATATAGCTATATATATATAGATATATAGCTATATATATATAGATATATAGCTATATATATATAGATATATATATATACATACATATATATACATACATATATATATACATATACATATATATATATACATATATATATATACATATATATATATACATATACATATACATACATACTCACATGAAAAGGAAATATGCAAAGAAATGGGCTGTAGATTGTACACCAATTTCAGAATTGGTATCAAATTACGCTTCTGTGTTCAGGCAGGTGACTGGGTAACCATGGGACCTTAAAATACCCATTGCATCTTGTACTCTGAGAACCTAGCACCGTTCATGAACTGATTGAAAGACAAGAGTGTTTTACACAAAACAAACTCACAAAGTTACAGTGATACATTGATTATGAAAAGCATAACTCCAGGGAACTTACAGGGCACAACCCTGAAGTATATTACAAACACAACATGTTTTAAAGGAGATAGGGAGAAATTAAATCTATGACTGAGTTTACATGCTAAAGTGTTCAAACAATGGCAGTCAGGAGATGAAACAGGAAAACAAAGCAATGTACAGAGCAGAGACACTAATTAAAAAGGAGAGCCTAGTCTCCCAGTTTGCCTTGACAGAAATAATAAATATTGAATCACATCTATGATTTCCTGCCTCTTTGGGTGACCACAAAAGGCACCACAGTTTCTATTGAGATGACGTTTTACCCTTTAAGGCGTTTTGTAGTTTCTGTGTAAGAAAAAAACAATTGTAAAAAATGAGTTTCATAAATGCCAGAAGCATAGTTTGAAATATAACAGTCCTGCTTTGATTCACAATTACACAACCTGGAGGGTTGTTGTTGCTGAAGCACTCCCTAATCACCATGCAAATACAGTTTTAGTGTTCCTTTGGTTATGTAAAAATCTACATGCATCTCATCCTTTACAAAAATAAAAGTATAGAAAATTACTGTTAAAATGTTGTATAGAATGTAAAAAACATGTCATTAGTAATATATTTATATTTACTAATATCCCACTGATGAGATCGTTCTAAATTGTATATTAAAACTATAATCAAATATATTCTTTTTATCCATCGCACATTATGCATTTCTTGACAGATAGTTTTCCATATTTAGGATCATCTAGCACCCTTACTCCACCAAAATCAGGAGAATTAAGAAGCATAAACCTTCAACACATGATTTCAAAATTTACCTTCAGGACTCTACAGTGTTCTCCTGATATTCTGCATAGAAAGACTTTAGTACAAGTGCAATGTGTACATAACAGGTAAAACTCTTGTGAAATGGTTTAACCTTACAGGATATGTGGACCCTGTGAAGCAGGGATCCTAAGTGCTTTAAAAATACACAGGAAAGCATTAAATATCAGGTAAAGGTGACAAAGACGCTGCAATGCGGTGTCAGACAATATAATACTTGGCCAACTACACCATAGTAAATAACTGTCTAAAAATGCCCCGTTTTGTTATTCAGAAAACACTGTACTTCATTTTGTTAGTTGATCTGCCCTTTAAAGTGAATGTCAGTTACTAATCAAATTATGAAGAGGGAGCACTTCCAAAGCACAAGTTAGACCCGCCCATGCGCTTCCTGATTGGACAAAATGAAAACAAACCTTTTTCATTGGTTTAACTTTTCTCCTCCAGCAAATCTTACTGTTGGTAGTTTTGCCAAGAGGAACGACTATAATAAATATATTATTTTTGAAATATACTTCTTTTAAATGATACTACAGGGTCATATGTTCAAAAATATGCTTTTAAAAATGAAATACAATTGAAGTTACTGACATTTCCTTTTAGGACTTCTAGCTCTCAGACTCCCACTCCTTTGAACTCACTGGATTGTAGCAAAATTACCGCAAACACATACCATTGTCAACATTAATGGTGCTCTATTATTCAGACTTTTATTCAGACATTTGTTCATTCCGAGTTGTATAATTTAAAGAATAGCAGATTATATGTATGTTATATGTATGTTATATATATATGTTATATATATATATATGTTATATATATATATATATGTTATATATATATATATATATGTTATATATATATATATGTTATATATATATATATGTTATATATATATATATATAGATAGGCTATATTCTGTGGCTATTACAAATTAGCTTATTGGATTGGAGCATCAGATCATTCTCGGATGATGAGGACCACAAAACAGGAACACTTTCTTCCACCAGATCATGAACCAAATTACTTAGACCAGTGGAACATGTGAAGAACCAAATGCTCAAAAAGTCTCAATAATATCTGACCTTTCAATGTACAACTATTTTACATCATCATTAGAGGGAAAATCAAATCACACACCAAAAAACCATGAAGAGCCACTGCACGATTGCAGATAGATGCTTCAGACTGGCCTCATCGCAGTCTTTGGCCCACGTCTCCAAGGCAGTGAAACCTCTTTGGACAAAAGAAGTGCAGCATTGTGGTCTGCTGTGGATCAATAATTAACCTTAACAGAAGACAAGTCACTTCTATGTTGTGTACAACCAAAGATTCAAAAGGTACCGTTTCTTCTGTAAAGCTTTTTGTCCCCCCTCTCTCCCCTTAAAAAGTCAAATTGCCTTAGTCCAACAATGACAAATTTGACTACAGTACATAGAGCAGATGTCCAGGTGCCGATCCAGGTGCGGAGAGTGTGAGTAGTAACCTTGTCTTCTGCACGTCTTGGCACATAATGAGGTCTGATTTTGTTTAACGGTTATTTTCATTTGAATCTTTTTCAGCCAGTGAGGATGATCAATGCACCGCTCACACGATCATTACCTGCAAAACAAAATGAAAAGGAAGAACATTTTTTTCTGTATTTCATTATGACAAATATTGGAAAACTTTAAACCATGCAATAAGGGCAGGGCATAAGTACACTTCCTCTGCTTTTTATAGACTTTGTTATGATCAACATGTGTCATAGCTTATATCTATACAGCAAACAAAAATGCAACATGTATTCTTTTCTGTGGTCTGTTCTATCGGACCACTCCTTTAGAACATATTTACCTCAGTTATTTGGCTTGTGGGAAAACTTGATGAACACTTAGCTAGGCACCCAGTTGTGGGAGGAGCCCTGTGTGGAGGCCGGCCCCGTGTAGCCCTGGACATCAGGAAGAACCGGATCAAAGTTGAAGTCGATCCCATCCATGAGGTCTGTGTTGATGATATAGTCCACATCACAAACCAGGTTTTCATCAAGCTCGATGTCCAGATCTGTGGGCAGTCGATCAGCTATCATCTGGAAGCAGGAAGGCGCAGAGAACTGACTCATTGCCTGTAAACCCATGTTGGAACTGGCGCTCTGGTGATGGGGAGCAGTTATGCCACTGTGGGCTTTTTGGCCAGGGTGATGTGTTGAATCTGTGGACAGGCTTGAGAGCAAACCCAAGCTCAGCCCGATGGAAGGATGATGCTGCTGCTGCTGTTGGTGCTGCTGCTGTTGGTGCTGCTGCTGTTGGTGCTGCTGCTGTTGGTGCTGCTGCTGTTGGTGCTGCTGCTGTTGGTGCTGCTGCTGTTGGTGCTGCTGCTGTTGGTGCTGCTGCTGTTGGTGCTGCTGCTGCTGATGGTGCTGCTGCTGCTGTTGGTGCAGGTGATGCGGCTGTGACTGCATCTGTAGAGTCATGGAGCTCACAGCGTTAGGCTCCAAACCTTTTCCCATCAACAGCTGCGGCCGTGATGGTTTGGGCCGCACTCCAACCATAGACGAGCCCAGGCCCATGAGTCCCACACTGCTGGGACTCTGCATTAGGGGGTCCATTTGAGACAGGAGTACCTCGCTGGGTGGCGGAGAGTCTGAGGTCAGCAGAGCCTCTAGACTTGAAGGGACGTGACCAGAGTAGTGATTCCCACCCCTGGAGCCAGACATGGAGCCAGACATGGAGCCAGACATGGAGCCAGACATGGAGCCAGACATGGAGCCTGACATGGGGTTGAACAGGGAGTTGCTGAAGGAAGGTTCTTTGCTGCTGGAGCCACACTGTGAGGCAGAGGTGCTGTTGGGTGACTGCCTCTGGTGAAACGAGGAGAAACTGGACCCTCTGGGAAGCAGAGTAGAGGCAGAGGGCAGAGGAGTGGGTGGTGCTGGGGGGGCCGTGCTGGGACTGGCTCCTCCCTGAGCGGTCATCAGAGTGAGGCCATCGATCAGGTCCAGCTCCTCCATCAAGGTTTCTGTGAGGGTTGGAGTAGAGTATCGCCCTAGGAGGCTGTCGTCGGGCAGGTTGTCGTCGTCTTCCTGCCCCGGGCCGATGGGAGATAAGCGACCGCTCAGGGTGCTGGCATTGGAGCTGGTGCGGGGCCGAAAGGTGGTCCACATGTCTGGGTCATCCAGACTACCCCGTGATGAGGGGCTATTGCTGTTCACCCCCCATTTAGAAAACTGTTGGGAGGAGTTTGGACTGTCGGCACCCGCTGAGCCTCCGTTACCTTCTGTTTGAAGCGTTGAACCAGAACCAGACAGACCTGCAGCGACAGCGGCCTTCTTGGTTTGCTTTGCACGCATGCGGCTCTTCAGGAGTTTGCTGCTATTGTCCATGGATGCTGCTCTGCGTCGAGGAGCTTTGCCGGTTTTACCTCCCTCTGGGTTGAGCATCCACCATGAACTCTTCCCAGTTGATTCATTGTGCACTCTCAAAAACTTGTTGTGGAGTGATAAATTGTGGCGGATCGAATTCTGTGAAAGAAAACAAAAAAGTTAAGATCAAATACAAAAAAGTATATACATAAACTTGATATACACAATCTGATGATCATATCATTGTTCAAAAAGGGTAAATTTACATGTTATTATGTACAAATATTTGACAAGATGGCATAAAAAGGACATCCCCAGATAAATAAAACAACAAAGAATTCTGTCAGTAAAAACATATGGGAAATTATAGATCAAATTGTATAGGTTTATACAATATTGTGAAACATTCCTTCCTTAAAAATACAATACAGGTAAAACCAAAATAATGTGCGTTTCTGGACCACTTACCTTCCAGCCTGCAGAGCTATTGCTGTCTCCTTTGTCTCTAAAATAAGGCACAGTTTTCACCATCCACTCATAGATCTGGGCCAGGGTAAGCCTCTTCTCAGGTGAGTTCTCGATTGCCTGACTAATCAGATCAGCGTAGCTCTGGTTTCCCCACGCGTTGCGGCGAGAGGAGCCTTTCCGTGGGGTTGCTGCGCCCCCTCCCACTGTGGACAACAGTCCACCCTCTGTTGCCGCCGCTGACTTCTCATACTCGGGTGTGATTAACTGCGTCTCGGACTTGTCCTCGTCTGCGGGGGGAGTTCCAGTGGCAGACTCTGAGCCCTCTGTGCCCTCGGCTTTGACCACAGAGATGTCGGGTCTGGGCAGAGGCCACGTGCAGGAGCGTGGTCTGCTTTGGGGCTCAAAATCTGGGTCAATCGGGGGCGCGCTGGTCTCCTCCATCACAGTCCTGAGTAATTTCTCCAAATATAGAAGTAGAGATCCCTCAAAACATGTACTTTTTTAAGCGTACACAAATAGTATTTAGCTACGGAGGTAAACAATAGATCCGCGAAAAGAGACGTAATAATCTGACCACACCAATGGCTTCTGTTAATCCTCAGATTGGAGATTAGGGTCCAAAATAATCTCCTTGATAGTAACTATCATAAAGCTTCCGATATTGAGTCTCTTTGTTTGAAAATCAATAGAGAGTATAGAAAAGCGCATCTATGTTGGTTGGGCTCACTTAAAAAATGAATGAAAAATGTCCAGGCCACTTTCAACTCCCTCAAAAGGTACACATTAAACTAAACGTGTATTTGAGCGCATTCGGTTTTGCCTTAGATAAAATATCTGTACAGTACAGAGGGATCTAGCAAGGATTAGTTGGCTACTGTTACAAAGGAGCTTCTCAGGGATGCCCCTGTGCGTCTTGTAAACAACTCGCTGACTTGTCTGTCTGTCTGTCTGTAACCTAACTTTGAATTAAACTTCAAATTAAGGAAAATAGGGCGCATTGGATGACGTCTTACTATGAAATAACCGGTGTAGAAAAAGTAATAAAAACAGTTGCCTTTAGCCTGAGTCCAACTTTGTAAAATTATTCCATGTAAACAGTTACTCAAGTGACACAGGTTTTTCTTTAGTTGGTGTGCGTTCGTACTCCAGTATCTCAGCTCTGGACTCTCCGCCACATTGCGAGCGGGCGCATGTCACCATCTGCCATGTTTCTCCACTCTGCCGTGGCACGATGCGCCAAGAAGCACCTATAAACGCATTTCAGACGGATATTTCTGTTCGGATCGGTCGATGTAGAGTGTCTCAAAAGTATACGGTAGTTGTGGATGTCTGAGGTAGGTTTGGGCCTCTTCTCGGTGCTTTCGGACGCAGATCACAGCAGTTGGAAAGAGCACGATAGCCGCGGTAATGTTAGCCGCTTAAGCTCTTGCTACTCCAGAGTTTACATTCCGCGGAAAAAACTCAAAAACACCGTACAAACTTCCTTGAAGTGATATTTCTCCTCCGCTGGTCAGATTTGTTGAAGTTATATGCGCAAATTTGATCCATTCGTCTACTTCTTTGCTGATTTGGACTTGTTCTGTTTTGTTTTGACTCGAGGCGAAGACTCCCTTCTGACGTCTGTTTACCACTGTCAGGCAACACGCTGTACGCATGCGCACTAGAGGCTTCTGGGAAACCGAGTCCCAGTGCTAAAGCAAACAGCTCAAGAGCTCCACTTGTAGTACCACACATTACATCAGTTAACGAAAGTAGGCGGCTCAGACACGCTTAGGAATAAGAAGGTCAACAGGTAACCGATAGGCCCACTAATAATAGTAAGTGCTTCCATGATGACTGACGAACTCTGAAAATAGTCAAGTCAGTTACAGAATTAACAATGACATCCAAATAGAAAGCCTCAATGATGTACAAAGCAATGGTGATGGGAAATACGAACAATCCCATTCATATTCATCATCATAATCCATTTTATTCAAGAGAAATGGATCGGGGGGAGTGTTGTTGTGCAACATCTGTTGTGTTGTGCAAGACACTTCACCACCTTGGCTGTATGAATGGTGTGTGACCGACGGCATAAATTGGCAGCCCCAATGAATGGAATGAATGAAGTGTCAAGCACCTAAAAATGTGCAATAAAACTATTGCCAAATTATGATCACTATTGTGTAATTATTTCACACTTTGTTATGCTATACATGCTGTTTGACATCAGCCCAAGTGCTATGATGCATTTTAATGCGCTGTGTGATTTCAATGTTTTATTTTTTATTTTTATGATATTTTAATTATGTGTGATGTGGGCTGTGAAACACTTTATTGTTTACTGTGTTACTTTGTGTCGGAAAGTGCTCTTTACATAAAGATTGATTAATTGAAACGTTTTGTGGCTGTTTACTTGTCTTTTTGGTAAAAACAATAATTTGTAGATTTATTTCATACAAGATATACTATTAAATAACATAGACAATGATTAATATCATCATCAGTCAGTCTTTAACAAAGACTGACGTAAATGTTTTTGTGTATACAAATAATATCTACTGAGTACATAGTGCGCAATAATGTTACTGAATTGTTCACAGTCCACAGTAGTGGATTTTTAGCGTTTACATTTATAATGTCTGCAATAATGACTATGTATGTACAGGAAAACAAATGGAATGGAGATTAAGTAAGTAATCTTATATATATACCGAAGCCCCGCTGAAAGATCTCAGCTCCTGTGGACTCACCACCTGCAGGAGGATCAGTGAGGGGCTGGTGCTAAGTGTACTGTGTGCAGCTCTGACTGCTACCCCCCCGACCCAGAAATGGATTAAGGGGAAGAAGATGGATGGATGGGCTACCACAGACAGAGTTACAATGTGGTTAGCCCTAGCTCTAGCTCACTGCAAGCAGCAGAGATTATGTGCATATCATATCCTAGGTCGTTATCTTAGTTATTAGTTTAAGTTCATCTGTGTGCAGCATTGATCTGTTTTTGACAAAATATTTAAATTCCATTTTATCAATGTTGCTATGACTGACACACCTGGTAAATCCAATATTTAAAATTAGAGTTTAAGGCTCTGTAAACTTCAACAATTGACCTCTTAGAAGAATCTATGAAGAATCAAATTCAGGACCAATTCAAAACAAACAGCAAACAAAAAACTACCTTGTGTTTGCAAACATTAGCCCAGTTCTCAGGTATCTGTACTGACTTCTTGTTGTTCAAAGAAGTATATCAGTGACATGTTAGTGGCATCTGGACCAATTTAGACTTTGAGGAGCACAGAAACTGGCCTCCTGGCTGCTGGTGTCCTATCAAGACTCAATATGTGGAGTCAGCATTTCAACCTGCAGCCAGGGTTTGGAACAATCTTCCTGATAATGTGGGACTAGACTTCTCTCTCATGAGGGTGTTCACATCCAGGTTTAATCATGTACAAACGCAACTAACAGACACATGTATGCAAATATGTTTCAAAATGGGCTGGACAAAATAGATGCTTATAAACCTCCAAACCCCCTCACCCATTCAACATAGAGACAAGACAATTAGGAAGAAAAAAATCAACAACAAAAAGAAAGATAAAAAACAATACACTGTATAGAACCAGTAACATCAGTGTGTTAAACATTGTATTGAACACATACTTCAATACAATATTTTAAATATGACATTATTAGTGAAAAATACAATGAGAGGAGAGCATTTGTAAATGATCTTTTCATCATGCCAACACACAGGGTTACACACTTAACTACTTTCATCCTCAGGAAACTTTTCTATTGAGGCATCAGCAACAACCCTGACCGGTACATTACTGTTTTGATTGCTAAAAGGCAATCATAGCAATCACATGTATTGTTGTTTTTACGTCCAGTTAAAATCTATTACTATTATTAATTTATTCAAGTTTTTATTCTGTTTATTCTCACAGTTACATTGGCCAGACGATGCTTTATATCATCACCAGCACATATGATGTTTGTTTTGTCAGCAAAGTAATAATTTTATACATATATGAATAATGTGGGTCCCAGGACTGACTCTTGTGGTACCCATAGGTTTCTTCCACACAACATGTTTTGTTTTGGTCAATCTGTAGAAAGGTTAAAAACAATCCTGTTGAGCCGTGCATACCACTGACTTTTATTTACACTCATATTGTGCTCTGTGTGTATATGCATATGAATCTACATTTATGTATAATACAATGTATAAACAAAACCAGTTATGACGCTTGCATATACAGGCGGTGGGTACAGCTCGAAGAACCCGTATTATTGCCGAGAAGTAGACACTCAGTGAAGTCTCTCAAACCTGAAGCCCGTTCTCTGACTCAGGACATCAACTCCCAGTCTCTGGTGCGGGAGCATCTGTGTTTACAACCAGCTGACTTCCGTCTGTTCGACAGCGTTTCAGATCCATCAAATCGAGCCACAGTCGTGTTTAACTGAGATAACACGACAACTCCTTGGTTGTCAGCTCATGTGGATGTCAGTTTCCACAAGTGCAGCTAAATGCAGGTGAGAACGATGGAGTAAACCTGTTTAACTGTGTTAGCGCGTTAGCTTACAGTTAGCTTACAGTTAGCTTACAGTTAGCTTCCACTAGCTCAGCTAACGACGGAGTCAAATCCTCTAATTCTGTATATTTTACAACTGTGCGAACTGTAAATGTTTAGCAGATTATGGCAAAATATGCTTACTGTAAGCGGGAACCTAGACAGTGAACTAAAACTGTGGATCTGCTGATAGATTATAATGTAAAGCTAAGGTTTTCACTGTTTAGCCTTTAGCGTAGGTTAAGGGACCTCTATATCTGGTCGCTGTAATCATTACGTTAGGCGAGTTAGAACGCCTAATATTAAGCACAGTACATAATATGTTCAAGGTATTTATCATGGCAGACCCAAGTGTTATTATTACATGTAAGATATGTAGGGCTTTTAAAGGGTTAGGATATAATATAATTGTCTTATCTTAATGGACTTGTTTATATGTCACTGCAGTCATGTTTCCTGATAATGTTGTTATTGTGCTTAAGTGATGCTGTTGTGGGAGGCTGTAAACAGTGTGTGTTTTGCTTGTGTCAGGGCTCTGGGCCTTTGTAGCAGCTGAAGCTCTCAGACCTGCACAGCATCTGCCACCTTCACCCTCCTCCAACCATGACCAGTCAGAGAGAAGTAGACCTGGTAAAATCAAATTACTTTATTGATTTTGAAATATCATGGATTGTACAGGGTAGCCCCAGGGTCTTTAAATCATGAAAACTATATTACAAATTTAAGCCCTTAAGTTTTTTTTATTATTGTGACAAAAGGGCATTCCATTCGAGATCTTGTGATGCTAAATATTGTGGAATACCATTGCCAGCACTCTTAAATGTCTCCAATCATCACTCTATTATGTCGTCGGTACAATATTTTCTCACATTATTTCCAGATTCCCAAATTCTTATCATTATTATTATCTTTTCATGTGAAGAAAATACCAATGGCCTTCGTAAAGTGTATTTGTTTCCCTGCAATGTTGGCATTACATTTCCCCTCAATGGCATTAAAAAGTTCCAAAACTTGACTAAACCAAATCTGGGGCTCCCCAGCTGTTGGGTTACCTACTTCTCCCAGGTATGAGAATTCACATAAGAAATAACAAAGTTGTTGTGTGTTGTTGTCTCTCAATGTTTACCCTTAAGGATCCAGAGTTTTTCAGAAATTTGATGTGAAACAGACAAAAGGTGGAGCTCTTGTACGTTTGAGATAAACATAAGAGATAGAGAACTACTCAAATCAATAACAGAAATGAATAAAAGGGAACGATGTTAGAAGACTGAAGGGAAACATTCGGCCGGAGCCAGGTCGCTGTATAGGAAGTGTCTTGGACTCTTGTTGCCGAAAGGTCTTATTTTTTTACCCTCGTAGTTTTTGAGGGGGTTGTGGGGTTCATGGATTAGCAACTGTCCATAAACACTTGACCACTGCTCCTCTGACACCATCTGTCCATAATCTGTTAAAACTGTGTCCTACTTTCAATTCAGGGTTTTGACTCCAATTAAATTGACCTTCATATCAGCAGGTCATTCTATTGAGAATATATACATTTTAAAAGATGAACGGTTGCTGCTTCTTTGTGATGTAATCCAACAATCATCAAATTAATATTTGCATCCTTAGCAATTTAGCAGTTGTTAGTTAATATATTATCTTGAATGTCTTGAATACACCAGTAATGAAATACAATTAAAGTAAATACAATTATTTTACTTTAAATTAATTAGATACATAATATTAACACAAATGAGACATATTTATTTTTTCAAATCAAATGTTAGAATACTCAAACATTTGTTTTGTGTTAGAAAGTATAGTAATTTATCTCATTGTTATTGGGTGTATGTCTATTGGATGCTGCCATTAGTAACCAGGCAGATTTGACACTGTTTTTATTTTGTTGGAGATGAAAGAGGTGGAATTGGGGGCAGAGCTCGTTAATGATGACATGAATGTGCAACATTGAGGTTATCCGGTTTAAGGGGGGAGGGGTTCACACAGGACCACCAAACGCAGACTGTGTTTGTAAACAGCTCAGAGTCGGGGCATCCTGACGTCACACCTCGTGGATCTCTTTGTTCTCTGGGCTGTGATTTGTGAAGCAAGAAAGTTCACGTTCATCCCCTTCAAGGGAATTAAACCTTGTAAGCTGTAACGTTTCCCTTAATGGACAATCCTGTTCAAATTCAGTTCTCATAAAACTACAAAAAATACTTTTATATTGTACACAATATTTTTTATGTTTCAATAACAAACCTAAAGTGTTTCAGAAATTGCCAGCAGGAATATATTGACTTATTCCCCCCCAATTTTTTATTTGACACATAGTATTGATAATTAGACTGGGACACCTGGGGTTATGGCATTAGACCTGTAGTCCTCAAAGTGATGGACATGAGATTGTTTCAAGGTCTTATTTCTTCACCAATTACTTGACGCAAAACACAATAACCCAAGTGAAATTTGATCACACAATAAATTACTCAAATAAATGCTTCTTATCTTCAGTACAGTAGTGAGAGGTTTTACCTGACTGAAATGTCAGAGAACTGCTGCATCAGACCATTAACCCAGAGGCCGAGCTAAACACCACACAGACAACAGCTCAAGTACTAAATCAGGCTCCACAGTCACTGATGGAGATTTGACTCTCACTTATAAATACACAATCTGGGTTTTACAAATCATCCAACAGCAGAACATACAAAGCTATTTATTTAAACTTATAGTGCGACAACAAACATATCTAGAACTATAATGTTCCATCTTCTGTTTATAGGCAGTGAAGTGGAGCTGTATGATGGATTAAAGTATTCTATAAATCAACATCTTGAAAAATTACTTATTCTTAGCAGTTGTTTCATTATGCAATTCAATCACATGTACTTTTAAAGGTTTTTGTTACACTACTTAGTTACTCAAAGTCATTTGATTACAGTAACTAATTAATTAAAGAGTAAAAAACTTTTTTACATTTGAATGACCTCATACTCAAGCCTCACACATTCAGAAAAGGTTTAGTTAAAAAAAAATCAAGTAGAAATAAGTTTCACTGCAAATGTTAAATATATATATATAAATGCTTGATATGAATAATTTATTGATCACAAAATAGTTTTGAAATTTTCAGCTTATAAAAGCTGAAATTTGGAATGAGAAAATAACGCCTTTATTTGTCTTAAACTTAAATGATGAGACGGGTTCCAAAGCACTTTAGTAATAGTAATCTTTATTTATATACCGCCTTTTCACTGCACATCAGAGTCTCAAAGCGGTTTACAATTGTGATTTTTTTTTTTGGGAGTGGGGGTGCCAGTACAGGAGGCACATGCCAGACCTATTGTACATATTTTTAGTGGTAGGGGAAACCGGAGCACCCGGAGGAAACCTACGCAGACACGGGGAGAACATGCAAACTCCACTCAGAAAGGCCCTGGTCCAACCGGGATTCAAACCCAGGACCTTCTTGCTGAGAGGCAAGAGTGCGATCCACTCAGCCACCGTGCCGCCCACTTTTTTTTTCCTTTTTGTATGTAAAGAATTTAAATAAATGTAGCTTTTGTGGCTGACAAAGATTTCGATTGCCATTGATTGTGCAGGATAGGACTGAGATTGTTTCCATTTAGCATAGATTAAAGTGCAGGAATGCCTCATACACTTGATTACTATGTGACCTACTTAGACCATATATAAAGGGGGTCATTTCTCTACTATTGAGGAAGGATCTCCAAAGGACTAAATGTTGTGTTTTCAGGTGCACCTCCGCCTTATCCTAGTCAGTGGAAAAACACAAGACTTCACCTTTTCCCCAAACGACTCAGCCACAGACATCGCAAAGCATGTGTTTGACAACTGGCCTCCAGGTATGTGGTTGTCTTGTAAATGTAGTTTAAATATAACATGTTTCTTTGTAAATATTCTTGGCACATGACTAAAGCTGCAGGTCTCATTATTCGACAGGATGGGAGGAGGAGCGTGTGAGCAGCCCTAGTATATTACGACTAATTTTTCAGGGACGCTTCCTTCATGGCAACGTCACTCTTGGAGGTGGGTTAAACTTGATGGTGAGTGTGTTACCAAAGAGACTTTTTAATAACAACACGTTTTTAGGGAAGGGAGCTTTTTTGACATAGCGGTATTCCTGAACAAATGTGTCCTGTGACGTGTTGAGAGTATGGACCATTGGATTGTTCAGTTTCAGTTTTATTTCTTCTTCGGTCACCACATTCAAAATAAATATTACAGGCAGGTATACAGAAAAAATACAAACACATGAATACTGGAGAATGCTTGTTGATGACCTTCTAGTCGAGGGCTCATTTGCAGTCCTGGTGATTTAAAGGTGTTTCCTGACAAAGAAAATCACAGTAAACACACATGGCGGACGAAGAGGATGCATTGGCGATAGTTTGTTTTTATCGGAGAAAAGACGTAATCAAAAGAAAAGGCGATGGTCAAAGAAGTGTAGACAACACGAGCATGGACTATACTTGCTACATCGTGATATGGAGGCGTTTCCTCACCGCCTCGTCTCGTCTTCTGATTGGCTACACGCCGCAGTCATGGCAACGCGCACGTCTGTCCTCGGGGGACACCACACACGAAGAGAAATCGGGCCAAAACAATCCAACATGTTGGATATCCCCGATTTGAGATCCCGATGTCCTTCCGAGCGACGAGTGCAGTCTTAACACACCACACACGGCAGGAAAATCTGTAAGATTTTGTTACGGAAATCGGAGCGTTTCTTAAGATCGGCCTAAATATCCTGCCGTGTGAACCAGGCTTAATTATTCTTCAAAAGGATGTAAATCCCAATGTACTGCTTGGATATGGATTGAATTTCCCTCAATAATACAAAAGTAAAGTGAGGTAGTCCAGCTTTAAGTGTTCACCCTTTTGTTTTATTTGTTTGTTTTGTTTAGCTCTAAAGCTACCTCCTGGACGAACTACTGTAATGCATTTGGTGGCAAGAGAGACCCTTCCGGAGCCCAACTCTCATGGTAAAACCATTCTCTAAACTGTCCCTTACATGCTTCCGCTAGTGAACCCCAGGGTTTTTGTCCTCTACCTGAGATGTATATTATAACCAATACCCTAATAAAGTAAATTACTTGATAATTGTAAATATAGCAACAAAAATAGAAATGAAATAAAACACTATTTTTTATATCATTGTGATGACATTTACATATTTTATTTTTCAACACACTGTAAGTGATGAACATCTATCGATCTTCCACTTTATCCGTTGGCGGGTTGCAAGGCCAGCAGTCTAAACAGAAGTCCCCGGACTGGTTTATCCACGCACACTTCCACCAGCACAATCCTACTATGGAGGCCACAAGTTGACTTGGTTACTGTTTGAGAAGCCCTGGTTTAATTCTTGATTCATTTGAAAGAATGTCTTTTACCTGTGATGGTTTAGACGATCATAGTTAAAGTTGTAATGGTAATGCATGTCTGTGCTACTTGTATTTCAGGTCAAAGAAACAGAGAGAAAACCACAGAGAGTAACTGCTGTCTCCTCTTCTAAAGCCCCCTGTTCATCCTCTGCACCTACACCTCTGCAGTCACCTGCTTTAGTGCAGCTCTTCCCCCTCTTTTGGTGCCAACACTATTCACCTGTCAATAGGAAAAGCTTTTTATTTAAAAATGAAACAAAACGGCAATGGACAATGTTTTCCGCAGGACAGAGGTCTGATCGGTGGATTTGTATCTAACCCTGCCTTCTTCTCATGTTGATGTCCTTCGCTTTTACTGAGTGGCGTTAATCCTAATGATGGCACTGCATCATCTAATATAGTGAATTTACATTTGAGTAACAAAGATATATTGTGCCATTCTTCTTGAACTCTGTCTACCCCTGCTTATTGTTCCATTCTGCATCCAACCTGGAAAAGAGACTTAAAGATGTGCAAAACCATCGACAACAGCAGTATATGGGAGATGATACATGGGCTGAAGATGGAGTTCAATATTGTTTTGCTTAGGGCCATTTGGTGTGGAAATCCCACCTTTTGACTATGACTTGATGGAATATTGTTTATTCCCTGAAGCCGGTGAGGCAGGCCAGTTCAGCGCACACAGAAGAAGCAGCACGAAGATGAGGCCAGGAACAGAAGAGGAAAATCTACATCCTCCTCTACCTTTAAAACGCTGTCTTTTCTTCTTGTTTGCTTTTTATTGTGGAATCCGTTAATATCATTAATATAAAATTTAAATATCAATTTTAATCTTGTGCATAGGTATTTGTTGAATTTTTGTGTGGCTGTGTGTGTGGAAGTGAAATGCATGTGACACAGTTCAGTGAGGGCATGTGGTCTTAAAAAGGTGGTGTACCGGGAAAAGATGGAAACCTTGATTCCTTCCAGTGTCTTAGGCTTTGTGTTTGTTGTCACTTTGTGTCACTGCTATGAAGTTTAGCTCTGTATGAACCGTGTAAAGACTAAATGCAAAGCGTTAATAAAAAGCTTGTATTATAAATTAATAAAACAATAAATACAGCGATTTTTGTGAAGAATATTCATTATTAGTGACCTACAGTAGACTTATTCTTGCATTATATTAGTATAATTTAGGCTTTCAAAAGTTTCTTTCATGAGGCTTTTCCTGTAAATGCCCTCAGGGTGGCAGTAAAGTCCAGTTTAGTCGTGGAATGACTCGTGGGCGATAATATGGATACAATTAACATCTTGCGTTTTACACATGACTTGTAATTCTGAAATACAAGTGTTGTAAAAACACACATCTTGAATGTTGATAAGGTTCATTTGTGTTTTTAGATTTAAAATCTCGGTTTAGACTATAGGCTATAAAATATGTATTTCTATCCTTATGCCTTGTAGTTATTTTATTTATGGTTATTGACCAGCCTTCAGACTTTCCTCCATTGCCAATAACCTTCATAATCAGAGAGTGCGCAGCAGATTTTGCAACAGCTCTTTTCACTTTTGCTTCAGGAATCTGCTCCTGACGTGTAGCTGCTTGAAGTCCATTTTCCAGTCGCTGGCTGCAGCTTCATGAACTCATGGCTGAGGTTCAGAAAGAGTTCTAACCTATTCTCTGTACAACCTGTGTTTATGACCAGGCTGTGAACGCAAACAACAGTTCTCCATCACCGTATCCATAACTTCTTTTAAGATCTGTTTTTCTTATTTTTTCTTGGTGGCTCTGCAGCTGAAAGGAAAGACTGCATGTCATCACAAACCTTTTTTTCTGCTGTGATTTATTTGTTCCTGAAGCCAATGCCTAAGTTAGGCACTGTTTTTCTGGTCTGGTCTGGATTCCCACAGCCTGCCAAACATTTTAAATGTAATAACGACTATGTCCACCTTTAAACTGGGGCGAGATGTGGGCTATTTTTTCTTCTGTCAAGATTTAGTGCAGAAAATCCCAAGTTTCCTTTTGCCGCGTTTGAGCTTTTCTTATCAGGCCTAAGCACATCTGGGAACCCAAAAAAACATAAGAAGCAGCTCCTGATTTATAGTTTGCTAAGTGTTATTTCACTGGAAATTTCCAACAAGTGCGAAATGAAAAGTGAATAATGGTACAAGAGCAGGGCCACGGTAGAGTTACATGGGGAGTTGTGCCTAAAATACTCCAGATGAGTTCCATCAAGGAAAAGATTGCATATTGTGGTCTGATTTGTTCAACAAAAAATGCCTTTACAGGACTCTTTACAAAACAAACATTTTATTTTAGTTTAGATTTGTTTGGTTGGTGAATTTCAATTCATCAATGTTGTTGTCAAATGTATTCCTATGATTCCTCCCCACCTAAGTACAAATTGAATGAAATATCATTAAGAAGTTCCAAACTCACTGGGCATGTTCGTCCATCAACATATTTAGGCCCCGTTTACAAGAAATATTTACAAACAATAAAAACACAGATCAACAGTACAGTGAAGAATTTAATGCAAAATCCAAAATATCACAATAGTTGCTTTGAAGAGTGAAAACAGTCATTGTTGAATAAAGTCCAATGTCTGAAGCTCTAATCAATCCTAATCTTTATCCAGGCATGTCCAAACTAAGGCCCACGGGCTAAATGCGGCCCCCTCGTCATTATACAGTGCCTTGCGAAAGTATTCGCCCCCCTTGAACCTTTCAACATTTCGCCATATTTCAGGCTACAAACATAAAGATATAAAATTTAAATTTTTTGTCATGAATCAACAACAAGTGGGACACAATCGTGAAGTGGAATGAAATTTGTTGGATAATTTAAACTTTTATCTGCAGTTCATCCAGAGTGATCATGGGCCTCTTGGCTGCATCTCTGATCAGTCTTCTCCTTGTTTGAGATGAAAGTTTGGAGGGACGGCCGGGTCTTGGTAGATTTGCAGTGGTCTGATACTCCTTCCATTTCAATATAATTGCTTGCACAGTGCTCCTTGAGATGTTTAAAGCTTGGGAAATCTTTTTGTATCCAAATCCGGATTTAAACTTCTCCACAACATAAGCTGCGTTTCCATTGAATAATGCGCAAAAACTTTTTCGATACATTTCAAAATTCGAAAAACCTGTAATTCGCAACAGCGGCCGTTTCCATTAAGACATATTCGAATAAGTTTACACTATTTTCGCGCGTTTATTCACTAGTTTCTAGTACGTCAACATGGCAACAGAAGTAAACAACACTTTGATTTACGTGAGATATATTAATGTCTTGACTTCTGCTGCGGCTCTCATCCTCTCTGACCCCGGGAGAAACTGTGGCTGCTTTGACAGCTCCGCGAACGCGCGTGTTCATGTACCGAGCGCGGACCATAGACGCGCGCACAGAACCATAGACACGGGTCTTGCCTGTCTCCCAGTGGCGGAGCCAGAGGGGTAGCCAGGGTGGCCACTGCCACCTCTAAAAATATCCTTGCCACCCCCAGTGCCCCCCTCGGAAGACGGCAATGTAATAATGTTAATCTTGAGAATCTTCCGCACTTTTTCCGCCAAAAGCTAAAAATTCCCACGGTTTCCCCCGTCTGTGAACGCACCCTGACTCGTGTGGAGCCGGTGCTGTATGCTAATGTTTTGGGTTGTTGGACTCACACATGTGCCCAAGTCGTGATGAAAACAAAGAGGTAAGTTAGCGACGCAGAGCCAACCGTTTACATTTGACACAAAGTATAGACACACGTACTGCAGCGCATTACTTGTTCAGTTTGTAGAACTTTTAGTGTGTGTATGTGTGCGTGTGCGTGTGCGTGCCTGTGTGCCTGCCTGTGTGTGCGTGCCTGTGTGTGCCAGTGTGGGTCTGCGTGCCTGTGTACGTGTGTGCGTGCCTGTGTGCGCCTGTGTGCCTGTGTGTGCCAGTGTGTGTGTGCGTGCCTGTGTGTGTGTGTGTGCGTGCCTGTGTGCGTGCGGGTGTGCATGCGTGTGTATTTTCCATTATTAATTGCCCATCGTATCATCGCCCTCTTCCCTTTAGTGTAAACATTGCCTACAGGCCTTTTTTTGTTAGGAAAAGGCTGTAGATCAGGATGATGAAACCTGAAGGTCAGACTCTGAGGCAGTATGTTTTGAGATGATGAGGAATTTGTTGTGTTGTATTAAAATATAGCTTATATAATTGAGTTTCAGAGAATGAGAGGGTGTCGCAGACAGGTGCAGGATTGTCTATTGGCAGAAGGCGTTTTTTCACACACAAAAAAAGAAAAAAATAGCTAAGATTATGGATGATGTGCAGTCGCTTGACCCCAAAATATTTTTGAAAGAAGACCCCCTGTTTTCATTTGGCAGAACCTTTCAGTCAGATATAGAGGACCTTAAGCATGAGGTACGTCAAACTAGGCGGCTTCTTGGGAGGAAAAAATGGATTAGAGAGTCCCTATTGGACTTCCTTGTTCTTTTGGAACGTTTGGAAAGTGTTTCATGAGCTTTTGAGGCTTGCAAAGATCTTTTTAATACCTGTCAGTACTGCGTCTTGTGAAATAAGTTTCTCTGCCCTAAAACTTATTAAAAACCATCTCAGAACTTCCATGGCGATTGAGTCGTCTTGGTATCCTCAGTGTAGGGTCAAGGAGGGCTCAGGGCTGAATATGGATGAGTTTGTCAACATCTTTGCTGCTTTACACCAGAACCGTAGGAATTTGCTAAATTTGTTAAAAGAAAAATGTAATGCAATGTTTGAATGATGTTATTTTGCACTTTTTTGTTCAGACTACTGTTTAAATACACTTTTTTGCTTTGTAGTTTCCAAGTGTGCTCTCAGTTCACTTTATATTAAAAATAATGACAAGATTAAGATTAAGATTAAGATTAAAATGTATAGTTTAGTCAGTTTTTGTGTGAAACAAAATTTCGGAATAGTATAAACGTGGACCCCTTAAAAAAACCCTTGCCACCCCCTGGCCACCCTCTGTTTAAAAGTCTGGCTCCGCCACTGCTGTCTCCCCCGTCTCTCCCCCATGCCTCTCCCCCGTCTCCTCCCCGTCTCTCCCCCGTCTCCTCCCCGTCTCTCCCCCATGCCTCTCCCACGTATCTCCCAAGTCTCCACACGAAGCGCAGCCAAAACTCACTGAATAAAGCTCAGCTC